TCTTAGGATCTAAAGGTAAAGAGGAAAGGAAGGAAAGAAGCGCCGGAAGGCAGAGCATATATACAGGTGAGCGGTCACGTGAGTACTTAGCGAGCCCGTGACTCCAGAACCGTGACAATTAATAATTTTTAAAAAAAAAATTTTATTTAAATAATTATTACGTATTATAATTACGGGGCTTGTAGGCTATAGGCCTAGTAAGCGAGGGATCGAAATAGGTTAGCGAGTCACTTAATGGATTATTAATCCTTATTAAGGGTCAATGAGGCTTATTGATCTAGAGAACAAAGGTTCTATATAACAACGGGCTGTCGCCCACTAGGTAGGAGCCTCGTACTCAACTTGATTAAGTTTTCCTAACTATAATATCATTGCCTTATCTTACTTCATTCACTATACCAACCCACGTGACCTTACCAGGGTAAGGAGAGAGTCGTGACATTACGGTTCTAAGTTGAATAAGGTTTAGGTTACGTGATTATTTCAGTTAGTGTTTAAGGATCCAGCTTATCTGTCCTCTGTCACAGTGCTGGTTTCAGTTCTATCACGTGACAACTCACCGCCTGGCAGAATCCTATATATAAGCACTTCTGAGAGCTGTCCTTAGCTCTTCACCTTAGTATTCTAAGAATAGATCACCTCTTGCATCTCAACCTAATCTAGTCTATTACATCCTTAATACTCTTCCACTTTCTTAGTTCTTTGTCTATTATTCACATACTAGTGCGTACGTTTTGATTCTATTGTTCTGAGTGCGTACTATTATCACGACTCTCTCCTTACTTTAGTAAGGTCACGTGGGTTAGTATAGTGAATGAAGTACGATAAGGCAATAATATTATAGTTAGGGAAATTTAATCAAGTTGAGCACAAGGCTCCTATATAGTGGGCGACAGCCTATTGTTATATAGAACCTCTGTCCTTCAGATTAATGAGCCTTATTAACCCTTAATGAGGATCAATGATCTATTAGGTGACCCGCTAACTTACTTCGATTCCTCGCCTGCTAGGCCTATAGCCTACAAGCCTTATGACTATAATAATTATAATAATAACGTTAAATCGTTTTAATAAAATAATTACGGAATCCGAATTAATTTTTATTTTCCGAGAAAATAATTTTTTTTAAATAATACATCGAAAATTTTTAATTTAATATAATTTTCTGTTTAATTAAAATTGTTGGAAACACAATATACAGCTAATAATCACGTGATTCGTTTGGATGAGACCGTACTACGATGAGGTTATATTCCTTCTATCTGTGGTATTAAGTCTGCCCTCAAAACTAAGGGCAGTAAGCCAGCTATATACAGAGTATCGTACGAGGCTTGACTCGTACGCATAATATTCGACACCCACGTGGAGGCCCGAAACAGTAGATCACGCGGATAACTCTCACCCGCCGGATTGTCCTTATCCGACCGAGTCAGTACTCACCTTCCGAGTCAGAGGCGCCCTGGGCTATACTCCCGACAATAGCAAAGAATAAAAATTGCTTGTTTAAACAATCGATCGATTGTTATATATATAAACTCATAATCGTGCTTATTCTTTAGGAAGGAGCAGAAGTCTATAAACAAGCGTTGCCAAAGTCGTTCTGGAATTAGTAAAGGCTGTAGTAATCTAAGGGTCTTGTCCCGAGGGATGGACGCTTTACAGCAGTCATAGCAATTCCGTACGTACTAAGCCACGTTTCGTAGCATGTATAGCCAGAAGTAACGCTGTCTGAGGATTTCGTACGTTTTATCCCTTCCCGAGTGCGCCGTCAACAGCTGGTTGTGAGCTTCTCTGATAAAGTGCACTCTGAGGGAGTCTTCTTTGTTTAATACGACTAAGCGATCGTGGAAAAATAATAGTCCGTGTAATGAGCACTTTTAACTTGCTTACGCAACGAGGCTAGAAATTTAGCTTTATGATTAATAATTAAAATCTAGTCGATAATATCGTGTAACTGCTTTATATTTTATTAATTAAAAAATTTTATAATATAATTTTAAAATTTATTATAAATTTAAAAATTTAATTTATTAATTATAAAAAATTGTTGGAAGCACAGTATTCAGCTGTAAATCACGTGATATTTGCATGTGCTGTGAGACGCGGCCACAACAAGCAGCAGGTGCTGTACTAATCGTAGTATTACGTCTACCCTTTAACTCGTACTACGTCGTACGAGTTATATACTAGCTACTGCATAAATCTGCTTACACCACGTGCTTTTATACGAAACGGCTAGTCCCGCTAATCCTGTCTGATCTTCCGGCCCGGTCTCAGCCAATAGGGTGGCGCCTAGCCTATACTCCCGATAAAAAATTATAAAAATTTTCGATAAATTTATTAAAAATTAAATTTAGAAAAATAAAAAAAATTTTTTTTTTAATATATTATAAAATATAAAAAATTAAGAAAATAATTTATATATAAAAAACTTAGATTTTTATTTATTTTGTTCGTAATTTGCTTTAATTTCTTGGCGTCGTCGTTAATTACGTGTAGATTCATTATAAATTTCATCCTCACCGCTGTCACGACCACGTGCACGTGAGCTCGCTGAGTCACCTCGGTGGACTCTGGGTCACGTGGTGGAGCACTGAGGAGCGGGCGGAGCTCCTAGGAGCTCCTGCGCTCCATCTCGACCCACCACTAGAGGAGCAGTATATATGACTGGCACTTCTGCCATAGATAGGAGCTTTGTGCTCAACTTCGTTAGTATTCTTGACTTCAAATACAATTGCCTTATCCTACTTCATTCACCATACCAACCCACGTGACCTCACACAGGGTGAGGGAAGAGACGTAACAACCGCCACTATTCGGATACAGTTTACTGTGCCTGTCCTACACGAATCATAGCTGACAATTAGGTACCACCTGCATCTTGCCACACCTGAGAGATACCCTTGCCTATGGCATGTATATCGTGGAAACTGCATGCACCACCTCAGGGAGGTTGCTACAATAAGAGTACCAAACTACAAACGGACATTAATCAGAATTGATCTGTACACAAAACATAGTCCCTGTCAATACTTACTGTCCTTGTACTTGCAGACCGCATTACTGGCGCACCGGCCACACGACCCACCATACCCTTCACCACCACATTGGCCCCATTCTTCTATCGGGCAACTTGATCCTGTTGGCGTTGCTACTCCGGTAGCTGTTACCACCACAGTGAGAGTGGAAGTGGACGCTGTTGTCAAAGGTGGGCTGCTTCCCGTCACTGTGACGTAGGTATACGATATTGACGTAGATTTGGGAGTGACGGTTACTGTCACCACAGTTACAGTATTGGTAATCGTGACTATCACTTGCTGTAGAAAAGGTGTAGTTAGATAATGGTGTTCTTGGTATGGATGAGTATGAACTCACAGATGAGGCAACGTTGGCAAAAGCAAGCACTGAAGCCAGTGCGAGTCTGGAGAGAAGCATTGCGTATAGACGGACGTGTTTGAGTTGATGCTCTGATAAGTGCGAATACAGTAACAAGAACAGAACAGAAGAACGAAGCAGCTCCGTTTCTTAAGTACAGGCCGAGTAAGGACCTGCAAGACGAAAGTTGGGTTTTCCCATGCCGTCGATTCGTTCCCTGCCTTCAAGAATTGGTCCGAAAATCAAGATCATCCATCACCTCATATCGCTGGAGTCCGTATGGGCAATCAAGGGATGAATTATGGGAAGCCACGATACTGGATATTGGAACGATGGCAAGCAGATGTCTTCCACAACCGCAACCCGCGCTGACAGTAAATTACAGACGCTTGGAATCACAATAATCAGATAAAGCATGCCACTCGGCCTGATGAGGTACCGGCCCCGGAAGCAGAATTTATTAGACCGCAGCCCGATGAGCGTAAATCAAGGTACGAGCCGTCAAATTCTTGTGAAGTGTTATGTATTGTATCAAATAGCATGGATCCATTGGCCCGATGGCGAAGTGACTGGACAGCGCGTTATCGATGGTTGAGAAATATTGCACCACTGCAATAACCAAAGGCTCGTATAGGCAGATATAGATAACGGACTGGGTGACTTAGTGGGAAGACGAAATATATAATTGTTGGTAGTGGGTAAGAAAATATAGCAAGGTGGTATTTCATCTCGGCTAAGTAACCAGCTCCCCTGGAGAGGAATGAGGCTGATCGCATAGGATTTCCGGGTAGAATCCACCTCAAAGAACAATGTCAGCGAATAGAAATGGCGAAAATGATACGAGAGAATCGAGATAACGACAGAAAGAATACTCCGGACCATGGCCACGGCCACGAAACAGTTGAGGATGCGACGAGATTGAAGCTACATCTAGATTTCGGCCTTCCCGCAAACCAGCGTATCCCCAGGAAATTTGGACGTCCTGGGCCTCGACAGCGAATGTACTCTTCAACCAGTAAGATCCATTGGTGTATTGTGTCCCATACGAGACAGATATGGCACCTGCCTGGGCAACAGTTGAGCCGCGTGGTAGTGCTAACGTTATCGAAGAATGTCGTTAGCGAACCATGTGTTCCCGCTCTGACTGTGTTCATAACCGGGAAGTGAGCCATAGTTCCAATCATGTCCTTCTTTTGGTCAGGCTAGGTCCCCATTCGCTTTTATCAGCCAAGCTCACCTGGCAGCACGGAGAAACCAGTTCGGCACCGAGGTGAACTGGAACGCGTTGCCAAGTTCATGATAATTTCTTTTGAGATCGTGAACAATCAATATGATGCAGGCACTGGTGACACAGTTGGAATCCCTACTCGTGTGAGTGGATGATTGGTTTAGTAAGAAAGTTATTCGTTGGCCAGCTTCACAATCGCTTCGAGCCTGACGAAGCCTCTCCACCCACACATCATGTCCGCGCTCCGAAGACCCTGTCTCGCCCCATTCAAGGCGCTGGCTACCCTCGCCAACTCTGACGTCGGATGCTTGCTCGTCTGTTGCTTGGTCTCGTAGACTTCTGACCGGAATATATAAACCACATTGTGGAACTTGTAGCAGCGCACAGTGGGCTTTATGGGAAGAGTCTTCTGCAGTTCGTAATCTTCAGAAGCGTCTCGGAAAGCTCAGATGTCAGATAGCGAGAAGTCTCTACTATCACCAAGTCAAGAGAGAGCAATCAAGCAGAGCAACGAGTGTCTTGGGGTTCACTTAATTGTTGTGATCATTTCCCCATCTTGCAGGACCAGGAGCACTTAGTCCATACTATGGATGGAAAATACCCCGACGATATGAACTGCCAAGACTCCACCCTCATCCATCCCAAGCCCCGGCATTGATAAGGACTTCCAACTTACATCATGTCCCCAAACTTTCCGCTCTTTCCCAACGTACATCAACGGCATTGGCTGTTCCGGGACTTTGCTCACGAAGAGATCCAGGCTCGCTATCGGCGTCTGCGCGGCAATTCCTCGTTCAATTGTGACAAGATCACGCCCATTGTTTCTCTGGCACTGTTTCACCTGAGCATCGCACTGGCCTCGTGGATATTTGCACTGCTACGATGACAGGCTTTCTATGAGCAACATGGCTCTCTCTGTAGAAGCCCTGTCCATGAACTCCGCCAATTGATCCATTCTGAGAGTGTGTAAATCGCGATCACTGCTGCTATAAATGTGGAGCATGATAATCTTCATGATGGCGAAGGCAACCTTCGAGTCTAGATGTCGACGATATGTCCGGAACTGATAACATGCCTCATCTAAGTGGTCTTATACTATCTGGCTATTTATATTTAGCTTCTTAGATATTCCCAGGTATATAGCTAGATCAGATGGAATACCGACCGGACTCCTTTGATTGGCAAAGCAATGAAAGAGCGAGAAGCTGTAAAGCTGGCATGTGCAGTAGGGAATTCCAAGAGCAAAGAAAAGGTCTTGCAGCTGAGTATTCGGCACAGGCCAAGAAGGCTAAAGGCAGCGGATCGGCAAGAAGTGCCAAGGGTCTGGACTGAGTGCGCTCAGAATGGTTACCTGCTGAAAGGCGTTTTCTAATACTAGAGTCATTCTTATCTCTGCTTTGGCCGGAGCATGAGATACTTGCCGCATGTGACTAGCGATGCCACATTAAAAAGATTGTTGGCACTCCCCTTTCTGGAGTACTTGCACGCTTTGTTGCATGTATGCCTTGACACTTGAGATATATCCTGCGCCCTCGTCATTGGAATAGTGAATAGTTACTGACGCGCGAAGAACGGACTAATGACAATAACTTTGTTAATCGCCGTGGGACAAAGTAAGTGTGCGTTTGCGCTTACGCCCGAATATCAAATAAGTTATCGAAATCGATAAACACTCAGCAGCTCTTGTGATCATGATCGCGAATACCCACAAGCTTCTAGGCAAAAGGGCATTGAAATGTAAGGTCTCGAAGAAGCTGACTGACCCTGGAAGAAGCCTTGGGATATTCGCAATGAGATTAGAGGAAGACATGAACTGTGCAGGATGCGAAGAACCAAATATACAAAATTTTCAGGCGGCTCCAGCGCACTCTGCATGCCGAGCCAATCACCGCTGCAAGAATGACAACTGACGGAAATTCTACCACAGATATCGCGGTGTTGGGTGATGAGCAGCTCTTCTGGTAGCTGCTCTGCCGAGAGACTAAAACCTTAAGGAGTCGATATATATGGGAAATGGAGTCGATATTGAGTTCACAACATCCTTGAGGACTTGAGTTATTACACCCGAGACGCCTCAATGTCGTCTTGCATGATCTGCAGATGCAAAGTGGAAGAGGCTCAATGATCGGCACAGAGATGTTCCATATCGCCGCTTGACCCCAACAGGTTTAAACTAGCAAGCTAGTAGACTCACTCTACCATACACTTCCAGCCGACGTTAAGTTCTCAAATTGTACCGCATGTCTTGAGCATCGCAATTATTTTCCGCACACCTTTGCACTTCTTCAGCTACAGCATGGCTTCCGTAATCAGATGTCATTCAAATGAGAACATCGAAGCGGGACAGCACCCGAGGTTTCTCGTAATCTCTTACTTCAAATCGGGCCAAGGTGTTTAAACTGGAAAATTTCGGATCTGGAAACTGGTTTGAACTGATCTCGGGGATCATCGTAGCTTCACCATGGGCTGTACATGGGTATGAAGCATCGTGATCAGATGGCAGATTTGCGATGGATTCCAAATTCGATACAAATACCCTAGGTTCTCTTCATGCTTCATCGTCTCCTTTGCCTCGTCAGTTTATTATTTTTTTCATTCTTAGCAAGCTGGGCTGCTCTTCTTATCTTTTCCCCCCTTTTGACGGTCTTTACTAGAATATTGATACCTCTTCTTTTTCTTGTTTTCTCGTTATTTATACCATCATGAAGGACTTCGCACGGCTAGTACTATGCGCATTTGCTGTTTACGCGGGCGTGAATGTGGCGGCCGTGAAAAAGGCCTCAAGCGCCGCGGCAGTCACACGGAGCGCATCGACCATTGTCATGAAGGAGGTAGGTGGAGTGGCCGGAAATGAATGCCTCACTTTTCGAAACAATGGTATACTTTCCGAATCCCGTCTTCTTCCTCAACCGCAACCGCCGACCATGATCTCAGTCATCGTTGCCAGGAGGCTGATATCACTTCAAGGCGAAATAGTCGATGCAGCTTGCGTCAACACCTCAGCCGACCGACAAGTCACGCCTTCGACATCTGCCTCTGGAGACAGTGTACTCCTTGTAGTACGTTAATTTCTGCTCCTGTTTTGCGTTCATCTTAGAAGCCCAGATCTTCGGGATCATCCTCGGGAGCTGCTCCTCAAAGAAGATGTGTCTCAACTTCTTGAATAATCTCTTTGCTAGATCTCTGTGAGAAATGCATACTAATCTATCCTAGCAAAGAAGCTTTGGTATGTTATCTTCGGAGCTGTCGAAACCCCAAAGCATGCCGAAAACTTCCTCTTCATCCATCTTATAGATTACTGTACTGAGAGAGCTTTCAGATGCCAGTTTTCGACCGGACCTTGTGGGGAAACAGGCATGCATTGGCTTTAATGGGACCGATTTCAAAGCTGTAGACTGCGCCGCTACGGGTACACAATTTGTCAGCCTTGTGGGAGGAGCGCTCAAATCTGGAACTGCGTGCCAAAGTGGTCACGATGGAGCAGTAAGTTCCAATTCTTGTTGATCTGCAAGCAAGGACTATAATGGCACCTCGGGTCCTTCGTAATGCTGATTTGATTCACAGGCCCAATTGACTGTGGATTCCACAGGCACTAAATGTGTGGGGGTAACTTTGACTACTGTCACGCCAACAGCTCCCTAAGCAGGTACGGCTCGTTTGTTGCTCTGACGTTTGGATATCTCGACGGTAATTCCAAGGATCATCATCAGACTTAAACCTCGTGGCCATGGCAAAATTGTATGAGAGGAAGTGTGAAAGTTGTAACATATTTTACTTAACGCTCTAAGCGAAGAAAATGTATCTAAGCTGGATCATGATCGTGGTAAATTGTGCTTCAAACAAGGCCAATTGATATAATTAGTAAAACTTCGTTATATGCCTACTAACCATGAACCGCTCCTCTTGCTTACAACGACCTTGGAACCATCGCAGAGGAGTGACACGTGATTGCGGGGACTCCGCATTCCACACTTGGTCCTTCGGCACGGCTAGACGCGGGGCAAGCGGCTTAACCTAACCTCCAGAGTTCAACCCCAAATATCAACACTCTTCTTTAATCCAATGTTCAAAACCCTAGTTTCGAGGGGTTGTCACTCCTGGTCTTGACAATTCAGAAATTATCACCATGTATACTCTCAATCGATCACGGCCCTTCCGCCGCGCTCTTTCAACCGCCCACCGCCGCCATATTTCAAGCATTCCAATCAAGCCCATAACCTCCGTCCTCATTGCTAATCGAGGAGAAATAGCTCTACGTGTCGGGCGCACAGCGTCGGATCTTGGAGCAACATGCACCACGATCTATACAGACCCCGATGCCCATTCTCAACATGCCCTTTCAAGCCCTTTCGCCGTGAATCTCGGCGCCGCGAACGCGTACCTGGACGGAGAACGGATTATTTCGATAGCCAAATCACGAGGCATCGTTGCCTTGCACCCGGGATATGGGTTTCTTAGTGAGAATTCGGAATTCGCAAAACGATGCGTCGAAGAGGGATTGGTCTTTATAGGGCCACCATGGAAAGCTATCGAGGCAATGGGGAACAAGTCGAAAAGCAAGGACATTATGACTCAAGCCGGTGTGCCATGTATACCTGGATACCATGGAACAAATCAAGATCCTTTGTATCTGTTGGAGGAGGCCAAGAAAATTGGCTTTCCAGTCATGGTGAAGGCTGTGAAGGGAGGCGGGGGGAAAGGTATGAGAATTGCTCTACATGAACAGGAATTTCTAGACAAATTGGAAAGTGCGAAAAGCGAGGGTAGAAACTCCTTTGGCGATGATGTGATGTTGGTCGAAAAATACATTGCTACACCAAGACATATCGAAGTCCAGATATTCGCAGACAAGCACGGAAATGCGGTAGCTCTTGGCGAGCGTGATTGCAGTCTCCAAAGACGGCATCAAAAAATCCTCGAAGAAGCCCCGGCACCAAATTTAGCAGAAGACATAAGACAAGATTTATGGCAGATGGCAAGAGCTGCCGCACTGGCTGTTGGATACGAAGGTGCAGGCACCGTAGAATGTAAGAACCCGATCATCATTGAAGACTCTCGCTGAGATTAGAAGTCATCTTCGACAATGATACAAATGAGTTTTTCTTCATGGAAATGAATACAAGGCTCCAAGTTGAGCATCCTGTGACTGAGGAGATTACAGGAGAGGATCTTGTCTCGTGGCAATTCAAAGTTGCTGCTGGTGAGCCCCTACCACTTGATCAGGACGCAATCGCTAGGCGGATAGCGGAGCGCGGATGGGCCATTGAGGCTCGCATATACGCTGAGAATCCGAATCAAAACTTTGTGCCTGATTCTGGCAAGCTTATTCACCTTCGTACACCAAAACTTTCCGACAGTGTACGCATTGATGCCGGCTTTATCGAAGGAGATACAGTCTCCTCCGCATATGATGGTATGATTGCCAAGCTCATCGTTAGCGGACCAACACGAGAAGTTACAATTCGGAAGCTACATGCTGCACTTCAAGATTACGAGGTGGTCGGTTTGAGCACCAACATTGAGTTCTTAAAGAAGATCTGTGGCAGCTCCGCTTTCATCCGAGGTGAAGTGGAGACTGGCTACATCCAGAAGCATAGCGATGAATTGTTCGCCCCTGAAGCATTTGAGCCGGAGTGTTTTGCTCAAGCTGCTCTGGGCCTATTGTCAAACGAGCTTATTTCGCACGCATCAAAAATAGACCATGGTCCACATGCAGAGACTGTTGGATTTGGTCGAAGTAGTTCTCGCCAGTATACCTTTCTTTCTGATGGGGCCTCCGGACCAATCACAGTGGACCTGGAGCAATCCAGTTCGAACCTCTTCCAGGTAGCGGTCAAAGGTTCAGGAATTGATCAGTTGTTTCCAGATGTGGTCTGCGAACCTAGATCTCCGACAATCTCGACATTCTTTCCCCAAACCCGGATCGAAAGCACTTTGATTATCAATGGTGACAAGCTTGCTCTGTTTCAACGTGGCAGACAGTTTAATTTGACTCTTGCCTTACCTAATTGGTTCGAGAAGGCCTTGGGATTGAAAGATGTAACGAACAGCGTCTTAGCACCAATGCCCTGCAAAGTCTTGAGAAATGAAGTGGCAGAAGGAGACGAAGTAAAGAAAGATCAGCCGCTGGTAGTGTAAGATGTATCCGACTTATATTTGGGTAAGTTCTGACAAATTAACAGAATTGAGAGCATGAAGATGGAGACGGTCATACGATCTCCCCAAAATGGCATTGTTGCAAAGCTCGTTCACAAAGCTGGCGTAAGTGACACTACGTAGTGCCCGATTTGTTGTCGTCTAACTTTTCAAGGATATTTGTAAAGCTGGAACAGTACTGGTTTTGTTTGAGGAGGTTCGTACTAAGAAACTCGCCTGAAGACCAGTAAGCTAATACAAACCAGGATGGAAAATGATGGAGATCTCGTTGCTCAGTGGAGCAAGGTTAGTGGAATGCGATCTTCCAAAGCTTCCTGCCTGGTACCTGCATGAGAGAGGCATCAAGATGGGGAGGCACAGAGTAAGCATAGGCGCAAATATTTGGGCTCTAGACAGACTAGACGTCGCTTAGAAACTGGGAATTGACCTAAGTCCTGGCTTGTAGAATGTACACTACTTTACAACTTCTGACCATTTGCCCCGACCTCCACAATCTGATCGATACCTTCGTAGTCTGGGAGATCCAAATCGTACTTTTTCTGAATATCTGGACTTACGAATCTGATGGAGAGTGTTATGAGCAATATTTATGTGACAGAACAACTTGGATGAAATGTACTTACCGCCCACCGATAAAATGTCGCCCTTTGAAATACTTAACCAAAGGCTTTGGTGCTGTAAGACTAACCAGAACTGCAGGATTGAAAGTCGAACCTGGGCCTGAAGACGGTGGTCCATCCTCAATGTTCCAGGAGGAAGGTGCGTCGACAGAGGTGACTGGGATTGAGGTACTTGACAATGCTTCAATGACAGCTGGAAATGGCTCGCGAACTTTACCGGAGAACGAGAAACCTCGGACTTTTAGCCAAAGCTTGAGCAGAGATGGAAATGCCGATGACAACACATACCAAATATCGCATCAACAACATGATCTGATTCCTTGAGTGCAGCTGGGAAATCCTCCGTGAACGGGACATTCAAGTTTTTAAGTTGGGTTGAGAGGCGCTGCCAAGACAAAGTTCAGCATCTGTAACATATCTCCGAGTCACACAAGAGTTATTAGATGGACTTTGAAATTCGGTCTACATACTTGATAGAGATCATTCTTGCTCTGCTTCGGATAGTATACCGTTGGCTTGTAACCATAGTGCCACAGATGTCTGGCAGCAACAAGTCCATCGCCACCTAAATCTAGCTCAGTTATGTTCCTTTTTCCCAAGTTGGACATTTAGACGCACCATTATTGCCTGGACCACAAGCAACGAGCACTCTTCTCCCTCTGGTCGGAGGGTGGACACGATAGACTGCCCCGCTTCAGAAAACAAAGCCAAAGTCAAGTAAATACAGAGCATCGAACCTGCCTGAGAAACTGACAACCCTGCCAATTCCATAAGCTGATCGATTGAGAATGCACCGATGCTCATAAGATCCTTGTCCAAAGCGGCAGCATTCTTTGCAGAAAGTGTCTTGAACGACGAGTGAGCATATGCTTAAGATCCACCAGCTTCGGGACTTGTACCTTGATCGCCATGATTGCTTGTTATTTGGCTAAAGTTAGAGACGTGCTCTCCGTAGTGACGTTGAGGGGCACAAGAGGATGTATTAAATTGCTTGAAAAAGTTGAATTTACTTCACTAGAAGTATTCGTAATGAAACTTTGATGGATTTCACCACCACCTGAGCGAAGAAGTTGACATCACCTTGCAAACAGGCGAGAGAGAGTGGAAGCGGAGCGGGGCGGCAACATTTCCGCCCTAATACTCGCGAACTTCAAATTTGACAAACAGCGACATCTAGCAACGACAACCATTTCTCCACAATGGTTGTTAAGATCAGATTAGCACGATTCGGGCGTCGCAAGGCACCCTTCTACAATATTGTTGTTGCACAGGCACGGTAAGCTCAAATGAATGGGCACGAATGCAACTTGCTAACAAATCTGCAGGACTGCACGAAACAGCAAGCCTATTGAAGTATTGGGTACGATATCGAGCTCGGAAAAGAAAGATATGCAGACTGATACTGTTGAAAAGGGACCTACGATCCAATACCAAAGGCACCAACTGATGGAGAGGGAAAGCCATTTAAGGACGTCAAATTAGATTCTGCGCGAGCAAAATACTGGCTGGGAGTTGGTGCACAACCAAGTGACCCTGCCTGGAGATTATTATCAATGGTATGGTGGACAAGAGAGGTTCTAGGGACGTACTGACATTGGAACAGGCCGGTTTGCTCGAGCCTAAATACAGACCTACAACGTCGAAGTAGAGGATGAGAGAAGAGCTTGTAGGAGATAATTGTACGATTCAGCGACATGTATAGCATATGGAGGCGTTCCGACATGGTACATAGGCCATGAATGTATCAGGAAGGCGTCGAAGTCACGAAGTCTTTGATCGCATGATTTGCAACTCCTACAACAAAGTAGTGACTAATGGCAACACTTATGGTTTTTGTCCAGGGGATGGACAGAAAAGATAGAAGTACCAATTCATGAGAAGATTCTTACAACTTTTCTACCTATGATAGCACGTTGGAATTATGTGACAAGGATGACATTCTATATATCACCTCTAACCCTGTTTGTAACTGTTCTACTCCAGCCTACCAAGACTGGATCCTTATGTTTAGTAAAAATGCTCGCTGGACGCCGTGACCAATCAAGACTCCAGCAATGCCCGCAACATGAGATATTCCACAGAAATTCAGTGTCCACCTCCACCAGAGAAGAACATGTTCGTTCCTAAGCATAGGACCATGACGAAAAGCCCGTATATTGCCAAAGCGAGAGAAAGCTTTCGTAATATTGTCTTCCGCCAAGGCATTGTTCTCGAGTTACCCTGACCAAGCAATCCTTCTTCGTCCTCTTCGCCACTGTCAGCTTCATCCTCGTCTTTTGAGAGTCGCTGGTGATGGATAGAGTCTGGCGAGGAAATCTTGTAATAGAACAAGCCGGGAAGGATGAAGCTGATGCTCGTGCTGCCAGTGCTGCCGACGTAGGCCAGAACTTTGTCAAGCGAGGATACTGTCATGGCAGCGGTGTAACTTAGGATAATAATCACGGTTGTAATTATGGCAAATCTAAGTTCGCCGATGGTGTCATTTCTGGCAATAGGTTGAGCTGAAGCGCCTGTGAGCAAGGGCACTGTTCTCGCTGGTGAGCTATTAGGTGAGTTACGTGAGCTCTTTAAGCCGTATGGCCTCCATTTCAATACGGCATCAACCGAAGCTCGGCATGGATGCACTTGAAGCGGATATGAGAACATGACCAAGATGACGATGGCTGCCTTGCCAATGGTAGAAGCAATTGAGGGGACATCTGATTGATTAGCCAGGTTCAATCAAATCAGCCACACCACTACTCACACATCCCAACAATATTTCCAGCGACACTGTTGCCAAACGAAAGATAGCCAGTGATGGCGACAAGTATGTATATTGACGCAGCAGAACCTATGCTTGCAGCGATGACACTAGTGGTACTTGATTTAAGTCAGTTTACAGCTACTTAATGTCGATCTCAGAATGACCAACCGTCTCGGAGAGTTGTCTTTGATTTCATTCAAGATCGAGAACATCTATCACGAATTAGTCGCTGTAAGGGCCGTAGAAATTTCCATGCTTACGTTCTGGTGGCACGTATATGCAAAAACAATGACGGGAAAGCTTTGCAGTACTTGCACGAGGCCACCCCATCGAATAACCCTGATGATACCTCGGTCTGCCTTCGTATCACCCTTTGCAAAATGATACACAACCAAGATGACTAGGTATCCAATCGATATCAAAGCTACAACGCTGGTATATTTGAGCGAATCGAGGCGTCGAAGAAAAGACAGCGGTATGACGACAAGCCTGGCCTCATATTTAGCAAAAAGTAGCGACAATCAGGGATTCAAGGCCGGAGATTTACATGAACACAGTGACCCAGAAATGCCTGTCCACAAGAAATGGAATAGAATCGGCGCTCTCGTTAAAGCCCCTGACAACACCTGGCATGAGGTCCCCAATAATTATCAAGTAGCTCACCCCAACACCAAAACATTTTATAGCGATCGCAGCATCGAAAATAACCGCTGCATTCGGATATGTGATTTGTGACAATGCAAAGAACGAAGAGGTTCCTCTTTCCAGATAACGGGCGCATCGCGTTTGTAGGTATAGACCAAAGGCGGCGGTAAGACCAGACCACAGTATCACCACAACTCCAAGCACAATACCCATATGAGACATCGCAAGAGGCATTGCCAAAGTTCCAGCACCGATGACTATTGAAAGCTTATTAGAAGGTCCTGCAGAGCGTATCGGGGACGTACTTGTGTTAACAAGGTTAATATTACTGCTGAGCCAAGAGGCTTGTCCTCCAAAGTTCTGGTCTTTCATAGCTCTACTGGAGCGTCGCCTGGTCAAGATATCAGCTCTGATTGAATTAGAAGACGAATTATTTTACCGTCTCCCTCTTGAAGCATCGGAAGTATAGCCACTTGGGGCTGCAATCGCAGAGTAGGAGGCCATTTTGGTTCAAGGTATAGACTGTGGTCGACTCGACTCGGGATTGCGCAATCACATCGTTCGAGGCAAGACGAAGTTTCTAATTATTTCGCAGAACCGGACTGTGCCGAGTAGTCTTGTGTACTGTGAAGCCGTGAATGCTGGTTCCTGGAACTCTCGTGTTCTGAAGAGTGGATGAGATGGGGTCACGTTTGCTAGCCTAGAATCTCGCACAGCCACAAGAGCTTGCGCCTCAGCCCTGTCAATGAAAGCTTTAATGTTTATTCTCCGATTTCTTGCCGGTATCGACACGACCACTAACGCAATGGACGGCACATTCGACAAGACGGCTATGGACACCATTGATCTCTTGGAAGCACGACTCCGGCGGATCGAGTTTGCGGTCTGTGGCAAAGCTGGAGAAGATTCGGCGGCAGATGGGAAGCCTCCTATCGCGCAAAGGTTGGCGTCTTTGGAACGTGCTCTACACCAGCTTGCCTCAAAATCAAGAGTTATACAAGACCTCCTTCGAATACGTTGGTTATATTCGGCTTCCTTAGAGAAAAGCATTTTCTAACTCCTGGCAGATTCGAGGTACCCAGACTTATTTCAGTCTCTGAACGCGGACAATTTGCCGACGATTCTCGATACCGAAAGTCTTAGAGCCATTATCATGGCTTCAGCAAGCTCTTATCCTGCTACTGCATCTCGGTTAACATCAATTGTGGATGTGCCAATCCCCTCAACCGAACTCTCAACGCAACTCATTGAGCTACAACCTCGTATCGCGAAAGCGGAGAATGTTCAAGCGGCGCAGAGCTCAGATATTGCTGAACTACGAGAGAGAAGTGCTGCCCTGATTCAGCGTTGGTACACTATGGACGTTCTCCGGGCAGGTGATAGCTGGGCGGATCTCGAAGGGAGAGTTGGACAGGTAGAACAGCAGCTGAGGCGAGTGGCACTGGCCAAACGGGTAGACGATGCTATGGTTTGAAGCTCAAATTCATAACCCGAACATCTCATGTTTCTTGATATCCAGGAAACAACTCCGCAACCTATTTTCGGAATTGTTTCCAACCCATTTTCTATGAAGGGTATGTTGATCTATCGTCACCCAATGATCTTCCGGATCGAAACATACCCCGATGGAAACGACTTTGATACATACTATGACGACAAAAAAGGATCCACTTACCAAATTGCAACGAGTGAGGCTGAGGTGGACTTCGCTTCTGCTGAGTTGGTGAATCAGTAATGGAATTCGGGTGCGGCGAAACAGCATGACCGGAGTGTAGGTGCTCCGTGTCTCACGATCTGAAGTCTTCCACGTGGGGTATTCGTATTGGGATGCGGCATATCCGCCGGTTTTCGAAGAACCAATGTGAGTCGGTTTTCGGGTGGTATTCTTTCCTCTGTGATTCGCAGTGCAAATCAGCGCTCAGCTGCAGCAATGCAGGTTGACAGTCTGGGGTAGTACGATAGTTTACCAACTATGAAAATACTCAACGCGGCAAGAAATGAAATATGCTTCATATCATTTAGTTTATCAGCTATCCTATAAGTTTGTCACTCATCACAAATTCCAGCCTTGTATGTCTATCCATCCTGTGATCCAAAGGGAAATCATGCACACTACAGAAGACGTAGATGTTTTGAAGTCAGGATTTAGGACTTATTAGGACTCCTTTGCAAGTGCCTATGAGTGGACCAAGAACTATTTCCTGAGAAGAGAGTCTTATCAACGCTGATCTCGGAGTTGTTCCACTCCCAAGATAGTTTCATCCTCTATGCTAACCTTTTATTTCTGGAAGATCGTGAATCTATATCCAACCTTGATATTTGAAGGGTTTTGTCCGCATGGTCCGAGCTGTGTGCACAGATGCGAGGGGTGTATGATCCTCGCCTTAACCACGTTTTTGCCACGCATCCCCGAGTGAATTGCCACAATAGCTTAATCTTTATCTTCATTTGTGGGTTACGAGTATGCGTTGCAGGAAGAAACTTGAAATGCAGCTGCAACGACTGCTTTCATCATGTGGGCGGACGATCATGAAGCTTAATAGCACGTCGAAGTCAGCCACACGCTAAATACGTGGAGCACAGCCACTGTGGCGACCTTCCTCCAGATTCAATTGGCAAAATGGCATGTTATACGCAGGGGTATAGATGAGAGACAGCACTGATTTGGTGACCCCGCATAGTTGTCGTCAAGTCTCTGGGGAGGGGATGATCTGGACCGTGAAAGATGTATCGATCGCCATGATGAAGAAATCCATAAATGTCTACCCAGATGTCCATGCTCACAGCGAATTTCTGAAGATTCCTCGACCTGAAACGACGGCAAAGCAAGAGCCACTTCCTTCCCACTCGCGACGCGCTACCAGCTCGACCCGACGTCCGCAGGAAGCATTGTTCAAGATTTACTTTTTACCGGGCAATCGCATTGTATTATTGTATTGATCTGGACTGACTGGCTTGAATTGTTTGTTCATTGTTGGTGGAACGAGTGAGAAGAAAGACACGCACCCACGACTGGACTAGAGCGAAGCTTTGGTTCTCGAAACAACAAATAAGTATTTACACCGTTTCGACCAGTCCTATCCTCGCCTCACCAACAATAGAATAGAACCGGTCACGACACGACGCCCTTCGCAGCGAATCAGCACGTCAATCGAAGTGTGAAGGGTGAAAGGTGCAGCAAGCAATTGCAGTCTGGCGTCTCATCCGCATCCGCATCCCCTCGTTATTAGGTCCGTGTCGTGTCGAGATTAAATCGCGAAGCGCGACCCGCGAACCCCCTTGAAACGAGGAAGAAAAAAGATCAGGGGATCAGAAGATCAGGGGCCCGGCACGCAGCAAGCTAAGATTTCGAATTAAAGCCTTTCGCCAGCGAGACCACGACGACGACTACTGTACGCCGACGAGGGCTCCGAATCCAACCAGCAGCCAAGGAAACGGATCAAATCATCAAATACAATTCAATTCAATTCAGGCACAAGCAACATCGCCGCCGAAACCTGGAAGCCCAGTCCAGCCCAGCCCAGCCCAACCAGGCACATAGTACCGTACCGGACCCAATTTACAGCAAAGCCTCTAGGTACTGTACTGTACCTTTCTCTCTTCCTCTTCGCAAAGCAAAGTGCATTGGATTCGATTCGACTGCACTGCGTCAAACGGGCGAACGAACACGAATCCTGCCCAGCCAGCCAGTCAGCCAGCATCACTGTCGCATCGCTCGTTGCTGCTGCACTGCTGCACTGCCCAAATCCTCATCACCGTCACGCTCAATCCATCCATCCTCGCAGTTGAGTCGCGCCCGGATCCTCGTTCCTCCTTTTGACCCTACCCGCACGTAACCCTAGTAGCCCTGTAACTGCGCTGCACGCACTGCACCGTCTGCGCCGAACTGAACGTCTCCTTCGCCTTACAGGAACACCCATCTGAAGTAAAGACAGAGCGGAGACTGTCTTTTCCCCCTCTGCTTCTTCTTCTCCTCTGTTTCTCTGTTTCTCTGCTTCTCGTCGCCTACGAGATCAAACTTCGCAACTTCCAGGTCGCTGCAGCCCCGGTCCCGTCACTCAATCGTCTCGCCTGTCGCTGTTCAGACCAGACCAACTTCCGGCCCCGACCACTCAAGTCCTCTCTACGTTCCTCCTCTTCTTCCATTCACCAACACCCTTCACCACCGAACCGCTGCGCATTATTTTCCCCCAGTTTTCCCATCCGATCGTGTCTCGACCTTCTTACATTCCCTCCTTACCTTTCGTACTCTTACATACAGTCCTTCGACGACCTTCTTCTCTTTCCCCGTTCCTGTGCTGGACCGGCTGTCAGCATTGAGGACTCGTTTCGATCACGATTTCAATTCTGTTAATTTTCACCCTCACGGCCCCCGGAATCTCGCTGAATCAGGACCGTCGCCAGCCACGCTGAAACGCTGTCCACCGCACCACCTTCTGCGCTAATTTTTGCTTTTCTCTGCTCGCAGCCTCACATCCGACACCTTTATCGAATCGATTGAATCGGATTCGATACTCGCGGCGGTATTCTCTACATAATTCTTTGCGAGAACGAGCAGTCTTGATGCCCTCTTACGGTAGTCTACGTAAGTTCCAAATGAGCCCCTTCTCGCCGAACAGGTTGTCCTAATAGAAAGCAGACTCGCCCTCTCTCCGCAAAAACAACTTCGGCATGGATAGCAAAGGTCGGAGGACAGGAGGTATGCGCACAATGAGCATGGACAACATATTGGGTGACCCGTTTGCGTTGGCTACCGTCTCGATCGCCATGGTAAGTTGTCGTCCTGCTGTGCCTCGAGGTCGAGGCTACCTTAGAAACCTTCGTTGACTGACTGTCAACAGCTTGCATGGTTTATTGCCTTTGTAGGATCGATTATCGCGACAGCACAGCATACAGACTTCCCTAATTACTCATGGTTCGCCATCGCCTACATGATGTGCTGCATTATTGGGGTATTCGTAGTGATTGCGTCGGACACAACTCAAACGTACCATGTCGCAATAGTTGGGTATCTTGCATGCGGCCTGGTGCTGACCAGCTCATCTGTCAATTCTCTAATCTATTCTTCGAATGGCGCCAAAGAGGCGACCGCTGCTGGTCACATTCTGCTCTCTATGGTCAACGTATGGACATAATTCTCGAATTCAATGAGGCTATGCTAACGGGAGAAACAGATTGTCTGGATTTTCTACTTTGGATCAACTCCGTCAGCCGTACCTCGTGCGTACCTCGACTCATTTGCCCTTCATAAGGACCACAGGACGTCGCAAGGAGGAAGAGGCATGACGAACAGCTATACCAACGGTCGTCCAGATACATCCATCTCTTCCAACGTACCCCCACAAATGTACACATCTGCCCAACTAGGAGGCTTCGAGACTTCATCTCCAGTTGCCGGATTTCCAGGAGGTGCTAGCACAGAAAGAAACTCTTCCCAGCCACGATTCACAAACGGCGCAGCAGCAGCACCAACCAGCAACTTGGCTACCAGCGGCCCAATGAGCAGCGAACCAACGGCTGGTGAAGTGGTAGCACCTACCGAGTACCCGTACAGAGCGAAGGCCATCTACTCTTACGAAGCCAACCCTGACGATGCCAACGAGATCTCCTTCTCGAAGCACGAGATATTAGAAGTCTCCGATGTCAGTGGGAGATGGTGGCAAGCTAAAAAGGAGAACGGAGATACGGGCATTGCGCCTTCGAATTATTTGATACTCTTATAGAGCGATCTCGATACGACTGCTTTTAGGGACGAAAGCTCTGTGCAACGGAATGGGATTGGGTGATAAACGGAGTGGTTGGAGTTATGTAATAAGTCAATGTGATATGACCGGTTTCCTTTGTTTCTCGCCTTATCCTCTTCAACTCTCGACCAACTGATCAGAAGATGTCGCTACATCAGAATCATGCGAGTCATTTTTTATTTTACAAAACAACCAACTGGACGAGTCTCTCGGTCACTTAGAAAAGCGATTGATTGATATCGAGCGGGATACCTTTAGCAACTGCCTATGGCCTCCTTTTACTGCGTCGCCAATGCCTATTGCTCGCATACTCAGCACAAGACGGTAGTCTTTGACCTGGGAATGCATGTGTATGAAGCGGGCAGGCAGGGCAATACTTTTTACAAGCACTTCGGGCATAATTCACGGCGTTTATTTGACTTGATGGTTGTGTATGGTACATGTGGACTGTCGTTGTATACCAAAGAAAGTATTTCTTGCAGGAAATCCAAGAGAATTATGACCCTAAGACCTAGCTTTCCTCCCATGTGATGTCTGAATGCACTATCTTGTCACTATATAGAATTATTCTGCACGTAATTTGGTGTCTGGAGCTGGGACCCATTTTGGACACTCGAAACCTGGGGAAGACGTATTCCAAAGAGGATTAATTAACATGGGAATCAAAGTCCAGAGCAGTCTTGGCACAACATCGGATGAAGTCTTGTTTATCTCGGGTCAAGGAAGCAAACGCGGCTTGGATAGAGCGGCTCATCAATTACGGTGTTGCAGATTGATGAAATTTATATCAGTTGCCCCCAAAATTCACATATAATATGGAAATGGTATATAGGTATGTAGAGAACGCCAGAAAACAAGATCCCCGAGTATCCCAGTCCATTAATCCGGATGAGCGAACCATACCCATGCTCACACCAACATGTTCATGAAGGAAAGAAAGGGGGAACGCCTTGATTTATGTAGATAAACACATTGTCTTTGGATGATCGATGACTAGGAAGGGGTATGTATTCCGTGACCATTGAAGGGAGCGATGTCCCAAAACTTTTTGCTGAAAACAAATTCCATGCACACACAACAACCATGGACGCCAGGTCTCTCTTGCACCTACCCCTCTCTCAAACGCCTTTATCGCATCCAATTCTGCCTAACAACTCCTTTCGATCGCTGTGGCCTGGTAAACTGACACCGGTGGCGCTGCTCGCACTCTTCTTATAACGGGTCTTGCTGGCATTGGAAGTCCGCCCCTTGAGGTTGATGGCCTCAACCCCGACTTCTTCTTCGTACGGCGGAAGCTCTGCTTCGTCGAATTGCTCATAATCCATCTTGTCGTTAGTCGCATCTTCCTCGTCATCGCCTTCATCGTCGCTTCGAACATCGTCCGCATTGCCTCCTCGGAGGACTTTCACCGCCACTCCCACAATCATGGAGAACCACATCAAAGTGATGCCCTGGAGGAAGAGTAACGCACTAAGAAAGCCCCATTTAATGCTGTTATTCCAGCACACGATGCCTTCAGGGTCCCGGAATGGTTGAAACAGATGCCCAAAACGATCCGGAGGAGGAAATGGTCCCTCGATGGCGCCGTTTTTACCACGATAGCATCCGTAATCGATGGTAGCAGGGATATCGGCATAGACGGACCAGCAGATCATGCAGTAAATGACATGACGGGCTGCGAACCAGGTTACTAGGAAGAGGCCAAAGAGGACATCACAAATGGTTCCGTATCCGAGGTATTTCAGGCATTTTGCGAGCTGATAGAATGTCAGAGGGGGTTCAAAGAGAATAGACTTGATACTTACAGGAAGGAGGAGATCGACAACATCCATTATGCAGAGGATCAAGTTTGCAACTTTCGTTTGATGATAACCATAACTTGTGAAGATCAACATGGTTGTAACAATGTGGTGAGTGAACATTTGCCAGTAATCTTTCCTCCTCTCTTCGATGTGTATGACGAAGATTTGCTGGAGCCAGAAGGCATACTGAACCAAAATGTACCACTTTCGCAGACCTGGAATCTCACGGTTTGGCCAATTCGTCCAGAGATTCTTGAAGTTGTACCAGTAATCGGAATTGGCGAGAATATACTGTTTTCTGTGTTACATTCTTTCTTCTTGCATAAATTTCAATGACTTACTGCTCCTAACGTCCAAAAAACGGAGACGTAAATCAGGAGCCAAGCCTGCTCAGCAAATCTGGTTTGATTCTTCACTGTTTGAATTCCACCACGCTTTGCCATGGGAGTCAATAAATAGTCCATTACCGCAGCGCGGAGACCAGTGAAAATCACAATCCAGTAGAACACCATCCAGGCATCGTTCCAACCAGCGCAGTACTGGCCGGATTCCGGATTATAGTATGATAGCTCGAAGAATTTGCGGGTATGGCGGCGGGCTCGCGGGAAGCATAGGTGTGTCAAGGATAGGAGCATGAGAAGATTGACCGAGAGACCTATGCAGAAATGTTAATATAGTAGTAAATTATAAAGAATGATGATGATGCATACCAATCTGATGTTCGACGATCCATCCGCAGACAATCTCCAGAGGGCCTTCATCTTTCTTCTTGGCTTTTCTCTTTACGGGGATTGTGCGCATAGGATATCTGGCAGAAGGTGCCCCAGCCGGCTTCTGCTTCTCTTCTGTAATATTGACAATTTGTCCATTTTGGATCTTCTCTTCAGAGGCAATCTGGGTCTCAATGTCCAGCTTTTCAATTGGGACATTGGTAGAGGGGTCGGTCATCGTTCGTTGAGGGTGCTGGTAGTGGACGGTAGCGAGTGAAAAATCCCAATTGGGAGGGGCAAATGGCTCCTTCGGGTCGTCGACAGACTTAGAATAATTTGGGCATGAATTCTAGGGTATAAGGGTCGAGGGAGAATAGAATGAAGGTATGGTGTTGAGAGGTGGAAGCTTTTGACTTTGCTTTTCGAGCAAAGGCGGTGTACCGGCCGAGGAGGTTTTATCTCGCGGGTTTATGTTTGAAGACGCTCGTTGCGCAACCTGAACATGGCCTGATCGGCGAACGAGATGAGATTGAATAATATCAGGTATTAGAGTCACAGGTTGCATGCAGACATGGAGGTCAAGTGAATAGTTGATGATTGCAATTGATATGATTTGGACATTGGCATTCACTCACAGGCAGGTAGGTCAACCTTCTGATACAAGCTTGTTCGACCGTTGACGGTCGATTTGATGCGAGGGCGGCGGCACTGACCCTCTTTTTCGCCCCTGAAATTGTCCTCCCTTCCGGACTTACTTACGGTGCCTATCGCTGGTGTCCTGTCCCTGGAGCTTGTGCAAAAGCCATGCAACCTGGCCTTGCCCCATCTGTGCTAAGCTGTAAGCCGGCTGGGGTCCAACGGAGACCCCTCCTCACAGGCTCACCTCCACTGAGGGATGTCGCTGTCGCTGTCGCTGCAGCTGCAGTCAGGTTCTCGGCTGCAGAAGAGAGGTGAAGACGAGACGAGACGAGACGAGTACAACTGAAATCCGTATCCAAGAAAAGCGCATATCACTTTCCCCCGAACTTCGTGGCCAATGAGTAGCCGTAGAAGGGAGTCGTGGTTCGAAGATCCGGTTAGGTGTAAAGTAGGCCAATTGATGGAAGATCGGAATTCCTGACTCTTCATGTCATGCATGTGTGTACTTGATAATTTTCGATATATAATTGTCAGATCTATCGAGTCAAAAATTGAGGCGGCTTTGTAGAAGAGAATAATGGAGCTTCACAATTATCACCATTCGGTCAGTTGGACGTGGTAACCGTGGTATCTATCTGAGATTGGCCCACAGGGAACAATTCAAGAGACAAGTACACGATGAATTTCCATTTCTTACTATTCAAACTGCCTTTTTCTGAAAGCATGCAAGAATGTTGTCGTTCCTCGACCTCCTAACTCAACGCCGAAGAAATGTTCATGAAGGAAATTGAATGTCTCAAACCCAGACCAAGAAGAAAGAATGTCCCTAAGCCTCCAATTCAGAATCCCACGTCTCAGTTGTTTTGTTGGCTGTTGAGGATGCGGAGAATGGCAAGGAAGAGGTTAATGATATCAAGGTAGAGGCTGATGGCCGCCGCAATCTCCTCCTCGACGTGATAATGTCTCATGATGAGTTGAGTGTCCACCAAGATGTAGCCGGAGAAGATCAAGGCACCCACCAAGCCGTAAATCAGCTCAGCGGTTGAGTTATAAGGAAAGAATGCGGCAACGAAGCCGAATATAACGAGAGTCCACAGTCCTCCAAACAGATATGGCATCCATGATGTGAAGTCGTATTTCGTTTGGCAGGCAAAGACGGTGAGTCCGACAAAGATACCTGCTGTTAGAATCACGGCTTGAAGCACAATCTTCGAATCGTAAAACGAGGTTATGACTGAGATGGAGTAGGCCTCAAGCGCAGTGAATCCTGTCAAAAACTACACAGATGTCAGCAATTCCCTGCATAACGAGTTCCAAGAGCAACATACCAGAAGGTTCATAGGATACGATTTACGCTTCCAGAAGGTCAGGAGCATAAATCCGATGGCACCGAAAAGCGACGCCCACATCATCCACTGGTTTGTCTGGATCCACACTTTGTAGGAGGGGTTCCAGAAAGAGATACAACTGAGAATGGCCGTCGCGATGAGTTGAACAGAGAGGATGGCGTAGACTTTCCTGACGAATGCCATTCGGATGTCGATGGTGGCTTCCGACACCGAGCCACCAAACTGGGCGCATGTTAGAATCATAAACAAACAACTGTTGCGATCGCAGAAGGAAGACTTACTTTGAAGTCATCTGGGATATTGTCTTCGCTGCTTCTAGGGCCACCAAGGAGAGCGGCGTCATCTCTCGACGCTGATGGCTCGGCGTACGATGGTGGTGCCTGAGAGTAATGGGCAGGATCATCGAAAGAGTCTCGCTGGGGCGCAGCGCTGTATTTGGTGTTTCCGGCCATCTTATGATTATTGTCGATGTTTTGAAGGATGCCGTAGAATACTTTCCTGATGGAGGCCGAAAAGAAAGGTCGACTTGGGCTGCTGAGGGCGAGATGATGATGATGTTGGAGTTCGGGAGCTAGCTTAGCGCGGGGGCGAATCATTCATGTCATGTACCACCGTTGACGGCTTTGTCGACTTCAGCCGCACTGATAGATTGAATCACGGGGAATCTGCATTTAAGCTTTGGGATCAAAGCAGAGCTCCTTTACCTCTGAAGATAATTGTAGCTTCACTCTTCTCGCAGGTAAAATTTCGAATTCACTTCTCTCCAATGCCTCGTCTTGATGTCTTAGTATACCCATACCGAATTTTTGTAGCTCGAGTAGTGGTATACTCACCACGTCATGGGCGACCTTGGAAAGTAACACATACACATTATACACATATCTGAAGTACTATTACACAATGTCTCCCTGGATTGCATATGGACGCAATCGCAGCTGGTTGATGACATGACAAACTTAAACACATTTTATTGGCTATAACCACAAAGAAAGAGAACCACTAGAGAATCCGCAGCATTCCACTTTGCCTCTATTCACGAGGATTGTATCGAAAGGGAAAGAATTCAGCTGCGTATTAGAAATTGATAAGAAAACACGTGATTAGCTTTTTAGAGCCAGAAAAGGTCTTGCAAATGCCGTCAACGACCCGCAAAAGTGAAGCCCCAGCTCCGATACCCCTATCAACAACGAAACTGGCAGTCGGTAAGCGCATGCATCTTCAACCCTCGATGAAGGAAGCCCCGACTCCCTGCTTCATCTCAACCTCGACGCCTGCCTTACGCCTCAGACTCTGCCGCCGCTCCATTCGTAGCTTCAAGGTGTGCGCTTTGTTCTCGGTGCATTCTGGCTTCAATCTCCTTAAGTTGACTCTCACGGGCCAACAACTCTTGCCTCTTCTCGTTGATCTCTCTTTGCACCTTGACCTCAATTTCTCGAAGCTTCTCCTCCTCGCGGCGAAGTTGCTCCTCCTTTAGACGCACGGATTGAGATGCAAGATCCTCGGGGTTCATTGACGAATCACTAGACAAATTAGCTTACAAGCGGTGTGATGGAATGTTTAGTGGGACTCACGCTCCAGCGCCACCTTCCACACTCTTGCTAAGTTTCTCGGTACGGTAGTTCTCGTACAGAAAGTCATGTGTGATTTCCTTCAGATCTGCCAAATGGCTGTGTAGCAGAGCGCTGCGAATGGCGAGGAAGTCGGAATGTCTTGGGTTGTCAACTTCGACGACACCCCATGGATATTGTCTAGCCCGCACTTTACGGCCTCCAATCTCGACAACGTCCTCAGATCCAACAATGGCAAATGGCATCAAGCCTCGAAGTTCGGCGTTCTCCTCGACAGTATCTTCATCATCCTCTTCAATGTCGTAGGGGAAGTTGTACACTGGAATGCGGTAGTGCTCAATGTCTTCCATGACAAGTTTCTTTGATTCTGCAAGCTCGACTGGTGTAAGAGAATCCGCTTTGCCAATTACCGGGATGACATTGACACGAGGTGAAAGACGCCTCATGAGCTCGATATCCAGTTCGCGAAGACTACACTCGTTAAATAACGTTCACATCAATGCAACGAGTACTCACCCATGTCCAGTTGGGGTGATGAAGTAGAGCAGAGCATGAACACGATTGTCGCGGAATCGAGGATTACGCTTGATGCGAGACTCCTCTGCCAGAATATCATCGTATTGACGCTCGAGGTAACCAACAATTTCACCGAAGCTTTTGCTAGTTAGTGACTGTCCTTAACAAGGTAGAGTTCATATCAATGTACCTTGCCTCGTTGTCGATCTGATCTCCAAACCCTGGTGTATCGACGATGGTCAAGGAAATGCGGGTGCCCTCTTCGTCCAATTCTAATTCTACATCCTCATCAGTATGTATCCTCATGTGTTCCGTGCACTTTGGTGACCCGTACCGACAGTGATGGGCTTGATTCTGACGCCTTCCTCGAGGTGTGCGTTTTGCGCATCATCGGCATCCTTTCCTTGTAGAACCTTCTTGCCACAGAGAGTGTTGACGAAAGTTGTTCGACCTATTTGAATGAATTAATTAATTGGTGTTGAGATGCTGGCCCGATTGTTGTCCCACGTACCAGTACCTGAAGCTCCACAGACCATCAAGGAGAACTGGATACCCTTCTTGACATTCTTCTTTCTGCGAACCTTGATCTATAGAGGAGGAAAGTTAGCAAGAGCAAATAGATGCCTTTCGTAAAGATCGAAGGCAGGTAGAGGGAACCATGAGTTGTGGGTGCAAAAGGGGGTGACGACGAGATTGCATCACACGTACTGCGCTCAGCGGAGAAGACATGATGAACGTTTCTGAATAAGAGACGAGTGACCAACTGCGTCAATTCGACTCGTGGAGATGGGTATCAAGGGACGAGTTGGCTGTTGCAGAAGATAATGGTGTTCGTGTGAGAGTCTGTCGCGAAATTTGGAAGTCGGTCAAGAGGTGTGCCCCTGAAGGAAATGGGGTTCCACTAGCTTGATTAGGCGCGGTAGTCTCGACGCAAGGCTGACAGAGTTTCCGAGTGAGCAAAGGTATACTTTTTGAAAGCAATAAGATGTTCTGGAGATCAAGTCCCAAATGCAATGATGCGGACAATATCTTTGGATTTTATTATCTTTCCATTATCACTACGTTCACGTGCGACTGCCCAATTCCCCGCAGTTCAATTCATAAGTAACTCCCAAAAGGTGCTAGAATCTGTGAATCACTACACTTTCTTTCCATTTGCTCATGAGCAAGATCAAAGAACTCGATAGGGCTCTCTATTGCTACTTAATACAGGAAAGTTTCATATTACCGTCTCTTGATATCACACCTTCAATCTTTTTGTTGCTGAACCTCAAAAGTTTCTAGGGTCCCCGTTGAGCGTGGAGAAAGCACAGACAAAATCCGGCCCATCAAAACAAAGCGGGCTAGCTTCATATGCCGAGGCGGGTCATTCAGCGTCTTTCATTTTGACCAAGATACCATTAGAAAGGGACATAAATCATCTGTTGCCAATCTCAACCACGCGAAAATCATGCGCAAGTCGTAACAGTTCATCCCAGACTTATCCTGACTATCTGCGGCCTTGAGCCTCGATACCTACCATCGCCATGAACACTCGACCAGCTATCGAGAGCTCGAGTAATCCGGTCAGCCTTGCGGCGAGCTTCAACTCAGACGCCAGTTGCTTTGCTGTTGGACTCGACACGGGCTTCTGCAGTTCGTTTACTTGCTCTTAACAAATCTGGAACCAGACTAACATCTTGTATAGTCTTTAACTCGGATCCATGCCAGCTGCGAGTCTCTCGAGGTACGCCCCAGACCATGATTCACAATGGCGCAAGCTGAACATCACAGATTTCAACGCCGGGATAGGTGCCGCTCAAATGCTTGGGAAAGCCAATTTCATTGCACTCATTGGTGGTGGTAAACTTCCCAAGTTCCCGCAAAATAAAGTTAGTAACGACGAGGCTTCCTTAGATGCTTGCTGATGCTGCTACAGGTCATTATTTGGGACGATGCAAAGCAGAAAGTTGCTATACAACTACCCGTCCTTACTGCGGTCCGAGGAGTTCGACTTTCGAGAAGCCATATAGTGGTTGCGCTTCAGAACAGTGTCCGGGTCTACAAATTCCAGAGCCCGCCAGACCTTTGGGCCGCCTTTGAGACTGCTGACAATCCTCTTGGTCTTTGTTGTCTGACCTCGAAGACGTTAGCCTTCCCTGGAAGAACACCCGGACAAGTTCAATTAGTTGAATTGTCATCAGGGAATGTTAGCATCATACCTGCTCATGGTTCATCTCTACGAGCTATTGACATCAGTCAAGATGGCGAGGTCTTGGCTACTGCGAGCGAAACTGTACCCATTCCTCAAATACTTTCAAGCTTCCCTCACTAACCTCGATCAGGGCACCTTAATCCGTGTTTTTGCCACCAGCAATTGCGCTCGTATAGCAGAGTTGAGACGTGGTGTCGACCACGCTACCATCTTTGCTTTGGCTATTTCACCATCCGGGCAGCTCCTAGCTGTCACTTCGGATAAATCTACTCTTCATATATTTGATGTCCCTCATCCATCCAAACCTGTACGAAATGAGACAACCAATGCGAATCGAAGACTCACGACAATGGGCAACGGAGGAGGAAGCCCTGTTCTGAGTGACAGTGACACTAGCCAGAAATGGGGAATACTAGGACGAATTCCTTTACTACCTCGAGTCTTCTCGGATGTTTACTCCTTTGCGTCTGCTCACTTTGAAATCGGAGATGAGCTCTTATATGGAAGCACAACGCCTTTGAATAGCGAAGCGGCTTTCCGACCACCAAAAGGTATCATCGGTTGGACTAGTGACCATAGCATCGTCGTGGTTGGAGCCGGTAGAGATGGCAGATGGGAGAAGTTTGTCATCGCTGAGGGTGAGGATGGCAAACGGTATTGTGTCCGAGATGGATGGAAGAGGTATCTCGGTGCAAATTGATGCTTCTTGCACATATCAGTCTCATTTAGCGCGGCGTACGGGGTTTGGATCACACGGTAGAGTATTGAAGGATATGGGCATATTTGATTTCTGGGAGACTGTTTTTGGCGTGGCTTTTGAGCATTTAGATGTCCATGGGGGACTGCATAGCAGCTGCTGAAGAGCATTCTATGAATCCATTTCTGATCTATACAACCCATGCTGGGTAAGGTCAAGAGAATCACTACCTCCGCCGGTCTCTTGTCCTATCATGTTCCCGCTCTGTCCTTCTGGGAGATTCTCGGCGTCGACTCCTGTGCTCATCTCCGTGACGGCCTCCTGACTCGGACCGTCTTCTATACCTAGGTCTTGTTTCCAAATATTTCACTGAAGGATGCTCTCGAGACCCAGATCTCCGGCGATGACGATCTTCCCTGCCACTAGAGCGACGAGCATCTTCATCTTCGCGTCCGCCCTCTTCTCTCGTCGATCTATTATGCCGATGTCTATGTTTGTGCGCCTTTTCTGACTTCTTGCCTTTCACTTTGGCTAATGCCAAGGCAACTTCCTCTTTCTTCTCTTGAATCAGGTAAGCTTTCATAGGATCTTCATCTTCGTGCTCTTGGATGAGCTTCGTCAGCTCGTGCTCTTCCTGGATCATAGGTCGTTCCTCCTCGCTCTCGGACTCGTTGGTTCGTCTTCTTTTGCGCCTGCCTTCACCAGTTTCTTCAATCTCCTCCAAATCTCGTGTAAGATCAATACCCGTTTCTGCTTCGTCGTCCTTTTTCTTGTATCTCGTATGATCAACCCTTAGCGTTCGGCCCATCACGACTGTTCCCCCCAGATTGTCGACTGCAAGATCTGTGCTCCGTTGATCTTCGTATTTAAGAAATGCAAATCCTCGAGACTTGCCCGTCTCTTTGTCGCGCACCAAATTGATATAAGTGGGCTCGCCATATTGTGAAAAGATTGTGACTATATCGCCCTCGGACAACTCAAATGGAAGTCCTCCAATGTAGACATAGGCTGTATCGCGATAGTCTGCGTGCCAAGATGCTTCTGGGGTCCTGTAGAGTGTTAGACCAGATACGTAATAGATACAAAGTATACATACACTCCGTTCTCAAGCTCCTTTTTATTCAGCTCCTGAATTTGCCGTATGTTGTTCATGTTGCTTTTTGTTGTGATTGTGGAGGGGGAAGTTCTGCTTTGACGTGAGGTTCGCAAGGCTGAAGAAGTTTAGAAAATGATCGGCAAGAAGTGCCGGCCTCTCGTCCAAACGCGTTTCTGGACATCAAAGTCCCAAAGAAATTGGGACTTCCAAATACGACGCTATTCTAAAACTATTGCAAATGCGTCTGATATTGCAATCTCAAGAACGAATGCCACACCTACGGTAGAACAGATGAAAGCTTGGATCCAACAAGCCTCTTGTATCAACACCTCCTGAGACAAGATTCAATGCCAAAATGGCAGCCACCAACAGAACCTCCACATATACTCAGGTATCGACGTCGAGCGATCATGACAGACCAAAAAGCGCAGATGCTAAGAAAGACATGTGGTCTTCTATGCTTGACAGCGTGGCCACTGGAAAACATCTGCCAGAAAAGAATATCCTCGTCCTAGGTAAGATTGGATTGGCAGTAGTCAACTTGTATTTGGCTAACGTCTTTCAGGAGGGACTCCCGAATCGCAAAGAGAGTTTCTAGAAGCACTTTCTACGGATGATTCAAGAAGGGCAGGAGATCGGCAGAACAGCAAACAGCCCCCTATTGCAAACAGCTTTGCCCTGGGTTACACATATCATGATGTTCTAGACGCAGACCACGAAGGTATGCCTGGTTCTACCTTTCTGACGAATATCGCTCACCAAATGCAGATATTCTAGCTCGCCTCTCTATATACCTCCTTTCGGACCCATCTCCTTCATTTACACCCCTGCTCCAACCACTTCTTACACCGGAGAGTATACCGAATACCTTGATCGTGGTGCTCTTGGATTGGTCACAACCATGGTTCTGGCTTAGACAATTACGAGATTGGATCAGGCTTCTCAGAACCCTTCTAGTCTCACTAGATGGGGATTGCAAGGAGAAGATGGAAGAAGTCATGATCAGTTGGCGGGACAGGGGCCGAGGTGGGAACAGTTTAGATGGAGCAGGCATCAGCAGCACTGCGGACAGTGATGTGAGCTTGCCACTAGGCCCAGGCGAGTGGGAGGAAGCTCTTGGTTTACCATTGTGTGTCGTCTGTCAGAATGTAAGCCGAACCTTCAATTTAAGTTGTCTATTGCAACTGACTCACAGTATCTAGTCGGACCGGATCGATATGCTAGAGAGAGAAAGTTCGTGGAAAGAAGAAGAATTTGACGTTGTCTTGCAATTTCTACGGACTGTCTTACTAAAACGTATTTCTTATTGCTCTTCCCTCCCAACCAGCTGCTAATCAATCCCAGACGGCTCATCCCTGATATACACAATTCCTTCGGTTACCAGTCCCTTGCAGAGTCTGATTCATTCATCACTGGGCATACACTCCCTATTAAAACGGCAACCTCTTAAGCACAATGTCATTGACCGCGACAAGGTCCTCGTACCACCGAACTGGGATTCTTGGGGTAAAATCAGAGTGCTTCGGGATGGATTTGATGTCGAAGCAATCAATGGAGGCTGGTCGCTTGATATCGAGGAGTCCAATGACTTTGCACCTGATTCGCATACCAACGGAACTGAGAGTCAAACGCCAACTAATGAGCATGCACCCCAGGTTAGCGGAGGAGCTGTCGAAGCATTCGAAGAGACTATTCGAGATCCAAGCCTCGACGCTTTACAAGCGACCTCGGCTGAATCCAATGGCTACAAGCTGGAGGTCGACAGTCTTGATACGCAAAATTTTCTTGCTACTCAGATAGAGGTGCTTGACAAGATCAGAACAGGAGCCGACTCCAATGGTATGGATAGTAGCCGTGTAGTCCGAGGACGACAATTATCACAGTCCAGAGTCGATGACGGAGATAGAAGCCCCACAGGTGAAGGGCGTGTCAGTGAACACATTGGTCCTGTACAGTTCAACATGGGAGGCATCCAGGTTGATGCCGATGACATGTTGCAGAGGTTAAGGGTTAGTCAACTCTCTATAAGGTGCTCTATCACACTCTGACAACGAAAATTAGGACCGTCAAAGCTTCCAAACACCAGAGCCAGAAACACCTATGGGAAGCTCTGCCGACGGGAAGAACCAGAACGAGGCTCTAGCATCCTTCTTTGCTGGGCTTATGAAGAGGGGCGGCGGTAGCGCAACGAGCAGTCCTAGACCTGGCGCTTCATAGCACGACTGTTACATTCGGCGATGTTGTATTTGATATAGTTGCTTAGAAGATTGAGCGTGTCTTGAATCCATGGCCTGGAGTTTGGGACCAAGTTACATTGAAATTTGCCAGTGGTTTAGAGAATGATGATGCTGCATGATACCCAGCGGCTTGGTGTAAAAATAGCATTTACTTAGAAATGGACATGTAAGTGGTAGCATTGGTGCCCTTGACTTTATGCTTTCTTGGTATTAAATTGTGTGCTCTATAGTGGTTTTAGAGCTGAGCCCTTCTATGATAACCATGTAGACCAAAATGAATAGACACGGTCGATACTGTACCTCTTTCCACTTCTGCCTTGATGAGATGCACTTTTCTCTAGAACTTGACATCAGGCATTTTCTCTTGTTCCCGATTTTTGCTCTGATAGTGGAGACTTTTCATATACAAATGCTTATTTTCACTTTGGGATTATAGAATTGAACTGCTGAATCACAATCTGATGTTACTGAGCTGTTGATGATGCCGAATTATAATCACCTACAAAACACGATAATACAGGAGATCACAAGACTCACAAAGCATGGACATTGGCATTCACGGCTGTAGGCTAAAGCTAAGTTGTGCTTTGTAGTGAAATTGTCACTGCCGCTGCAATTTACAAACGTAGAAACGATGGCAACACACAACTCCGGACTATGGACCTCTATGTATGTATACCTCTTCAACCCAGACTCGCGGTCGGTCACCTTAATGGTTGATTCACGAGTAGCTATCAAGAGATAAAGCTTTTATTAGTGCCTCGTTAGATGAAATATATTTGTCGAATTCTCAAGCTACAGACCAAAATCGCACTTGTCTAGCAAAAAAAAACTTGGGGTCGAAGCTCTTTCATACAATTACTTGCAAAAGAGCAAGCATGATCTGGTAAGGTAGCACATAGGAAAGAAGCACAATGTCAGAAGCATGACCCATTTTCAAATCAAATTTGACTGTTTAAGTACTCGTACAGGAAAACAAAGGACAAAGGAAACAGTCTGATTGCCACAAACCAAATCGTCAGTCCTGCCATCGTAACTCCGTAAACCAATTCGCTTGTCCCTTCCTTCCATAATAACCCCGACTGCCGATTTAATTTTCAACCTGTACCCCATCTACTCCTCGGTCTTCTGCTCAACCACAGCTTCCTGATACTCTGGTGGAGGGCCCTGAGCAGCAAGGAAACTCTTGACTTCTTCATCCTCACTGGGTTCCTGTTGCTTTACCTCAATGTATTGCTGTCTCTGTCCACGACGGAACATGGTACGCCAGACAAAGACGACAATATGACCTGCGACCATTCCAACAAGACTAGCGGTGATTCCAACCATGATGCCGATGAGGACAGGAATGAACACATGTAGAACGATGCCCTTCAAGAAGCGGGCAAAGCTTCCATGTCGGTGGTGATGACGGAATGGACGGTTGGGGCCGGGACGGCCGTGGTGGCCGTGATGGGGCTTCTTCTTGTGGCCAGTGTGACCAGCGAAAGCGTGTGGGCCGTCGGGACGGGCCTTGGATCCACAGCCCTTCAATTTCGAGAGTCTATCAGCGATAATTGCCCTCCACTTGCAAAGGATGGTTGTGCATTCTTGGCCATTGTCGGTAGGCTTGGAGACTTCGCTCTTGGGTTGGGTCATTTGAGCATCGCCAATCATCAACTTTCCGCTGGGTGTCTCGAGTAGTTTGATCTCCACGCCCGGAAGACCGCTCACGAACTTGTCTCCAACTTCCACAATTTCGAGATGAATGGAAACAAGGTCGAGTTGGTCTTGAGTCGAATAGGCGACTGGGTGATGAACGCTCAGCGCATATCCCAATTTCGGTGTTGAAGTCTGTTCCCAGGTCTTTTCTCGCGTCAAAGCCATCAAAGGTGCTGTGAGAGGTTCCATAAAGACCCCAGATCTTGGGTCGATAGGGTAGAGTGGAAGGCCATTCAACAAGAGCTGGTCGTGATCTTCGTGAGATAGGCTGAAGTTCAGTTTGAGCATGCTGGGAGGCTGCTTCATGTGCATCTTGCCTTGGAGTTCCGGAATGGCAGGACATCCAGGACAATTGATTTCCATCACCCTGGTATCGATAATAACGGCATCTTCGAATGGTAGGGTCTTGATGATGTCGGCGTCTGATGAGGTTATCTCGGGAGGAATGAGGAACGATTGCGATAGCCCAAAGAGGGCCGCAACGGCTCCAGCTTGTGTGAAACGCATGGTTGTTGATTAATGGCACAGGTGCCGATCGATAGAGTGTGTTTTGTATTGATTTCGATGATGTTGATGTCTTTGTGAAGACCTGCTTCGTTGTAGGTTCGGTGGTGGCGACGACGTCAAAGGAACTGGAATGGGGAGATTCCACAGACACGTGATATAGGCTATTTCTGGAGTGGGGCGTGATTCACTGAGTACGGAGAGTGTCGAAGACCTAACGTGCTGAAGTCGGTTGTCGGCGATTCAGCTTGGATAGCAGTGAGCAAAGCGTTGCAAGAGGGGAAAAGTTTGGACCAAAAGGCATAAGGAGATGAGATGAATAGGCTGAAGAAGTCTTTGGATCTTGGTGGCACATTGTCTATCTCTACATGGTTGGTCTACAGTGTTCCATGGAGCAGAAAGTCTCTTGCACATAAAAAAAGATAAACCACTGGTAGGGAGCTCTCCTGTCGAAGGAGCTCGTCAACAACCAAGAATGTTGATGTGCGATGCGCAGACAAAGACACTTGATTACCTTGCTGTATCCGAGTAATAGTTCAAATGACCATGTTAGTTTATATCAGATTGTTGAGTTTCGAAGATCTGCGGATTTGACATCCTCGATTCACAAATGTCACTTGGAATTCAATTGGATTGAAGTTGTTGCGTCCCCCTTTAAATGACAAGGATCGTCACTGCCCCAACGTCATGCCGCATCTGGTCACGATCGAGTGCTACGGCAAGAGAGCTCACAGCTCCTGAGACTAGGAGCTTTCGGCCCTGAGAACACGAAAGTTTCTGTTTTCTTTTCCGTTTTCCTCTGTTTCCTTCACAACGAATTCTGTCTGTCTCTATTATCTCAAGAGACGATTTGAAAGACAATTACTAGCATCCCATCATTGAGTCCGTTCATAACTGTTTTCATCAGATCCCTCGCAATTGCCACGATGTTTCGCACTCAATTACTGCGGCAAGCAATTCGAGCAGGGACTGCTTCCTCGAGACCAATTGCCTCCCATGCAGCTCCTGTGATAGCTTCTGCGCGTTCTATTCACAGTACGACGGCTCTCCGTCGGGATGAGGAAAAGCAGGAGGGGCATGAGGGGTCTTTTGCACGAACAGATGAATCTATCCAGGTGGAGTACCCGGAAGAAGGAGACTTACCATCCAGTGCACCCGTTCAAGGCCGAGGAGGCATGCATTTTAGACGTACCCTCGCTTCATTCTCGCTCGAAGGTAGAGTGGGAGTTGTGACTGGTGGTGCAAGAGGTTTGGGTCTGGTCATGTCCCAGGCGATGGTCATTAGCGGTGCAGATGTTGCTATTGTTGATTTGAACAGTAGGTTCTATGAATCGTAGTGGGGCTTCTGCTGAATATCAACAGAGGAGGAGGCTGAGAAGCAGGCGGAGGAGCTTATGAAAGCATTCGTCAAGGAGAATCCGGGATCAGACAAGTATGACTACTCCATTGATTGGCATTTTCACGGCTAACATAGAATAGGATACCAAAAGTTACCGCACATTATGCTGACGTTTCATCACAAGAATCTGTCGAAGCCGCAATCGCCGAAGTCATCGAGCAACATGGAAAGATTGACAATTTAGTCACTTCCGCTGGGTTCACAGAGAACTTCGACGCAATCAACTATCCTATTGACCGAGTACGAAAGCTTTGGGGCGTTAATGTTGACGGCACATACCTGTTTGCAATTGCAGTAGCAAAGCATCTCATGGAGCGAAAGGCCCCGGGAGCTATGGTTTTCATTGGTAGCATGTCAGGAGCTATTGTCAACGTTCCGCAACCGCAGGCACCATACAATGCTGCCAAGGCAGCGGTGCGACATCTGGCTTCCAGTTTGGCGGTTGAGTGGGCGCATGCAGGCATTCGAGTCAATTGCATTTCTCCAGGATACATGCTTACAGCTTTGTGAGTATTATACTTCATGATCAAATGAAACATGCTAATAAGAAATAGGACTAAGAAAATCCTCGACGACAACCCAGATCTCAAGAAGCAGTGGACATCACTTATTCCTCAGGGTAAGATGGGTGATCCGGAGGATCTCATGGGTGCTGTGACCTTCCTCTCATCGGATGCTTCGAGCTATGTCACAGGTAAGTCCCTGGAGTTCATTGTCCAAATACTATATGACTAACATACTTAGGTGCCGACCTTCGTGTCGATGGCGGATACACCCTCACGTAAACATCTCACGAAAAAGTGTTTGTTGCTGTTGTGTTTGGAAGACCATATAGACTTCATTATTGTTCAGAATGTATAGCGTTTGGAGCGATCTGTTAGAGGATGGGGAGCTTGGCCTCTTGTACGTGTGATGGATGGGCCAAAGTTCAACCAAGTGCGTTGCATGGTAGATACCAAAACGGTGCTGTGAAAGATTAAAGGTAGGGAAAATCACATTTACTTGCTCTAATCCGTGGATCTTAAAGTTGAAGTTTACCAGCAACTTGACCGTGGTATCAATTCTTTTCGCAGTTGTGATAGTCTGATTGTTGTCGTTTTTTGGGATTTACGCAATCCTATACTGTCTTTGTGCATCTCCGATAACTCTCTGAAGTGATCGATCGTGAATTTGGGATCGAGTATTAGTGATAGAATGGCATTGATGTGATTTGGGCACTGTTTCTAACTGGCTATCTATCAGTGTGGGATATAAGGAATTATTCTGTGTTGATTCATGTATGTATAATCATAATATATATGCCAAATGAAAAGCCGGTATTATATCTAGCCTTGAATAAGTTTTGCACTCTTATAGCACTCAATTACATCTTTGATTTTCGGAGGTCGTCGAAATATTGGGGTTCTGGACAGCGCAACAAAGTATCACCGAGTGTCACAATACAGCGTTGAATGGGGGTTTTCGTTACGCGAGGAGGCGCCTCCAACCCGAATGCCGGGACGGCACATGCGGAGGCGCTGAACTTGTGATCTCTCGCTGTCTGGGATCAATCACCATTCGTCCCAAGGATGAGATAGTGGTGCGTTTGTTCGTGTTCGTGCCCAACTTCTATTCCCTGGATGTAACCCCCAATATCGCATTTCCTCGGAAGTATCGAAGCTCCAAGCCGAGGCAGGAGGATGGAGGGCTGAAAGTGGCAGTCGGTGAGGAGTTTCTTATTCCCTTCCTGCGGGCTACCCTTTCTCGGTCGGGGGAGAGTGAGACACACGCACCCAGCATCCATGATCGCCATGCAAAAATGATAGATAACATTTTTTCTCCGACGTCCAAGAAGCAAAAGCCTCGCCAGGGTGGTGCCGTGCCGTTCCTTGCAGTTGCAGGGGGGCTCGTGGGGTGCGGAACTGCTTCTGGGTCAGTGGGGGTCAAGCGTTTGCATACGCTGGAAGGCCAACGTTCTAGAAGGATTGTGGACCATTGGGCACAGTTCACTTGCACATGGCAGTGGCATGGGCAGTGGGCATGGCATGGCGACGGCGGCCAGCATCGGCGACGGTCAGATGATGGTCGGTCTTCAGAGGAAGCCGGTCAGGATGCGGCTGATCCTGGCGACGGCGAGATAGGCAGATACTTTTTGAAGGGGGGTTGAGATTCTGGTATGTAATAGGAATTCACACTTGCCCCGTTCACGATAGAGGACCGCTTAGAGACGCGGGGCTATGTGGTGGTGGTGGTGGTGGTGGTGGTGCTTTGCGATTGAGAGAGAGAGACAGAGAGAGCGAGAGAGAGCTCGAAGCGAGAGCGGGCGAGTTGACTGACTGATTGACTTCAATGTGCTCCTGCTTCTGGAATGCGGTGAGTCTCTTTGCCAGCATCGGATTCGCAAAGGGACAGTGCCACGATGCCGCGAGAGCTCTCAGCGGCCGGCTATATACTGTACAACCACCATTCCAGCTCAACAACGATCCCAGAGCGTCACACGACCGCCGAGAACGTGGTGCAGACGGCGAAGGAAGAGGTCAGCAGCCAGATCAGAGAAGTCTCCTTCAGGCTCGGAAGACATTCCGATGTGATCACGCAAATTGTACAGTACTCTGCTGTAACTCTCCTCCTTCTTCCCGACCCCACCCTTGAACCTGGAACGGATGCCAATTTGTTGCAAGTCAGGACCGGAAACGGGAGGATTGCTGCTGCGTTGGAGGGACAGACCAGACCGTCTGGCTTGTGATCAAACAGATACTGCTCATGCTCATGCTCATGCTGGGCAAGACGGTAGCTGGGGCACTTTCCAGCTGGAGAGCTGGCGGATTTCTGTCTAGTCCGCTGGCCCAGGAGCCGGATGTCCCTGCCGAGCTGGATGAGTTGGCTCGAGGGTCAATACAGTACGTACGATTCAGTGTCACGGTGAGTAAGAACCGAGCGGTGAGCGTGGAAAGGAGGAGCGACTCGTCGAGGATGAATTGTTGACAGCAGTCTTTGGAGATGGGGGAGAATGGACGACATATCAGAGGCGAGGTTGGTCGGCGGCAAAAGATGCATGCTGCAAGCCGGATTTGACGTATCTCAATAATTCATAACGTTGTCTGATATGCGTTGGAGAGTCACTCGAGGCAAGCGACAAGCAAGACAAGACTCTCTCTCTTCACTTGATGCTGGCCAACAAGCAAGCACGCAATGAATAATTGAATGAATGAATAAATAAATAAATGGATCAACGGAACAACCAAACATGGTCCAAGTGTGGTGCCATCGTGCCAGTTACTGACGTACCAAAAGTGTCTCTCCCTGGGATCTTCCAGGATCGTGTTTCCTTCTGCAGCTTATTATTATCCTTACATAGCAAGAAGAAGTAATCCACACTCTGACTCTGACTCTGACCACGAGGCGACAAGAGCGAGGGAGGAGGAGAGGAGACGAGACGAGACGAGACGAGACGAGAAGAGAGCAGCCGCCCAAGCCACCAGGATCATCAGCCTTCCCACGCGGAGGTACCGACGGCGGTATACGGTGGTAGACTCGAGTCCCATACCGTTCAGCGTGCAAGCAGGAGAGCACAAGCCGGAGCAGAAGACCCTGGATGCAGCCAGCAGCAGTCAGACAGCCAGACGAGACTTCACGATCGCCTGCAGCAGCATCCGTCAGTTCTCGTCTTTCTTGTCCAGATCGTAAGTTGGATCTCGCGTGTCGCAGCTGGTGGTAAGTAAGTGGTGTACAGTATTTAATTTGGGCGTCCACGGTCATGGTTCTGGTCGGGGCTGTTCGTGTCGTGTCGTGTCTTGTGTGTTGCTTGCTATTGTCGATGTAGAGTCATGATGACATACAGTATACAGTATATTTTTTTCTGGAGGCGGAGTGGAAGTAAGTTGAGGTTAGGTACTGTACAGTACTCCATACCATAGAGAAAATAAAGATTCGGGTTATTGAAAATTAAACACCAAACAGCCACCAACCCCTCCACATCCCATCCCATCCCATCCCGCAGTCAACGGCGACACCAAGTTCGTCTTCTTCTTCTTCTTTTCTTTTCTTTTCTTTTCTTTTCTTTTCTTCTTCTTGCCTCTCCTCACTGATACTAGAAATCTACGAAGTACCTGCCTCCTTTCGTTCTCACTCTCATCCACATCCACATCCACATCCACATCCACATCCACATCCACATCCATCATCATCCACCGAGGGCCAAGACCAGGACCACAACCAGGCCAAAGCCGGCCCGCGGTGCAAAAGAATATTGGGCCGAGCACGACCTACCCTACCCTACCCTACCCTATAGATATTCTAAGAGTACTAGGTATCCAGGCCAGGCAAGGGTGACTGACCCTCCGCTCCCCCTGGAAGAAGAATCCCTCGATATCCACGGATCCAATTCCCCCCCCATCCATCGCCTCCCCTGCCTCTGCCTCTGCCTCTGCCTCTGCCTCCAACGGCTCTGGACCCGTCGCCGCCCCTGCCCCTGCCCCGCTGGGTAGTGGGTGCATGGTCCTGTGGCCCAGCTGCTTTCGTACCTGGAACTGCATCTTTTTGTCACCGCATCTCTCTCCTCGCGCTCTCGTTCAGTATTCCATTATTCACTCCCGCCTTCACACGCCTTCGTCGCCTCTGACCTCACACTCACCCCTTTCACTCACTCACTCACTCACTCGCTCACCACTCTAAGACGACGAACACTGATCGCATACATACCATTTCCCATTTACCGTCGACCACGTACCTCCTCCTACTTAGGAACCTCTCAAGTCTTCAGTCTCAAGGCTCAATCAAGTCTTCTTCTCGTTTGAGCCCTGGGAGTTGTTCAACACTACCACACCACTCACTGCTCTTGCCTCTCACCACCGCCCACTCACTTACCACTGATCAGTCCTACGCTGTTCAGCTCCTGTCTGTCTGTCCCTACTCTAAAAAAGTAAGCCTCTGAGCTTGTTTGCATTGCTTGCCTACCCAGAAATACACGCCCGCGTCTTAGTCACCCCGTCCACCAAGTCCCAATATCGTCATCCTTGCTGTTGCTGCCATTGCCATTTGGTACTTCTGACCTCCAACCACTCACTAATGATCCTCCGCCCCAGACAATTACACCTCCCGACCAAGCAATACTTAATACCAGCGTATTCTTCAATGTTCCACGGCACTCTGTACGACCTCTAATTACGATTAATTCCCTGCCCGAGTTTCGAGTCCGCACCCATTCGTCTGTCTACCGATTGTCCTCCCAAGTCCCGAGAGCTCGAGTGCTGTCCATATAATCCGCTGTCGAGCTTCTCTATTGTGCCTTCCCGATACCGCCCTACTTTATACGTTGTTCCGGATGTTTACCAGGAGCTTACTATCAGTCTTAAAAAGTTGTACCTTGGATTGATGCAATCTTCTTTTCCTGGTACTTGGTCCTCGAAGCATCTCGTGCAGAAACAAACTTCTGCTTCATCGCACCTTCTTTTCCTGGAACCTCAGAGCCCATTCTCTGGATGCAGCTGCCTTAACTCTCGAAACCCTTTGACGCAGGGCCTTTCCAGGTAGGCTTGCCTGCCTTGAAAGAGCTGCTGTCAACCTCCATTCTCCTTGGATCCTCAGCCCACCTTTCAAGATGGCGTTGATTCTCCCCAAGGGAATTGTCGTCAACTCGCCACACGTGCAGGGTGACATCGAGAGGATAGATGCTGAACCTTTGGACGAAGCAGACATTGCTAAAGTCTGGAAAGGTAGCTTCGCAATCCTCTTCCAGGACCACGAGAGTGGATCTGACACTGAACAGTATACACCACAACTCAGCGAAGACTCCTCGATCCGACAGCAGAGCGTCTAGAGAACTTGTGGTGGCGCATATGGGGCAGTCCTAAGAAAAGTCTGAAAGGGGCAACTGTTGCACGCCTCTTTGCCCAGATCTCCCACGGCCAAACCTTTGTACCACTGAGAGGACCCCCAAATCGGCACGAAGGTAGCCCGCCTTTGGTATGCACCGTCCATTTGCTTCTTCAGACCATGTCGTACTGAAACTGGGAATTTAGACCACGAACAGCCGCCAAGGGCCAGCAGCATCGAGTACCAGCAATATTCGATACCCAGCTCACAGTCGACCAAGTACAACTTCATCGTCTGTGGCATCACGAGCACCAGGATCTATGCCGCACCCCATCTTGAAGAAAACCAGAGGCCCATCGAGTACAGGCCCACGCCCAACCGCACGTTTTATCTCACCCCACGAGTCACAAGACGAAGCCGATCGAGCTTCATCAGTCAGTCCTAATACGCATGTCACTGTCCAACCTCCGTCACCCTCACAAGAATCGCAAGAGCCCAAGACTGATAAGAAATCTGCTGCTGTTCAGACTAAGAAAACTTTTCTAGCATCGACGAAGAAGAAACGGCCTGTGATAGTGAGACGTCAGAGTTCCCAAACCTCGCAATCATCCGCAGACATCGCTGCTGCTAGTGCTGGTAGAGCATCAGAATCTGGACAGTCATCCTCAGCAATTCAGTCTTCTTCTGAACGTACCCCTCCTACATTTACGCAGCAGGCTCGCGGTCAAGCACAGTCTAAATTCCAAGAAAACTTCTCCTCGTCTCTGCAACGGTCTGGTGGAAGTACTCAGTCAACTAAAAAGCAGACTTCACGAAGTACAGACATCAAACGCGCACCACAGCGAGGCAAAGGTACAGAAGTACATACCGAGACAGATCTGGCAGGCGACCCTGGTCCATCGAAACAGCTTCAACGGATCGAAAATCTCCAAGAACATGTTGATGAGTTGTCTGCTGAAGAGCTCGAAGAACTTGAACTCCAAAGAATGCTTCTGGAGCAGGCGAATGCACGGGTTCGAAAACAGTCACAAACTACTCAAGCTACTCAAACGCCTTCTCTTTCAGAATCTGCCCACGAAGGACTACGCATAGTACATAACTCACTTAGGTCAAGGCCGAGTGCATCGCATGGTACCGAAGGACCAAGCGCCATGGGTCTTTTACAACACGATGCGAAAGGTGCTACTAGTGCAGCGCCTACACTTACGGATGCCAGTGGACACGTCAACCTAGGCAGTGTTGGCCATCAGCAAGGCCGGTCTTTAGATAGCAATGTGTCTAGAACAGCAGGTAAAGGCAAGGGACGAGATCCGGACGAGGTACAACGAAATTCAATGTTTGCGAAACGGCCAGTACAACCAGTACAATTACCATCGAGCCCGGACACCAGCGGACCATTGAGTCGAAGCAAGAGTCAACTGACTCTACTATTGGAGAAAGACCGAGAGCGAGGTGGTGGAAAGAAGCCAGATAAGGAGCAAAGTCAAGGAAAGAAGAAGTGAAACAGCGAATTATTATCTAATTGTGTCTTATATCGAAGGGCATAGTACGGGATGGTGTTAGGGCGGAAAAGCATCTGAGCGATTTTTTAAACATTCACGACTGCTAGTTGTATCATAAGGGCTCGGGTCTGGGCTTCATGAATAGTTGTTTGAAGTTTGCTGTTGGGAAGAGGCGGGCATGGACCATTTGCATGGCTATGGCGTTGAAATGCTCTGGACACCAGAATTCTTCAGGGAATCTAAGAAATGGCATGTATGTATATTGAACGTACTTTGCTTCGCAGTATATGATGAGATAATAGCATAATTCAAATACAGTTCACCTACCTACTTTGATGTAGAACAACAAATACACCATATATCTGTCACTGTGATTAAACACGAGAAGGCTAGGGCCAATGTACTTAGAGCAGAGATTCTGTGATCCCAAGATCCGTTCCCCCTGGTCCATCCCTGCATCGAGCCTTTGATGTTCCTGTTCCCCGCTCTGGCGGCTGTGGGGGCGCAGCAGGCCCAGGGGTGGGAAAGAATACATTGCTTCTCATCATACGAGCCAATTTCCTATGAAGTCAACCTCGAGTTGTCTTGGCAATAAGTTTTTCAATGAGTTATGCGAACATTCGAGTAAGCTGTCTTGAGAAGTCTGAGCCTGTTGGAAAGGATATGATGCAAATATAAATGCCAAGTCAGTGACGTTGGAAAGTTCAAACATCAATTGTGATTTCAATTGGGGGGTTCACGATGTTGGTTGTATTAACCGTTTCATGAGTACCAACAGACTGTGCCGCACCAGGCAGAATTCTAAATTGAGAATATGAAAGTCTGCGCCTCCATCCTTCGTTCTTGGAACCTCTACTTCTTAACGATCTAAGTTTCCACGTCCTCCCAGTCTATTCCTACCTTTACAAGAAACTAGCTGCACGAGAGAAACGGCAAGAAACAATGGTATTCTTCTTCCTCTCCCTCCGCGAATCCGGGAGCCGCATCGAACCCGACATCCTCCCCACCTCAACCTCTACCTCTGCTAGTCTCCTCCCGAAAGCCCCCCCGCGCTGGCAAGATTCCGAGTTCCAGGACTACATCACGAATTGGGATACATCGGATAAACCAGCGTTGTTTAGACGTGTTGCTTGCATGCTGGCGCTAGTGCTGCATTTGCCGATCAATGGTATCAGTATCTTGAGTTATGGGATCAGCTTTTGGTTGTTTATGGGGATTGTGATTAGTGTGTTGAATTTGGGGGGTGTGGGGTGGGCGTTGTGGAAGTTGGATACTATGAGAGGGGAGAGGGTGTTTTATGGCAAAGTGTGAGTTCCTTGGATTGTTGAGTGGAGGGAGGAAGTGATTGCTGACGAGAAATAGGTTTCAGAGGAAACATTTTGACTATGTGATTCTTGGGTTGGTGATCGTTTATGGGTTCTTCTTTGGGATGTTCCTTTTCGTGAGGATGAGGGCTAGTGATTGTGAGTATTGTCAATCTTCTTCTTCAAGTCCAAAATATGGCAAAACCATCTTTGCCATGTGCTTGTGAACAACCAATTAACTTGCCAATCCAGGGGCATGGTTCTTCAGAATTGGCTGGCCTTGTACGATCGCAGCGGACATTGTGTGCTTTATTTCTGGTTGGGTAGCAACTTGGAGGGATGTCAGCTTGGGATAATTCTCTTGATCTCGAATACTCTCGCTCATTGGGAGTCGAAGTGGAGTACGGACAATCAACACGCGGGAGATTACAACGCAAGGGTCCGACTATAACGAAAAACAAAACAAAATGTTGACTCTCGGAGGAAGGTTGTCTTTCATTCGGTAATACCGTGGAGAGGCTTCGGGATCTTCATGCACCCCATGACTCGGAGGCTGAGACACGTGGAAGGTTTCTCTTGTTGGAATTTGGTCATGTGCAGCCTCTGCAGACAAAAGCAAGGGACAATGTCTGAGGTGGAAAGGATGAGCATGTGGGGGCTCATCGGTGCATCTAGAACGAGGTGCGGGGTAATCTGAGAACTTATCTGAATATGGAATTCGAAATCGTATTGCGGACATTGTTCCCATCATCCTTCTGAGGAACATGCTTTTCTGAATCCTGTCTGGTCGGAGGTTGAGATTATTATTCCAGCAATAAGCAACGTAATAACGAAGAAGCAATGCTAGAAATCAATACTACGACAAACCAGATCATACTAAATTAGATCATGAGGACAAGAGAGATGTCCATAGCCACTTAGACATACATTCATCTATTGTCGACGTGTGTCTTCGTTACATTCTAAAGACCCCAAATTTGGTGTCAGACGGTTCATTCTTTCCGCCCAATGCAGCCATTAACCCTAGTCCAAGTACTCGTCGGGTGTGGCTCGGAGGAATAACACCATCGTCCTATATTCATCAGCAAAGAACCTAGCAATATCAAATAGTGACTTACCCAAAGCCGAGCTGAAGAGAACACTGCTTCAATTTCTCTTTCGATTCTCGCCTTTAGTTCGGGATCAACGGCTTTTCCGACTGTCTCCATGACTGCTGTCAACTGCTCTGATCCCATCACACCGATTTTGGCATTCGGCCACATCCATAAGAATCTTGGGCTATAAGCTCTTCCGCACATCCCGTAGTTCCCCGCACCGTTGCTTGCGCCGACAACGACTGTAAATTTGGGTACATTGGCGCAGGCCACGGCTGTCACGAGCTTTGCACCATTCTTTGCAATACCCTCTCTTTCAGCATCTGTGCCCACCATGAATCCGCTGATATTTTGTAAAAAGATCAGGGGTATTTTTCTCTGGCAGCATAGCTCAATGAAATGTGCTCCTTTCAGGGATGAAGTACTGAACAGGATTCCGTTATTGGCAATGATACCAACTTTGTGGCCATAGATGTGCGCGAAGCCAGTAACAAGAGTGCTGCCATAGTCACGCTTGAACTCGGAGAAAACACTGCCATCCACAATTCGAGCGATGATCTCGTGGATAGGTAGTGGCTTTCTTAGATTTGTGCTTGCAATGCCAATCAACTCCTCTGGGTCGTGTAAAGGCTCCTCGTAAGTAGTTCGAGGTGGAAACTCTTTCTTTGGCCAGTTCAAATTGCTGATAGATCTTCTCGCCAGCACGATCGCATGAGCATCATTGACTGCCAGGTAGTCTGTGACACCAGATACTGATGAATGCATCTTACCGCCTCCTAGATCTTCAGCACTCACGACTTCGCCTGTAGCCGCCTTCACCAAGGGTGGCCCTGCAAGGAAGATGTGACCCTGACCATCAACAATGATACTCTCGTCTGACATAGCAGGAACGTAAGCACCGCCAGCAGTACAAGGTCCCATCACAACTGCTATTTGAGGTATTCCCATGGAGCTCATGCGGGCTTGATTAAAGAAGATTCGTCCAAAATGCTCTCGGTCAGGGAAAACATCTGCTTGATGCGGGAGATTTGCTCCTCCGGAATCTACCAAGTATACACAGCTGGCAGTGATCAGTCCCAGCACACGAAGGTACGGAGTCGGGCTTACGGTAGATTGTTCTCCTGAGCAATTGCTTGAGCTCTCAAATGTTTCTTTACTGTAATAGGATAATATGTCCCTCCCTTCACAGTGCTATCGTTTGCAACAATCATGCATGTAACCCCTTCAATGACCCCAACGCCAGTGATTATTCCTCCAGCGGGTACCTCGGCCTCGGGATAGAGTTCGTGGCCAGCTAGGGCAGAAAGCTCTAGGAACGTTGTTCCTGGATCGATCAATGCAGTAATACGGTCTCTTGGAAGCATCTTCTTTCTCGCAATGTGCTTTTCTCGTGCCTTTGGAGGACCCCCTTCGTGAATCTTCTTTGTTAACTCCTCTAGCCGAGCCATAACTTCTCCCATCTGCCTAGCATTTTCTTTGAATTCCTCGGAAGATGGATCGACGACTGTGGGCAGTACAGAAATAGCTTTGGCTTGGTGGGGGGGTGTATAAGCTGCTATGTATCGACGGGCAGCTCGGGGGAGGGGGGCTTGAGGATGAGACTTTGCTGCACGCCGTGAGAGTTTCAAGAGCTCTTTTGAGGTTCGTAGAGCAGACATCGTGTGTAATTGAAGTTGCTGCCGGGAGCAGCAGCGCAGAGATGGTTCTACATGAAAGTCTGACTACTTGTCTGTACTTTGAAGAAGTTCAATTGTCGATTTTCGGATAGTCTCGGCTATATGCGGATGCGGAGCTGACCCTTGCTCCATGCGGGGAAGGGATTAAAGCAGGGCAGGGGTCTTGGACATGCAAGGCTTCTTCTTCTCACAAAGCCGAGCTCTTCTTAAGAACAACCATGTAGTCACCTTTCGCTACTTGTACGGAAGAGAACTCTACAACATGTCGACAGCAAGGTGTTTTCGGTCAATGGTAGCTCGACCTGCGTTACGCTCTTACATCAAGCCTCAGATTCTGCCATTATCCATTCAAACTCGGCATGCTTCTTCGAAACATCCGAAAGGCTTCGAGTCGCCTTCTTCCTCCGACCTCGACGAGCTCCGAGAACGAGTACAAGAGTTTACGAGGAGAGAGATAACAGAAGAGGTGGCATCTCATACCGATAAATCCAATGCCTTCCCGAATGACATGTGGCAGAAGCTCGGTGATGCGGGGTTTCTGGGAATCACTGCGGATGAAGACGTTGGTGGACTGGCAATGGGATACCAAGCTCACTGTGTGGTAATGGAAGAAATCTCACGAGCTTCAGGCTCGATCGGACTCAGTTATGCAGCACATTCGCAATTGTGTGTCAACCAATTGCAATTGAATGGCAGTCCAGAGCAGAAGCAAAAATTCTTGCCCGGTCTGATCGCTGGTACCAGCATTGGTGCACTCGCAATGTCGGAAAGTGGAGCTGGGAGCGATGTTGTTAGTATGAGGACTACGGCTAAGGCCGTCGACGGAGGCTATGTCCTTAATGGTACGAAGATGTGGATCACGAATGGGCCTGACGCGGATGTAATCGTGGTATATACTAAGACCGAGCCTGACAAGGCGTCGAAGGGCATCACTGCGTTCCTGGTGCAGAAAGACTTTGAAGGGTTCAGCTGTGCGCGAAAGCTGGATAAAATGGGCATGCGTGGAAGCAACACGGGAGAACTAGTGTTTGATGGTGTGTTTGTGCCAAAGGAGAATGTCCTGGGCGAGATCAATCGTGGTGTCAAAGTCTTGATGGAAGGCTTGGATCTTGAACGACTGGTCCTCAGTGCCGGCCCTCTCGGCATCATGCAAGCAGCGATGGATGTCACACTGCCATTTACTCACCAGAGGAAGCAATTTGGAATCCCAATTGCTCAAAATCAACTCGTCCAGGGCAAGCTTGCCGATATGTACACCAAACTGCAAGCAGCCAGATCGTATACTTACGATACTGCGAGGAAAGTTGATGAGATCGGTCAAATTCGAACTCAGGACTGTGCAGGTGCTATTCTGTATGCTGCAGAAAGAGCAACGGAGTGCACTCTTGACTGTATACAATTGCTTGGTGGAATGGGATACGTGGAGGAGATGCCGGCTTCTAGGTTGCTGAGGGATGCAAAGTTGTATGAAATAGGGGCTGGGACGTCCGAGATTAGGCGAATGGTAATAGGAAGGGCTTTTAACAAAGAGTATAGCAGCCATGCATCATGAGGACAATGATTGGGTTGGGCATTTCCACGGCGCTCTGTAGCAGGTTATAGCTTAGGGTCACTAGATTCTATAGAAATCTAAAAGGTCGAACATATGTCTCTCGAGGAATAAGATAACCCGCGCTGTGTTGTTGTAGAGTTTGAAAATAGTCAAGGAGGTTCACTTGTTACCTGGATTTCTATGACCCCGGGCTTGATCCTTGGAACACACAGTAATACTTGCGTTGGGGACTCCGGCTCTCTCGGGCAGCAGCAGAGATTCCACACCAAGCAATGGCAGCTCTCGACCTCGACGAATATGTGAGAAGTTCCCTTACTTCCCATCTTACTAAATCGTATCACGGATACCAAGGAGCAGCGGCGCTAATCCTGTGTACAACAGCTCTATTGTAGGCGTGGCGGGAGTCTTTCCAACTTAGTCAAAATGTTCGGCCAAGGACCCAACACATTGGACTCTTGCCCTCTAGCAGAAACTTAAACATATTTGGCTTGGAAAACCCTTCATTTCATGAAGGAATGAGGTGATGCTTCTATCTGGCACTTCGTAAGAAATCCTAGTATTGCTAGAATACGCCTATTAGAAGGGCCACCTAATCACTCATGGGTATAGGCACTTACTGATTTTCCACTTGTGGCAAATGTTTGTTATTTTCACGCAACTTGTCTCCTTCAGTTGTCAGTCAGTAGACGAACATGATTGGAGTGTTGGGAATTTTGAAAATAAGCGACTCGGTTCTCGCTTGAAAAAGGGGTACTGTTTTCGAGATGAAGCTAATCGGAATGATACAATTGAAGACATGGGTCTTCATGTAGTATTAGCTATTGAGAAGAAGGGTATAGACGTTATTCACACAGTTCCTCAGCGCCAGTTCCTGACCAGTCCAAGACCTGAACTCCGTTACCCAGTTGCTTTTCCCACTAAAGCTCTAGAGATATCATGCAAACTCCTTTTGCCATTTGACCAATTGCCTCGTCAAAACATCCATCATTTCTACACAGGAAAGGTCCTTGAAATCTTTTGTTGGGGCCGCTTCTCCACCTTCATTAGATTTTGGCTCGTTCCCGTTCTCGCCGTTAACCTTGATCATTGGCAGCCCATCCGCTATTCCTCGGATAAGTTTCTCCGTCGCCTCTCCTGCTGCGGGTGATAATGACTCGCTAGCCAATTCGAGCTGCGTTCGGGAAATGAAGTCGAGAATGCCTGCGACTCTCTTCTTCATGTCTGCCATCGTTATTTTACTATGACTGCCTTTTGATTTTGAGGGCTTGCCCTCATGATTCGCGCTCTTGTTTCCCGACGCGTGCCCCTCCTCAGTCCTGGCTACATCCCGAGACTGTGACCGATGAGGAGAATGATCATCGTGATCTTGATCCCTATCTTTAGTGTATTGATTTTTTCCTAACTTTCCTTTCCTATTGTTTGGCGGCCTTCCACCCTTCTTGTGGGACGGAGCAGGTACGATTGGTGGTGGAGTATCTGGTGTCGCAACCTGGGAGGAGGTGGGCGGTTCTAACGGTGGGGCTGGGATCTCTATAGCTTTGGGAATTGGAATTTTGGACGCAAGCGGTGCATCCTCAGCGGGGTCTGAATCTGCAGGGTCTGACTATTAGCAAGAACGAATCAACTGAATAAGTCTACCATAACTCACCATCAACCCTTCGTCGCTCTGCTCGGCCCATACGCTTCTGGGCTGCTTCTTTCCTAGACCTCTCTCGCTCTTCCCTGGCCTCTTTCTCCTTGTAATTTCGTGCTGCAGCGCCTCTAATCTTTTTCGCCGTCGAAACTCGACCATTTGTGCCATCATCCGAGTCAGCCTGGGACTCTTGACGGTGCAGTTCGCGAGGGGGCGAGGTCGAGGCAGACGCAGTTCGCTGTCTCTTGGGACCTTCTTGTTTTCTACGAGTGGAAGTTATTACCAATTCCATTCGAATATCGGACAGACTTACTCTTCGCTCTCACTTCGACCTCGTTTTCCACGCTTAGTGCCTCCTCCATCAGTGCTTTCACCACTCTTCTCTCCTTTGCTAGCCTCGATCGCTCGTCGTAGCTGTTCCTCCTCATCATAAGCAGCATCTCTACTATTCATCGTTGATCTTCTTTTGGCGCTCTGGAGACTGGAAGATGGTCGACCACTCTTACTGCCTCGGGGTGATCTTGTGCCATCTTTCGAAAAAGATGCTGCTCTGGAGGTTGTTCGAGACAAGCTTTGGTAGAGAGGAAGGTAATGAGAGTATCGTTGACTACGTTTCATCATGTTAGCGATTTATTTTCGAGATATGTATGTGTAGTAGAGTTCGTAGTCAATGATGTGGTACATTTGAAGGAGCCAGCCTTGTGAGACTTGATCTGCGCCACCCTCTCGCGTCGGGGCTGACAGGTCGGATGAAATTGAAGCATTGAGAAATGTTTGAGTAGAACAAATCGAACCAACGTACCCATTAGGAGCTGTAAATATCTTGTGTAAATCGCTTCGACATTCCTCGCAGAAATATTCATCGGGACTTGTGTCTTCGTTCATGATTCCAACGCAACCGCCATGTTGCCAAACCTTGCACATGTCGCATTGCAAGAAAAACCCAGCCAAGTCCTCTGTGAAGTCTGCTGGTGTGATTAAAGGTTCCTCAATTCCCTCCTTGATTCCATGTTTGCTGTCTTCTTCGCCAAGCTGTGGAGGGCCTGGGTACTCGTCGAGGCCACAGATGCACCGGACAGCTTCGTCCTCCTCTCCACCTTCCTCTGCGCCATTCCCCATTTCAACCTGCGCAGCTTGTGACTTCGATGATTTGGGTTGCTCTTCAGCTCGACCACGTTTTCGACGTGTTTGAATGGTGTCGTCCGGCGCGATCGCGATCGACTCGTCGGGTGGCTCTGAGGACAAGGAAGCCGAGGGAGTCGACTTCCTGGGAGATTCGGCCTTGTTATGTGATCGAGTAGCTCTATCGCCTCGCCCGGATGAGTTAGAAGAGGCAGACGAGTGGTATGAATTCGATTGCAGTGATTGACTCCCTCGAGCAGCCCTTGAGGAGCGCCTCGCGGTGTCCATTTTGGTGGCGAGCTAATGAGGACCGCTCGAAAGTATGTTCCCTCGCAGATTACACAGCCAATTGCTGGGTTGATTTGGACGTGTTCGTGGTTGCCAGAGTTGGATTGGGACCGGAGTTGACTTCGAGCCCAAGACAAGCAGGAAAGCTTCGCTCTTCACGCTCCCCAGAGAAGAGGGAGACGCGGGAAAAAGATCCCAAATTGAGACTGAAGACGTCCCTCGAGTCTAGAGCGCGTCCGGGAAATCTGCGACGGAAGAACGAATGACTAGGCAGCTTGGGGCGAGCATGACGGGCGGGTGGTGAAGGTGGAGGAGGAAAATGAGTGCCGCTCTCGAGAATGGACTGGGAGCTTTTCTCAGTACAATCCGCGAGAGCGGGGACCGTGAGCTACGTTCACCTTGAGGAACCTTTTGGGCCATATCTGGCGTTGGGGAAATCTCATTACAAATACATCCACAGCAGCTTTTGGCGGTCAGAGCTGTTTGGAGCACCGTACATCATGTGGACTCCCGATTTCGTCTAGCTTAGCTCGTTGGCACATACATACATCCATCGTTCATTGACTCTCTATTGCTAAACACCAACTGGCTTGCTGTTGATCTAATTGTTCTCCTCCCATTGACGAAACCCTTTTGGATACCCACTCGGGTTTTGCTTCTGTATCTGCTACGACTGCTGGACCTCAGCTCCTGGGGCCCTATCAATCTGAGGTACGATGAATCTCTCTTCATACATACGAATGCCCGAATTCGAATTTGGAGATGGCTGCGGCGTTGGACCAAGTGGCTTTTGCTTTGGGGGAGATGCAGCACTCCTATCTTAGGGGTCATATTTATCTGTGTCCGGACGCTAGCTGATTTGTTGTCTCGTAGCAACAGAATAGGAGAGAACGAGAGAAGAAGCAATTTTATTTCTCAGGCCAGGGCATTCGAAGCCAGATTATAATTACATCCTGTACACTTTGCTGTAGGAGACGTTTGGATTTCCTGGCAGGCGTCCTGCTATGTCGGCACCAGTACTGGGTATGCTATTGTTCCTTTAGTTTTCATCCGCCACCTGTAGATGGTGGCTGTATGACAAACACTCCCATTTTTCAATATCCCAAACCGAGGAGATTTGTGTACAGTTGTTGCCCTTGTTCTAGTTAACCTGTTCTAGGCTATTCTCCAGGATCACCGTCAGACATGTCTCCCGAAGCAGTATCTCCATACCCCGAGCGACCAATTCGTCCCTTACCCAAACGACGTCTGCGAGAACGACTTTCTCCTGATGTTGCCCACTCGATAAAGTATCCTCCAGCTCCTAAGACCACAGCACCCTTATTCTACCCTTCGTATAACATCCGAGAAGAGACTGGCGCAAGTACCTTCGTGGAATCCCAACACCCTAGTGAGCGAGAACGAGCAGATGAGATAGAGCGGAACTATATTTCGAGACGAAACGCCGACGAACTGGAGAGTGACGAGGATGAGGCAGCGTACCGAAGTCGTTTCTACTCAAGACACTCCGCAGACACTACAGGTCGATCTTATCGTTATGTCCAAAAGCCAGATGCCAAACACCCAAATCCTCAGCCGCCAGCTTCTACCGCATCGTCAGCTGATGGGTATGACTCCTTTGAGAACACTAACAACAAGAAGAAAAGAAAAATTCCAACTCCGGGCGATTCCAACTTGAACGGGGTTCATCTGTCGAGCGAGATGGCCGGTATGGGGATTTCAGGAAGTGATGATTTGGCTGAAGATGTGGGGGTTGGTTCGTACCACCATTCTAGTACCATCTCCACACAAGGCATCTCCGGTCCCGGAAGAGGCAGGTACGGTCGAATCAGAAACGGAAGGAGCCCTCTAAGGACACTCTCCGATACTTCTGGCAATTGGGTGAACGGCCGCACCACAAAACAAAGACAACCCCAGTGGCCAACTCCAAGTAAGCGTCAACGGTGGTCATACCTTGATGCCAATGGTTTTGCTGACACGATTACAAGCTGAATCTCCAGGTATTATCTCAAGATCAATCGCCAGTGCCAACGCCGAAAAGACTCCGATCACGCCCTCAAGAGGTCAAGAAAACGTTAGCCTCCTTCAACAGGCCGCAAAGAAATCAAGCCCGGCTTCGACCCAGTTCACGTTCACCTGTGATTCTCAAGTCCCTGGTACAATACCTTGGCCAGGACCCAGCCGTGACGCAGCCATGCATGGAAGCCCCAAAGCTCGTACAACCACCCACGCCACCCAAACTAGTCCCAACATGCCCTCAAATCTAGGGATGCCTAACAACGTTGCCCAACCCAAGCAAGGTGTTGCAGCATCTCAGCACCCGCAAAATGCCAACAAGCAGCCACCCCAAGCTGCGCCCCCAAAGAAGACCCGGCGTCGTGCGGGAAAGGAATACCTCATTGCTGCTCGCCAGCGTCGCCAGCAACAAGAGTATCTTAGAGCTCATCATCCTCCAAACCCAGAAGATATCTGGATATGCGAATTCTGCGAATATGAGCGTATATTCGGCACACCGCCAGAGGCTCTCATTAGACAATATGAAATCAAGGACAGAAGAGTCAGGAAGCAAGAGGCAGACAGACGGAGACTATTGGAGAAAGCAAAGATGAAGGGAAGGAAGGGCAAGAAGGGAAACAAGGCTGCTCCGAAGAATGTGCCAAATGCGCAAGATCGACAAGCTCAACATCAACAGGCCCAACCACCAGCTTCGATGAACCAAAGCCAGAGCCAGAGCCAAGGCACTCAGAGCGAGGACTTCTATGAAGACGAGTACGACGACGAGTACGCTCAGGATGACCCACCGCCACCTTCTCCGGTTGTTCCACCTGTATCTCGCCATACTGATAACGCGACACTTCGACAAGGTCCTCTGAACAATCATGGTGGTTTAGGAAGCTTCACTGACAAAGGCGTCACCGCTTGAAAGTAAGCTCGATGTATCACGTACATGAGCACTCGAATCGATGCTATCCACGCTCAGTATGACGACTTCGTCATATCATCTTCTGAGACTCTGGGACACATTCATGCTCTGCAATTTCAGACAAGTCCTTCAATCCTCGTCCTTCTCCTTTGTCATTTCGAAAATAGAATCCAGCATTGCATGAGCATCAGCGGCATATGATATTGATCAACATCACCTTTACTGCACCCCCTTTCAACTTCAGAACTCCCCTCAATTAGAACTGCATGGGTCTGACAGCTGGAGATACCCGATCTTGCGTATCTTCCGGTCTACATAAAAACCGTGAGTCTGCTGGGATTTGCATGGATTGTATATTCAGCACTAAAGATCACAATCACATCACTGCACAATCTATTTGTTTCCTGCCTCGGTGATCTTTTTAAGTGATTCACTTCTGGGTTTGGAGCCGCGATTAAAAAAGACACTTGAAGAAGCTCCCATTTAATAGGGGTTAAACTCGCTTAGATAGCCCTTGCCCAGTCCCCTTTTATGCTCGCGATTTTCTATGCTGGATGACCCGAGTCGAATTCCCAGAAGATTACTCTTCGAGACATCATCCAGAGTGCCCGGATTAAGTTGGACCTTTGATTGTGTGTTCACCTCGTATCGTTGACAATTGCCACGTGAAGAATCCTCCGGAGGCCGCAGGGTAGAATGCGGGATAGCGTCATATCATGTCCATCAAGGTGATTAATCAACATGCAGTTGGCGAAAATATCTTTATTTTAACCTCCTACCAATTTGATGTGAAATGCTGGAAGAAAATTTAGTAGTGGCCCACTTCAAGAAGCCTGTTGTTTGGTATGTATAATGTTTCTTCACGGGTACGGCACAGTAACCAATCCTCATTTCGAGGAATGCCCACCTAAAGATTCTCAATTTGATGGGGTTTCAAGTCAACCTTGCTCAGATAAGATCGTTGCCCTTAGAATAATCCATTTGTTCTTTCTAGAAGATCAATCGAGGTACATATTTCCTTGCTGCTCTGCGCCTTCGTCTTATTTCACTCGCATCTCCTCAACCCAATCATACTGCCCGGTTCCGTTGCTCAGAGTTATGACACCTATCTACTGAGGCTTGATTCCTGCAGTAGGTTCCTCCCATTGTTCGCGTCTATGCCAGAAAATCTCTGCTCCTGGGGGCGGGATTTCGATACCATTCTTAGTGAAGAGACCTCCTTTAACATATGCGGTCTTATGATCTTCTACCTCTGCTGTCGAGAAGACTGCACTGTCCTGAATTTAGTACTGCAATCGATATTGGCTGAGCCAAACGAAATGGTTGCATCGTCGGAGTTGGATGTTGGAAGATGTTGGAAGAGATGGATCGGGACAAAAATCTTACCATCCACAATCACCACAGAAGTTGCGATGCACAGCCTTTCCACTCATCGTCTCGCCGTCCTGGTATATCTTCGGTGTGCCATTGACTTTGACATCCTTCCTGGGGATGGGAAGATTGACCGAGAATCTATATTGTCAGCTAGGGATATTACATCATTAAAAGCAAGCTGCTTGGTGTTGTCCGGATCTAAGTAACAATGCAAGAGAGGGCAGATAAGACAAAGAGGATAACTTACAAGCCTCCGCTCGATGCACGACAGCCTTGACAATGGCATTTGACGCAAGATCCTGGGCATGAGGTCTTGGGGAACTCGATCGAGACTGCTCCGCAGTTGCAGGTCCCTTTCATCACTTCGTTGCTTGTCATGATTGTTGCCTGAAATGTAATGATAGCTTCACACGGGTCGTGAACAGATGGGTCTTGAGGAAAAGTCTCTAGATGGCTTGTTAAAGAAAAGGCAAATGCAAGTGACGAGGTTGTACCGTACACTTTATATCTCCGGTTGAATCCCGCTGTTAGTTCCTGTACCACCATTGCACTAAACAGTCTTAGCCAAAATCCTAGACATTGGCAGGCAAATTCCGTATTACAGGTTCTGTCGTATTCTGGTTTCCACTGACACAAGACCTATCCCGAGCCGACTTGACGCGACTGAGAGGTCCCTCTGTACGACATTGACGGGCCGAGGTCCACACCAGCATCATGGACGGCCGCTCATGGAGAAGATAACGAATCCATTGGTATGTATCATCTACTCAATCGAGGTATCTACCTATCGGGGCACTATGCGTCTCCACTCTTCTCTCACTCTCTCAATACTTGCGCTTCTTAATCTCACAACTCCATCCACTTATCCACCCAGCAAGCAGTATTGGTTTTGCATCCACGAAATCACCTCCCAAAGCAGAGATGACCATCCGCATTTCCAGTCCAGAGCAATGAAGCTGATCCCAAATTTCGACATCAAGAACGCCAGCCCATGCACGCACGCTTGAGCAACCAGTGTAATCCGCTCCGATTTCATAATAATCATTCTAGACTCACGGTGCGCTACCATTCACAGCCGCGCCAGGAACTTGACCTGCGGCCAAAGCTGCTTGTTGAGCCGCGAATTGTGTGGCGTTTGCTTCAGCTTGGTGAATGACTCCTTGAACGATGACTTGCTCTGGAGCTGTGAGATTTGTTGTCAGGGACTCGTATAGTTGAGGTTGTTCGTGTTGGAGTTCTGTAGAGTGTCAATAGGCATTGCAGTTTGCAAGTTTGAAAAGAACTCACTCGCAAGGGCATTTCGGAAGAGCTGGTATGGCTCGATCTTATCAAGAGGTGTCTCAAGTAGACTCTCCTCTCCAAGCTCATCGTCTGAATCGTTGTCCTCGAGATTCTGGAATTTCTGTGCCTGTAAATCGTCAGTTGTAGTTCAAAGGAAAGATACGAGAGCAAGACCCTAGAACTCACCTCTTCATTCAAGAACTCAAGATAGGCGGTGCTTTCATCTTTGACATCGCTCGTCTCCTCTGCCTCGTTTTCTTCTTCATTCCAGGCGGAATCGTCACCAGCCCACTCATCATCATCTTCTTCAGAATACTCTGAGTGGTCAAGAGGATAGTCATCTTTGAGGGCTTCTTCGCGATCTTTGGAGCAAGTTAGCACAACGTTGAGAAAAAGTGTTCGGAGTGATGCTTACTCTTCGTGGCCGCCGGAAGAGTCTGGAATAAGCGCACGATTCCCTGTAGAAGTCTCGGCCAGCCTTGTTGGACACTGACAGGTACTTGATCAGCATTCAGGGTAAGTAATGCCACAATTGCTGCGATAGACAACTTCTTGTCGTGGACTCGGGTGAAGCTGTCAATATTGGAGAACCACAGGCTGAAGAACTTGTTGGTCCATCCCTTGGTCTCAAGGACCTGGAGAGTGAGAACCTATGATGGTGTTAATATTAATGAGGCTCAATGTTTGAAAGGACACAAACCGGATTGTAGTATATGGCATTAATGACCATTTCCATCAGGTGAATCTTGTACGACTTGACCTTAACCTCGGTGTTTGTGAGCACACGCATTGCAATCTCAACCTATTCGTTGTAAGTAAGACTAACGCGAGAGAGGAGCGCGGGATTAATACAAAGGCCACAACGTATTGATCAGCATGACCCCGAAGACTGAGCATGATACCCTCAGCTAATTTGCAGGCACAAATTCTGTCAACCCCCCCAACCTTCTCGTCGGCGAACATGTCCGAAACCATCGAAAACATTGCATCCAGATATTGCGGAGTCGAGGCCAGATGGTGGGCACCGTACTGGACGAAATTATCAAGTGCAGGCAGCATGTCCTCGAGGTAAAGCTCTGCGCCAGCCTTGAAAGTAGCGTGAATTAGCTCGAATGCTTCCCACATGGTTGGTGAGATGGATTTTGCGGCAAAAGTACAGCTATCGATAATCTCGAAGACCTCGTTGTACAAGTCTGGAAGGGTCAGCAAAAGTGTTTCCCGAGTGTTATTTATTGACCTACCATATAATTTGTTCTCTAATGTTACTCGGATAACCGGCATCAGGATCGACTCCATGTGCAAAAGGACGTCTGGGGTGCTTTCCAAGGTCAAGATCAAAGTGCCTATGGTCTGCAGCACACCCAAAGCAGTGATGCTCTTATCATCTAGGTAATCTCCGTATCCACCATCCTCGTCATCTCGCTTCTCGTTCTTTTCCAATAGCTCCCGCACAATCCGTAGATATGTGTCCCGCAATTGCTCACTCAAAGCCACAGCGAATGGTGTCAATTCGGTAGCAAAGACCTCCACGAAATCCTCCATCACGTTCGACAAAGCATCCACATCAACCTCATTCGCAAGCTTCAAAAGTTGTTGCATGATCTGTGGTATGTTCTGTTGCATGTTGGTGCGAATGATATCGTGTCTGATGAGAGGTTGAAGTGCAAGAGCAGCTTCGACGCGGACAGGAAGATCTGGGTCTGCCATGCATTCCAAGATGTTGCGGTAGATAATGAGAAGATTATTTGGGTCCTTGAAGTCAAGTTGCTCAAACTTCTCCACTGTGTCGCAAGCTCGCGCACGCAGAAATCCTTGTGGGCTGCGGAAATCTGGGAAGACAAATCGGACCAGGAAATATTCCACCTGCTCAGCGATCGGGCTCTTCTTACCCAGGATGACGCTGGATAAAGTCCCAATCATACGCAAAGCCCCTTCCTTGGCGATGTGATTCTTCTTATCATCTTGCGTAGTCTCATACTCGCTAACTATCTTGTTCACGAACGTAAGAATCGTAAAGGTGTGCTTTCTGCGAACCTTGGTCAGAGTAACTAGAAAGTTTGTTGCCGCCACGTCAGGTGCTGAGACCTCCTCATAGAAGTTCAACTTGTGATGCAGGTATTCTTCCGGATCTGTCTCGAACTTCTCAACATCGTCCTCGGAGAGACACATCACAGGAAATAGGAAATGGGTTACTAAAGAGTCGAGATGTGGCTTGAGATGAGTCCACATTTCTTTGGGTCGTACACATTCGTCCAAGAAGACAAGGGTATATGACAGACAAGGCCTGCTGAGCCATGTTGTCTTTGACACCCACTTCTCAATCTGCGAGAGGTATCCTTTGAGGATCTCTGGTGCAAAATTGGCTATGAAGTTCTTGGCGAAGGCAGTATAGTCCTCTCCGTTGCCTTTCTGCAATGATTGTGGATTACCATAGCTACTAATGTTAGTGGATGAAGTCAATGTAACGAGAAGATATCTTACCGAACGAACAGACGGTTCAGGTTGAAGTAGGCCCATTTCTTGGCCTTCCACCAGTGATTGGCCTCACGGTCTGTCAAGTCTTCAGGCAGAGCGGTGGGAGGGACCTCCTTTGCAACTGTTTGGAGGAAGAGAGAGCACCAGCCGACTACCACCTGGTGTTCTCTTAAAGAGGTTGCTAATTCGAACTAATTTTGTCAGCACTTCTGCTGTTTTGGCTCATCCTGCACCCAAAACTTACAAAGGTGGCATGCTTGTAAGCCTTTAGGACAATGTGTAGCATTTCTCCTGCATCCTGACTCATCTCGTTCACCAGGCCCTGCCCAATTACCAACAGTCGAGGGAAGGTCAACTCTACAATCTTATCGAAGTCGGTTCGATTCTCTCCAGATTTGAAGCGGAACACGCGACAAATGGCAAGCAGGCACTGCAAGCCAGCAAAGACAGATGGCGCATCATTCGCGTTTAGCAACTGGACGGTGATGGTTATGAAGGCGGGCCACTTCTCGGGAAAGTCAAAATGGAGAATCTTTTGGAGGACCGGCACGAGCTGCTGGCGGATCTGAGGCTGGGAGGCAGCTAGGACGGGTAACAGTCGTTCCCGAAATCTTTGCTTCTCGTCTTCGGGTATAGGTTTATTCTGTTGGTTCTCCTCATTCGGGGACCATCCTCGAGTGACGCGATTCTTGAGGTAAACAACGGCTGCAGTTGTGCGTTAATATCTGCCTGCGGGTCGCGGGGTAAAACTTGGGACGTACTCGACATGCGAATGGAAGCTTCTTGCTCCGCTTGCAAGATATCTAGGAGAGCATCTGTAAAGCCAGGATGCTCCTCCGCCTGTACACATATTGTCAACTGACTGCCCTGGCGTTGCCTGCCCTGGAACCCGGAATGTCCATCTTACTGTCTTGAGATCCAGCTCAGCGCGACGTCGAGCGTCGGTGTCTGCGCTCAAAGTGTCGACAATGCGACCGCGCAAGGAGGCCACATCCATTTCGAGATGGAGGCGCTGTGCAGTAATGGTTGGTATGACAAGATTACAGCCAAAGCTGAAGACTTGAAGTGGAAGGTCAATATTGTGTTGGAGGTGATCTTTTTCTGGCTCGCTAACGTGCTAGGATTGAGTGCAGAAAATTTGGGCGGTCTGGCAGTGCAGTGCATCAAGACAGGACGAAAGCAGGGTTTCACAATTTCAGGAGACTCGTTGATGCGTAATGTACTGTAGAGCACAGGATTACGGGTTACCGATAATAGATTCTACGCTATATGCATTCCACAGTCTGCGAGATAGATGTGCATTTATATTTATACGCCCCTTGTGGGCATTGCACTTGGTCTTGCGTCGATTGCACTCGCCTCTGATACACAACAGATACCACAAGTATGGAGAATTTGACTAAAGCTGATTTCCACCTATCTGCAGACAATGCTCTATCGCGATTCTCAACCACGGAAGTCATTCGTCCTCTTCATTGTGGAAGTGTCATAGCTACGTGGAAGGTGGTTGAGAGTGCCAACGAACTCAACCTCGAAGCCTCTGGTGGAAGTCCCTTAAAACTAGCCCTGTCGTCTGCAGTCCACCCCACTACACGTGACTGTATCACATGAAACGCCCATTATCATCATCAGGCATGTCCTTTCGTTGCAGTGGATGTTTGCTTCTTTGTCTGGGAGCCAAGGGGAAGGTTGCATCCGTGAAATGCAGAATCGGCTATTGTGGGTGCAGTTAGAAAGGCATGGATGGTGTTGTCCGGAATCATACCGCCTCCTCTGAATAACATCATGAAATTCTGTTGATAAAAAATAGGTGGTTTCTATGAGAGGGAAGTCCCAATCTTAGCCAATTCCAATTTACTAGACCTTTTGATATCGGCGTTAAGTCGTTTGTCTTGCGCTTACACATGCCGGATTGGGAACTAGAACATCCCCACCTTCACTACATCCCTGGACGACTTGACGTCTCGACGGCATCGGAACGGTATGTGAAGACTACCACGAGGCATGAACTAATCATGAGCTGGAGGTATAAGTAATCTATATCGGCCACTCTCCTTCCCTTCTGTCACACTTAACCTTCTTTCATTCACGTAACTTGATTCGAATTTTCTTCAGTAACATGTCTGCAGAGCAAAGCACAGGTCACATAAGGCCTGACGGCTCTAAGAATACCTTTCCCCATCCCTTGGACCCTCTATCTGTTGCCGAGTCAGATGCTGTGCGGGAAGCTATTCTTCGAAAGCAAGGACAAAATGTCGCTATTCACTTCCGCTCCATCTTCCTCGAAGAACCACCTAAGAAAGACCTGACCATATTTCTTGATCTTGAAAGTGCTGGCAAAATTACATCGCGAACTCCGCGCCCAGCTCGAGTTGCTAAGGTTTTATATGATGTCATTAGAAGCAGCAGATACCATGAGTACATGGAATCATGGATTGACGTTAAGCTCGGAAAAGAGATTCGGCACCGGAGTATCGATAAGAAGCATCAAGCAGCTTTGACACTGTAAGTGAAAGTCTGATGCAATGGTTCTCTGCTGATACTCAAGTTACAGTAATGAGTTTCAGCAATTTTCCGAGTCTTGCATTGAGTCGCCAATGTTCAAGGCAGCGGTGGCTGAGTTCAATCTTCCCGGAGGCTTCGTTGTCACCATTGATCCTTGGCCTTATGGAGGACCGGACTTCGATGAACAGGCTCCACGATATACTCAAGGACTCTGCTTCGCAAAAGACACCCGTTCCGGAAACGAAGACTCAAATCACTATGGCTATCCCTTACCCATCATTCCTATCATGGATACTTACAGCAGAGAGATCGTGAGGATAGATAGGCTAGCGACAGGTGGTAAAGAAGATGGTTTGGCGTACGGGACGCATATTAAAGACATCATTGCTCATTGTTCGCCATCTGAATATGTCCCAGAGCTGCTCGGACAACCACTGCGCGCGGATATGAAGCCTTTGAATGTCATCCAACCAGAAGGTCCATCATTCCAAATCGATGGACACCTAATCCAATGGCAGAAATGGAGGTTCAGGTGCGTTATCAACGATCACTCACATTTGAGATTCTGTCTGAGCTCTGAGCATTGAGTGTTTTCCTATTGTTTGTAATGTATATAAACATTTGCTAACATACGGTTGCAGACTCGGATTCACACCTAGAGAAGGTGCAGTTCTGCATGATGTTCGCTATGATGGAAGGAGCGTGCTCTATAGACTCAGTCTGAGTGAGATGACTGTACCCTACGGTGATCCAAGACCACCATTTCAACGTAAACAAGCTTTCGACTTTGGTGATGCCGGAGCTGGTCGAGCAGCTAATAACTTGGCTCTCGGTTGTGACTGCCTGGGCGTTATAAAGTACTTTGATGCAGTCATGACTGAGCCTGATGGAAAAGGTAAACTGCACAATTCTCTTTGGTATCTTTGGAACTTTGAGACTGGATGGCAGGTCTCAATCCCCACGGACTCAAAAACACTCCACTCAAATCGAAGATGTTTAAAGGCGTACACTAACTCTCGAACAGCCAGTGTATCCAAAAATGTGGTCTGTCTGCATGAGCAAGATAACGGCATTGGTTGGAAACACACCAATTTCAGGACCGATCGGGCTGTCGTGACACGTCTAAGGGAACTCGTTGTGCAGTTCATCATCACTTTAGGTAAGCTTCTTTTGTTCTAACTTGCTCTTTTTTCTTGTGGTAACAGATGTCTCAAGAGCCGAGACATGAGCACGGACAAACGGCGTCCCTTTGCAGGCTTTGGAGACAGCTCTGAAGTTTCCGAGCTTCCTGATAATTTATCAGCTAATTGAAGTGCTAACCTGGTGTCAAAAGCGAATTACGAGTATATCTTTGCATTCAAATTAGATCAAGCAGGAGGCATCACTGTCGAAACTAGAGCTACTGGAATCGTGTCTGTAGTGAACATTGATCCAGGAAAGACTAGTCCATGGGGCAATATTGTGTCCGCGGGGGCACTTGCACAAAATCACCAGCACCTTTTCTGCATCAGAATTGACCCTGCCGTGGACGGCAACAAGAATACTGTTGTTATTGAAGAGAGCCTTCCAATGCCAATGTCGAAAGAGCTTAATCCATATGGGAGTGGCTATGAGGTAAGTTTGACCAGCTTTAATTTGTAACAACGACATCCGTGATCACTTGAAACTCTTCGGTGCTCGCTGTGCAATCCCTACAGAATGCTGACTTGGGAAACACAGGTCCGACAAACTCCGGTCAAAACGTCAAAGTTCTTTGATGCCTCGCCCATGACAAATTTGACGGTGAAGATTACAAATCCACAGAAATTGAATCCAGTTTCAGGGAAACCAGTGGCGTACAAATTTATTCCTACAGCATCGCAGCTTCTTCTAGCTCATCCTGACAGCATTATGGCAAAACGAGCTCAGTTTGCTCAACATCATGTTTGGGTTACCAAGTATAAAGACGCCGAGTTCTGGGCCGGTGGTGAGTTCACAAACCAGAGCCAAAAAGAAGTAGACGGTGTTGCAGATGCAGTGGCAAGACATGAGAATGTTGAGAATGACGATGTGGTCCTGTGGAACACGTTCGGCCTAACTCATAACCCCAGAGTCGAAGACTGGCCTGTGATGTGAGTGTTATCAGACCCGAGAAATGTTGCATTGAGCTAACCTTGTATTCAGGCCAGTGGAGATTCACCAGATTCACATTAAACCATCAGACTTTTTCTCGGCAAATCCTGCTATTGATGTGCCTGGAAGCAAGAACACAGCATCGGTACTAGCGCCCGAATCTCAGTCATGCTGTGAGAGCGGAGATGTTCAGAAAGCTGCGGCGTCTCATCTGCAAGGATCTGGTCCGGATCTGGATCCGAAATCCAAGCTGTAGGTACTTTGTTGGATATGTGCGTCTAAGATGCCAGTTGCCGCACTCGCGAAAATTTCGTAGAAAACGACCTTTGGGACAGAATGAACTTGTGGAATATCAAACCTAGTCTCGCAAGAGAAACATGAACACTACTTTCTTGACAATAAACCACTTGAGTTTCACCACTATCTCGCACACTATCACACTTGCAGAACATGATTCTGGGAACAGACATTCCACCATCTGATGTAGTTGCGGGTATTTGCATGTTCCCCTGCATAGTGGGACGACATGATTCGCAGCCCGCTTATTGTGCTTAAAGTAAAAACCCCTCGGGGGAGCCAAAATTTATTTGTGAACATCTGGCTAATTGTTCCTAAATCGTATCCTTCCTATTTGAGGTACCGTCATTCTTGGAATGTTGGTGAACGGAATGATGGAACATAGGAACATCGAGGAGATGCCTTTTATATATCTACCCCGCGAAAGTTACCGAGTATGGATATCCACTCGGGTTGGATGAAATGTTGGAGGATTCATGGATGTGACTATAAGTGAGCTGTTCATTCCAGGCTCATAATATGATGTGTCCCATTATAGAGCTTGGAAAGGAAAGCGCGACTTGATGACTTGGAGGTGACTATTTTCTCTTTCGATTGTCCATTTCATTTCAATATCAAAACACATACTCTCGACTTGAAAAGAACGTTCCCACGTCACTCATTGACAATGGCTACATTGTGTACCTACAAGCTGTGCATCAGCATCCTACTGTAAAGGCCACCTTATGTCTCTATTCCAAGACAGTTGCACTAACCGATCCAGTCTCCTTTCAACCTCTATCCTAGCAGACTATACAAAAGTGTCCTGCCCGACAATCACTAAAGCCACTTCGAGATCAGATTGTCCACCAACAACCCCGTCTTCCTGCCCGCAACCATTCTGCATCGTCGAATCACGTATCCCAGTCCCCTGCGGATGTCCTATCACTCTCCCAACAACTACATCATACACTGCCTGCTCAACGAGATGTCTTGAGGGATGTGGAACGTACTTTAGTGCTTTGGTCGCACCTTGCTCTTCCACAGTCACTCTTCCGACCTACACTCCTCCCCCACCACCTCCAACGACGACGCTTTCGACTATAACCGCACAACCAAGTTTCTGCTCCACAATTACCATATCAGAAGGTCCCGAGTGCTGGAATGCAGGATGTGGAACGACTTATAGTAGGTGCGAGACGACAAAGACTGTGACGTTGGAGTGTGGTTGCCAGAGTATTCCAACTGTCACGAGTTGTAAGGACAAAAAGAAGTGTGATGGAGGCTGCATTACAAGTTGGCAAACTGGATATTTGCCTTGTCCAACAACACCTTGGGGTCCGCCTCCTACAAGTATTTCGTATGGGGTTTAAGTGGGGAGCAGTATGAAAATTGAGCTGGGGACGAATAATGGAATTGAATGCTGTCGAGACTTCGTTCGTTGGTGTGGGTATATTGGGCGGTGTTGCTTTGAAAGAATGTTGTTGGAAGTCCGCTTGGACTGTGATATCCCATTCGTGTATGATAGCTTTGATCAGGTGTTCAACGGGAAATATTCAATAGCCACTGCTCTTGAAGAATCGAGAAAAATTGCTTAGCACTTGAAAAAAAAAGGAAGTCCTCGGACCATGCATCTGTATTCATAGTTGCATCCCTATTCAACATCTTCTTCCTCATCTTCACTGACCTCTTCCCCCGCTTCAATAGCCTTTTGTCTTCTCTTCGCGGCCCTCTCTCTTTTCATGTCCAATAGCTTCTTTAAACCCTTCGCAACATTGAACACTCCTCCTGTACCGACACCACAAGCAGGACAACTAGGATCCTTCCTATATCTCTGCAAAGCACACCTTTCGCAAAAGTAGTGCCCACATTTTGTAACAATAGGTTCCTTGTACCTGTCCTTGCATATAATGCACGCAAATGGAATACCTTCCAACGCGGCATCGTCATCATCTGACCCCTCCTCCTCGGCATTTCGATTCGCACTTGCTATCGTGGTACCTCCGATATTCTTCTTTCCCTTCGTGACGTTCTCCCATTCCTTGTCTAACTGCCAACCCGCCTTATAACTCTCTCTAGCATGGAGGTACTTGCAATTGTCACCGAATCCACAGAAACCTGTTTGTTTGTACTGGTTCGGTTAGTGCAACTCTCTTAGATTGGAGATACAGGGTGATCTTACATCTTTACAAACATCGGGGGCGAAATCTGTGACTGTAATGGTTCTGATGTTTGTAGGCGCTTTTATAGGACCGACGACTCTCGTGGGAGCATTGGGGTTCTTTTGGATGAAGGAGGTGGCGTTCGCAAGGCCTTTGTATGTACCGTCTGGAGCCTCTGACGTTGTAGCAGTAGCTCTTGTACTGCCTAGTAGATTCTTGCTGGATAGAGCATCGGTGGCATTCTCATCATACCAATTGCTTTGCTTAGTAGCATCGTTCGAGCTCTTGATTGTGGCACTCCGGTCTGCTGTGTATTTTGTGGATGTGAGCTCAGAAGCAGCGCTAGGATTGTTCGCCGATGAGGCTGTCACAGCTCCAGTATTCTTCTTCCTTCGTTTGATCTTGCGCCCTGATTCATCTTCGGAAGAGGAGTAGTCTGAGTCGCCGTCCAAGGCAGGTGGAGGAGTGGCGGCTCGTTTTCTTAAATTGGATTTTCCTTTCGTGGTACGCTTCTTGAAGAGAGCCACCGGTGCAGCAGGTTGGGGAGCTTCCGTGGACTCCATTGTATCAGCTCAATCAGGTACTTTATTTTTTGTAATTCTTCTGAAATTATTTGAAATATTTCATTCAATTTGATTCTTTTTATGTTGTGAGGTTGCCGTTGTCAACCTGTGCTCGAAATGTGTTGAAGACGAAAGGCTGATCTTTTCAAGTGCAACTTCAGCCTCGGCTTATTAATGTTGATGACTCAGGTTTCCAGGCCGAAACTGTGAGAATGTTCCGTGCCAGCATGAACCTGGTATGGCTGTCAACAACTTCTAAATCAAGCAAATTACGTCTTTCATGCAAGCCAAAGCGGATCGCATCAACGATCGATTCTGCGTTGTTATTCTGAGGCGTATGAACCAATCATATGCGCGGCCTGGTGGACATCTGAAATGCTGTAAACATTGCTTCGGCCACTTAAAACTGTCCCTGACTATCGAAGCGAACTAGCAAGTTGACCGCGAATCAGCCCGCACTTGCTGTTTTTATCGCGATCTGCCGCCCCAAATCCGTCTCCTCAACTTGATTTCCCTCCGCTGGGACTTTTATTCTTTTGCTGCGCTCCTGTGGTTGTCAACATCGACGGCAACCTGGTAGCTGGGACGACATCGTTATCAGTTTCACGCAAAGCCACTCGGTCGGACAGGTCACGCTCACGATACCTGTCTCAGGAGAATAAAGAAAAGCAGGAACGCGCCCTAGTCAACACAGCTAAATTGGGCTACCATACAACAACACATCGGGCATTCCTGTGAAACAGGCACTCTTTGTACTTCCAAAGCATTGAGTTGCACCAAATTCACTCCATCATCCGTAGATGATCAGATTACACGCGACCAGACTCCTCAACAACCGAAACGAAATTGGCTGGTGGTGCAAACAGAGGCGAGCGGGGACAGCTAGAGCTGGGTCAATCCAGGGGGCGAGCATCAATTAGAAGTCCTCGTGGGCTTGCTTGCTGCTGTTGGCATCCTTTAGCATCTTGCGGCAGATATGGCGACGTCTTTGGCAGCTGAGCAGCCATTATTGGCTTCTCAGCCAGATCTGGCGTCTCCCGACCAGAATGACCCATTCGTCTCCTCATCAACAGCCTCGAGTCACCACAGATTTTCACCTTTCGATGGTCAATTGTTTGCTTCCGGTCCGACTACGTCTCCAGAACAAGCGAAACGTGCGTTGGAGGCACATCTGGCCGAGACAGAGCGACGTATACAGGACACATCGAGACTGGGAACAAGACTTGTACAAGAACGCCAAGATTTAGCAGACCGCTTGAAGGAAGTGGAGAAGCAACAGTCCGACTCGGAGCTCACACCAGAGCTACGGCAGAAGATCATCGAGATTGAGAAGGAGTACAACGAACTGGGCCGTGAGACCGCCAGAGCCTTTCTCCCGAAATCTAGAGTGCCGAGTAATGAGCTGGGAGGAGGCGGATCACCATACACAGGTGGTGATACAAAGGTGACACTCACTTCCGTTAGGTGATGAGTTGTGGCTAACCTGTGACAGCGTTCTGCCAGTCCTTCGAAATTCGAAAGTCAAGGAACCAGTTCTCCCTCGAAACTCGGCGTGCCCAATCGAAAGCAACGCAATCAACCTTCGAATCGTGTTCATGACATCGAGTTTGTTACCGAAATCAGTACTTCTCTCATTGCACAGCTCCGGCATGTGCAAACTCAACTAGCAGAGAGGGACGACGAATTGAGGAGTCTTACTCTGGAAAAGTCGAGACTGGAGATCGAGGCTGAAGGTTTCAATCAGCGCCTGAGAAGTTTGGACGAGAGTGAGCACAGATACAAGGACGAGAATTGGAACCTTGAGACACAGATCCACGAGTTTCTAGCAGCCGCGAAAGAGGCAGCAGACCGCGAGAAGAAGCTCACCCAGAACCTCAACATTTTGCAGACCGAGAAGAGCGCTGCACAAAAAGAGCTGGATGACATCAAGCTAAGTCATGCAAAGCTCAGTGAAGATCATGCTGCGGTTATCAAGCACCATGATGCTGAACTGGGCACCGTTAAGCGGAGTATGACAATGGCCGAGACTGAACGAAACACTTTGCAACGCAAGGTCGAAGACTTGACGAATCAGAATCAAGAATTGGCCAAAGCTGTTGCTCACCAACGAGGTAGACTGGAAGACAGAGACCAAGGCCGCGGGTTCAGCGACGAAGATTTCGAGACTGCACCAGACAATGCTACCCCTGAACATTCTCCACCACCCTCTCCTGTAAAGGGTACACCTCGACACAGCATGCTGGAGTCAGAAACGCTCAAGAGCTCTTTGCACCATGCGCACCGCATGATCCAGAGCTTGAAGGGCAATATTCATAGAGAGAAGACCGAGAAGCTTGAGTTGAAGCGAATGCTGCAGGATGCTCGAGACGAATTGGATGCTCGCCGTAGCGACTTGGGTTCTGGTAATGGAAAGAGAAATCGTAAAGTGGACTCCAGAGAATTCAAGAAGCCCCTCAAGCCTGGTCAACTCGGAGGACTTAGAAACAGCCGAAGCGAAGTCTCTATTCTGGACGATCCAAATTGGGAGGAAGACGATGGACAGGCCAGCCCCAGCCATACAGCAGTCACAGCAGCTCGCATTGCAGCTGGCGCAGCTGCCGGGGGTGTTGCTGCAAAGTCTTCTGCTACATCCAGCGATCACTTTGAAACTGCTCCAGAAAACGACACTAGCGATGCCTTTGAGACTGCAAACGAGCGTGCCACCGAGACCGAGGATTTCCAAACTGGTGTCGAAGACATCAGTGGCAGCGACGAGCTTACAGAGACGGAAGGAGGCCCAAGTGTTCCTCGCCAACGGCCTACACCTCTCTCCTTGACGAAGGTTGGGAACCGCCAATCTTTCCGCAGTACCGCCTCAACTTCTGGCGACGAGTACGCATATGATGAGGTGAAGACTCCAACGGCTCAACAACCACAACGACTCCGACTGAAAGTCAGTCGAGGTGGTAATCGACGTTCCAGAGCGGTTAGCGAAGAGCCTCAATTCCAAAGCAGTCCCGCAAGCTTTGCTAATAGCAGTAATAATGGCACTCCTCAAGTAGGCCAGAGCTTGTTTGCAGAACTTGGGGATATGAGTGACGAGGACGATTCGATGCAGGGCACTCCAAGCCGCTTCCGTTCGCGATCTAACACCTCTTCAAGGCCCAGCACTGCTAAGGGGATGCCGGCTCCTTACGAATTTGTCCCTCCAGTACCAAAACTGCCGATGATTGATTCTAGCATGATGACTGAGCCTTGGGAACCTACGCCAGCCACTCCTCACACTGCTGTTCCTCTTGCTGATGGAGCCAACCTAGGTGGAGTCGCTCTAGCTGAGGCTGTCCACCTGATGCATGACGATTCTACTAAGCCTGGACTATTACGACAAACAAGTGATATGCAAACCTCAACAGACCCGGCATCTGAATACTCTTCGACTGATAAACACACGTCAACAGATTCGGAGCAGGCAATGGAGCGCTTGATGCAAGATATGCATACTTCAACAGACCCAGAACCTAAAACCCAGATGTCTGACGCAGCGATCCAATGGCACGATGAGCAGCTCAACAATCTTCTGAAAGTTGATAAGGAAGAAAGATCAAGACCGATTTCAGCTTCTACACTCAGCGACGCAGAGTCGCAATATGATACTGTCATCATGGACGAAAAGCTCAAAAAGTTCCCATCGCCACCATCATCCCGTGCACATACTCCAATGGCCAGCCTCGCTGGTCTCGAAGCGATGTCAAACCCGCTCACTATGTCCAATATCGTCTCCGAACACTTTGAGCCTTCGGAGCCCGAATCTCCTATCATTCCACAAACATTACCAGAACCCACTCCCAAACCCACTCTTGCACCTGCTTCGTTGGTCTTCTCGTCGATTCATTCTGTTGACACAGAGCCAATATCACCCAGAAGCCCTCGCCGTGATGCAGTCATTATACCTAGAGACGAATCAGATTCGGACGATGGGGTGGTGGTAAACCCTGAACAGTCAGAACCAACAACACCGAAGGCCACCTTCCTTGGATCTGTCTTTGGTTGGAACAAGGGCAAATCACCTGCAACGCCAGTCATCGCAGAAGATGAGACTCGTCAATCACCGAGCGATTCACCGATGGTTGAAACACCTGAATCTCAGCGTCCTTTCAAGGAAGTGTCTAGCAATCCTCATGAACGTGTTGCGAAGAAGTCACGTACTGAGACCATCGATGAGAGTTCACAGACTGCTTTGACTGCAGAGCAAATCGACGAGATGATGAGAAGCAAGCGAAAAGACACCATTGTCGCTCAAGATGCACAGAGAGTTGCATCTCCACCTCGTGGCATCATGACCAATTTGAAAGCCCGTCAGTCTCAAGAAAGCATTGGGAGTGTTGGCCGTGCGAGATCCAAGATGGCAGAGCCTGATTATATCCACGATAGTACCACTCCATTGAAGAGACCTGGCAGTGCAGGTAGTCGCAATAATTCCATGTCAAGCACACACCCACCTCTGCCCACAGATCATAAGCAAGTAATTGCTGCTGCTGCGCAAAGATCTGGATCATCTGGTGGTGGCCCGGGCAGCATGGGACCTCCGTTGATGCCAGCTTCTGCTTACAAGAGTAACCCCTCCTTCCGACCCAGAACTCCAAGCTCCCAGCCACCTTTAAGTCCTGGCTCAATTAGAGGCGGCACGACTCCTCGACCTATGCATTCTTCTGGAACTGCTGACATCCATTCGCCTACCCGTACTGGTCGGTCTCGAACCTCGTCAGTATCTTCTTTTGTATCAGAGATTGACACTCGCTTTAACATGAGAGCCGGAATGCCCCCTGGCATTGACCCCAGCACTGATCCCAGAATGATCAACGCAATTACCCAAACCATGATCGGAGAATATCTCTGGAAGTACACTAGAAAAGCAGGACGTGGAACTATGTCGGAAAACAGGCACCGACGTTATTTCTGGGTCCATCCTTATACTAGGACACTTTACTGGAGTGACCGTGATCCGTCATCTGCAGGCCGGGCTGAGTTGAAAGCAAAGAGCGTGCCAATCGAAGCTGTTCGAGTCGTAACTGACGACAACCCTATGCCCCCTGGTCTGCACCGCAAGAGTTTGGTCATCATGACACCGGGTCGATCGGTCAAATTTACAGCTACTACCGGGCAACGCCATGAGACTTGGTTCAACGCTTTGTCATATCTGCTGTTGAGAACTGGTGAAGATGCTGTTGCGGATACGGACCAAGTTGCTAATGGCGCGCTGACCTCTGAAGACGTTGCTGAGTTCAATCCTGGATATGGTGGCTCCGGTACAGCTCGCCCTGGCCCTCCATCTCTATCATCTTACAACAGTCGCACTACAAGAAATGAATCTCCTATGCGCAAGAGCTCCCGTTTGTCAATGCAACCTCAACTGGCTTCTACCTCTTCACGTCCTTCGGCGGGGACATTTTCGCGGCTGAGCAGTTATTGGAAGCCCGGAAAGGAAGGATCAGCTGGCATTGGAAGCTTTTCTAGTCGTCGAAGCCGACACAGCATTAGTGGCACTGGGAGTATATATGAGGCTAGCGAGGTCCATGACAGTGCTGAAGATTTGAGAGAGATCATCGAAAAGCAGGATAGAGAGTCTGGCAGGCTCGAGAATGTCAGAGCTTGCTGCGATGGTAAGCTTTTCATATCAAAATAGAATATAGAAGTGGTAGCCGCTAACGTTGATACAGGTAAACATGATGTTGGCCACCTACACCATTCTTCCACCAAAAGCCGTCATCAGCTTCCTATCGGTCCGGCTTCCGCCTCCAAAGAACCAGCCTCTACACGCAACGAAAGTAGAAGCAGCGTATTACGACGCACAGACTAAGTGCAATACCAACAACCACATCCCTACCTAGGGCTCTCCTTCACGATGTTATGTCTTTCCTTCCAATCTGAATCAAATCGCAATCTACGGATAGCGAGCGAGCGTCACGGCCTTGATCATGCACAAATTCAAATCTCTCCTTTTGAAGTAATGAGTGTGAGTGTTGTGGCAATTAAAGATAATTACATGTTGAACATGACGAGTTTATTTCTCCTTTCTGTACGATGTACCCGGTAGGATGGTGGGGTGAAGATGGGAATGGAAGAGAAAATTGTTTGAGGCAGCAGGTAGTTGACTAACAAAGATACCAATGCGGACTCAATTGTCTTCTTGCCTTCATGACTTTAACATCTTGGTGATTCTTTTGTTTCATAGTAAGACTTACCCTTAGGAGCTTTGGATTTTTCCCAGCAAGTGCTTTCAACTGTGTCACTGCTCGCTTACCAACTTTTCCATTTCTATTTCCCGCTCGCGATACGTCTTTAGTCTGCATCTGCTCCCAGAGTTGCACATTCAATGCAAGGCTATCGCCCGATCACACGACTTTCTTCAAAGGCCAGGCATCTGATACGGCAGCACAAGACAAAGCGTGACATATATCCAATCGGACCCCAACCGGCGGCACCTTATATCCCTCAACCATCGTACGAGTTAAGAACTGGGTATGCATGCACAGACAACTCGCCCCGTTCACCCCGCATTTCTGGAAAATCCCCACTTTCTCCATCGGTGAGCGTTGGACGTTCTAGACTTTCTTGGCATTCATTCTGCTTGAAGGTAAGAAGCGATGTGCACGGAAACAAGTTACGGTTTCGAGAGCAAGCGTTGCGCGTGTGTTTATGTGCATGTTGTTGCGTGTCGGGATGCGAGGTTACCAGTCGATGTGAGCGAAGGTGCGAAATCGCGGTGGCCGAAATGTAAGGCGAGGAAGGGAGTTCGGAAGGTTGATGGTGGGGTTGTGAGTGAAGGGTGTTGGGAGTTGGATGAAGGTGGCAGAGGCAAGGAAGGGAAGTGTGAGAAGAGGTTCGTTCTGAATGAAGGTGGGGCACTGGTGATATTGGGATCTTTGGCTGATGAGTTTGAGTAGAATGAAAGTCCACGTTCAAATTCCACGATGACAGGACGCAAGAAACTCATGCCAGAATATCATCAGTGCTCATTATATCAACAAATTCGAAAGTCGTTGCCGTGTTGAAGGTTGATATGAAGAGGAGAGGAGAGATGGTCCAATTACTTATCATGAAGCGCCAATTTATCAGGAGCGAAGACTATCAAGAGAGGAACATACGAGGGCATTTCCAGCGATTGCGATACGGTGACGATGGAGGAGAGAAATCAAAACATTCAACCATGTCTTCTTCATTTGCCAATGAGGTGATTGAAAGAGAGACTGAGAAGTTGAAGTGACATGGATAGATCGCGTTGAGGGACGAAGTTGTTCAAGTGATGTTAGTGAGTAAAAACGTTTTTTGCAGTGAAGATTGCCTTCAGTCCTCACTTTGGAATGGCGTAGAGAGTGCGTGGGGCCATCAGTAGACGCACGTCCCTTCTCAAGATTTAGCCCATCATCATATCTCTTTTTCTTCTGTTAAATGACCACAAAGACAATGAGCATAAGTGACTGATATAGAGAATATGAAACTCCGATGCGTGATGGATCCCGTTGAGAAAATGAAATCCAAGTTCTCCAGGAGCTCTCTACTCGAAAGTCCCATACAACGTCAAGACATGAAAGGTTATCAACCTTCACCAGTCCCCAATTCGGATGAGGTCACCAGAGATGAGAAGGTGGAGGTGGGAAAATTCCAGAGACAGATCGATTATGAGGTCGAGAGGAAGAAAGGAGAGCATCCAGAATGGGCTGTCCCTAAGATCGAGTGGGTTGTGGCTAGAGAGCTTCAAGTCAAAACTTTTTGATCATGACATTAATCAGAGTTGACATGAGGTTCTTTCGAGGGGGAGTGCGCGATAATTTCCCAAATTCTGCATAGTCATTCATATTCAGCACAAGACCAATGCAATGCCAAACATAAGGGTTTTCTTTTGGCGGAGAAGAGGGTATGAGATGAAGGTCGTTTAAACCTCATCGATCTCATCTTCACCATGAAATCTGTACTTAACCAAAATTCGACTCTTCTCTCCTGAGGCTGTATAAATCAAGTGATACAAGTTGAAACCAGTGACGTTCCCCAATTCAAAGCCAGCGGGATAGGTACGTCGCATAGTCGTCAACCACGCTTTGAGGTCGGTCTCGGTTGCGTGCCTCTTGAGTGCTATACGTGGCCACCATTTAACTCGACCTTCCTTTATCTCCGAAGCGTAGTGATCTTTGATACATTCTTGGAAAGCATCTAGCATCTGATGGTGTATATTCGTTAATGAATCCGAAGCTGATAATTTGGTAAACAACCATGAATTATCCTTGCCGAGTCGAAATTGTTGACAGCTACCTAGCGGAACAGCTAGGCCATTGCAGATACCACTCAAGGTCTTGTCGTACATGGACATGTGGCGCTTTGTACCGGAAAGGTACCCGAAAATGAGAATTTTTGTTCGAGAAGTGAGGCCGGTGGCACCGCACTGATCTCGGACGAGGTCTAATTTTGCCGTGGTAGATCCATCAAGCGCCATAGTCAAGACAGCATGAGAACGATATTCTTCTTCCTCTGGGGTGTTCTTTGAGATCTCTACTTCCTTGATAGCGAATTTTGTAGAGTGGCACCGAGCAAGCTGTTTACGAACTGGATACCTAGGTATGTTTTACGGAAACCACCTGGCTGCAATGTCAGATCTGATACTGTTTTTTTAAAGTATAAGCTCTATCATACCAAACATCGTCGTCTCGTATCACCCCACAAAGCTTTAGCCGTCTCTGGAGAGCACCTGTCTTCCTCCGCGCGATTTTGCTAGCGAAGCCCCAGAATGGACGATCTCCAGCACACTCAATCGAAACTTTTCGCGTTGCCAGCTTCTTGAAGTCCGTGGATTTAGCGACAGGAAGAGTAGAACATCATAGCATCTCAGGACGCGTCGTCCACGATGAATCTGTTTTGCGACGCATCATATTCAGCCACTAAGCCACAATGAGGGTTGATCCATTCCCGGAATGACCTGTCTGATCTAGCAAACGCGATGCATTTAGCAAAATGAAACGAGTGATATTGAAGATTTGAGCTGCGGAGGTCGAGAAACACAGATTCGTAGAGTAATTTTGAATGTAGTCTAATTTTCCGTTCCAAACTCGCATCAAAGATCTCCAATCCATGCCACCAAAATGCCACCATCTAGATAGAACTCCTTTTCCAATCGCGCCTTAATTCACAATGCATCCAACATGAAATCATGCATCGACTCTCAAGGCGATCGCAAATATCCAAAACTTCGCAGCAGCCAGTGCTGCGGTGAAGGTAGGTCGTAACGACCGTCTGCTCGAAGTTGTTTTCGCGGAACCCCTCGAGTCTCTCATAACAACACACAACCACCGCCTTCCTTCTTCTTCTTCCGCCGTCGGTGGTGCCTGTGTGGTTTCCTCTCTCGACCACCATACACGAGTTCTTCTTCATAACTTGGAGCTGAGCTGTTGTCCTTTCGAATGATCTGCCTGCAAAGATCTATGAATACTTCATCCACGTTCGCTGCATTTGTTAGTTCTCGATTCCCAACACATCTTCCTCAAACTCACCTCGACGTCGTGCGGATGTTTCATAGTATGGAGCATTTCCCCAGCTTTGCGATACAGCAAATGCTCTCGATCGAGTCACCACTCTGTGTTCTTCCAGGTCGGACTTGTTGCCAACAATAACGATTGGGACATTTTCGTCGTCCTTGATCCGGATTATCTGCTCTCGAAGCTCTGATAACTCGGAAAGACTGCTCTGGCTGGTTATCGAAAAGACAAGTAAGAAACCTTGGCCAGTTTTCATGTATAACTCCCTGGATAACGAGGTCAGTACCACTTCTAGCTCCGTCTCTCAAGTCTCACCTCATGGCCGCTGTTTGAAGTCAGCAAGCATCACGTGACTGGATTTCGAGCTTCACTTACTGAATTGTTCTGTGCCAGCAGTGTCTAGACTGGATGTCTGTCAGCTTCAGTGCTCATAATCAGATGGAGTTTCACACATTTCCAGCATGCATTGACGGCCCTGTTATAAGGTTAATCAGGTGCTGCACAGACTCCTTTCATGACGACATCACTCACATCAACCTCAATCTGCTTCCGGTACGAATCCTCGATTGTTGGGTCATAACTCTCGATCCAAACATTTTGAACGAACTGCGCTGGATGGAGGTCAGAAAGATACATCGTGACATGGGACAGAGGCCTTACCTGTGAGGCAGCTCTTCCCTACGCCGCCTAGATTGCAGAGATTGTCAGCTGAGATATCTTCTCCTGAAAAAGTCTCTCGTCCTCACCGGCACCCAGGACGACAATGTGATAGTCCCTCCTGCATGATTCCCACAGTCAGCAGCTGCAGCTTTCTCTCCAGGATCGGCCTTCAAACCTTTGCGACGTCCTCGCTGACATAGTTGCGCGGTCGAGAGTCTCCAGCAAGCTCTGACAGGCTTCCGTGACAGACAGACGGCGAGCGACAAATTCAATGCTCTTCGTCGTTCGCCAGGCCCCGACTCGCTCTCCCTTCACGCTCACTCACTCACTCACGCAGCTGCTTCCCTGCGTTTCGTTTCCTCACGGCTCCCTCCCGCGGTGGCTGGCCGTTCTCGATCGATGCGCAATTGACATATAACATATGTATTGATCATGGATTCTCGAATCCGTCAGGGGACGATGCTGCACGGATGGAATTTCTAGTCCGGCTTTAGACCGCTACCGACCCGACACAGGAGGCCTTGACCATGACTTTGGGACGGACTGAATGATTGATTGAATGATTGACTGGTGGACTTGACTTTCGCAAACAAAAGGATCTCAGGGGCTCAACTGAAGAAATTCTGCAGCGGCACGACCGCCCGCCGCAGAGGAGGAGCCTTTCCGCTTCATTTTGTATCTCATCTCATCCACGCACGCCGCTCGCTCGCTCGCTCCCTTCTCCTGTGGCGACAGGCGATTATGCCCAAAGCAAACTGAGGTATCTACGCATCTCTCCAACGACGTTGGCGACTCGCTATCCATACATCATTCCAGGTACGCTTCCCCTGGACCACTTCTGTCGCTGCCATGGCCATTGGACGGCGGAAGCATTCCAATAGTCTGCACCGTCTGATGGCATCATGGCCAGTTCACGCATCTGCACCAATGTCGGCGCAGAATTGGAGGTTCTTGCGTCCTGGCTTCTCCGACTCGTCGCCTGTCCCGCACACTGGCTTGCTTGCACGCTGACCTTACTCGCCCTAAACGGCGCCAAGAGTGAAGGATGGCGCTGACCGGATTCGCTTCCAGGCTGCTGGGCGCACACTGGTCCGCAAAAAGCTCTCCTCTCCTATTTTGTCTGCATTTGGTGACCCTGGGGCCCCATCATAGGTTGCTGCTGTCATTCATGCAGAATATATACATATTGCTCTCTTTGCTTCTTTAGATATGGGCCGCATACGAGAACGCAGCAGATGGAGTGTAAGAGAGGATCACGTGTCAGAAGTATCCTGCACGCTTTGAAATCACCCAGCGCTTCGTGGGGGCAAATGTTGCACAAATATTCTATTGCCGCTCCTGAATGGCCTCAAATTTGGTCTTAAAGTTTAACCCATCAAATCATGTTCTGGTCGAAGTCGGCCCGTCCAATGATCAAATGGTCCATGCTTCAAGGGATGCTGGAGAATTTGTGCATCAAACTAGTGTTGGAGATTGTTGAGAAAGACATATCAGCTTTCAGTACGTTATGTTGGACCTGTTCGGAAATATTGCATCGATGCAGCTGCAGCTCAGCTGGACCGCTCCGCTGCATGTCTGCGTTGGTATGGTGTTCTTGGTGTTTCACTTGGAAGCAGCATGATTCAGGGTTCATCTACGTGTGTACCTGTTGATTCAGCGATTATTCTGAGGTCAAACATTGAGCAAGGATCAGGGAGTTAGCTTTCTGTGGTCCAGATCAAAGACCCAATCGTTGAGAATTGCATCAGATGGTTTCTATTTTGAGTCTGTAGCTTTGACAGGACGCTTCTGTTCCAGTATGGAAGAGGACTGACCCGATACAGTGTCGATGGTCAAAAAGATTCAAGGAATTGTATTGGTTGGAAAGAAGAGAACCCCTCCAAGCGACACCGAGGTAATGCTGGGATTTCTCTAACAAATATCTCGCCTTATGTTGGTGAACAGAGTTTGCAAGATGCACCTGTTCTGTTTCTCTCGTCTCAGAAACAGCAATTACGCGGCCAGCAAAGTGACAACGCAAAGCTGCCGAAGCGCTTCGCCCAGGACTGGCCCATCCTTTAATTATTCAGCGTACGATATCAAACTTTAGCCAGTATGGTGAAAGCTAAACACGCTGATCTCGTTCATTCCAGGTCAAGTACCCCGATCACCCTGAGCCTTCAGGTCAGCATCGAAGGTCGCACCATGGTATCTAAGCGACCATCCTCTGCTATGGATAGAGGTAACGAAACACTGAAGAGTGTCTATCCCTTCCATCACTGGAACAATGGAACAATCATGGGATGAGCACTGACAATCTTCTGTGCGAGAGTGATGCTTAGAAGAAATTGAGTTTAAGGTGCATATACAGTAGATGGCAGGATTATGGCAGGTACTTTATATTCAGAATAGTGAAGTTGGCTCTCCTCACAAGTGGAGTCTACGTTGAGGGGGAAGAAAAGTGAATAAGACGAGAAATTGTGTGTGGAAACTGGATAAGTCGTGATGCAAGAGAACGATAGACCTTGAGCATTTGTTTCTTTTCTCGGAACGAAACAAAAGATTCTCAAATCCAATTTTCCTTCGGAGACAAAATCATCAGACCAAATCGACTCTTAACGTGAACTCACAACATCTAGCAAGATTGGACATTGTGCTGTACAGCCTCAAACAACAGTCTTGGCTCGGTACTCGAACAGCACCGTAGCTCCGTCAACCGCCGAGTCGAAACCCGCCTCAAAATGACTCAAGAACGGCATGAGGCTTACCACACGTTAATTCCCATACAAAATTCTCACGCCATAAAAGTTCTCCGAGTCCACAGTCATACTCTGACTCTTGATTCCTGCAGCCTCAGTCCGCAGCAACGATGACTCCTCGAAATCCTCCTCGCTTAACGGTCCTCTCGACAAGGGTGAGCTCTCTCGCCCCACCATGTATTTTTGATACTTAGAGAGCTGGGGAAGCTTTGGATTGGGGTATGGATAAAATCAAGATGAAAGAAAGAATTAAGATACCAGATGCGAATAATTCAATTGAAGTTGCAGGTGATAGTGAGGGGTTGGAGTGGCGAAGGGTGAGTTGTGTTCTATCCTTCCGTGAATTGAAGGAAAGACCTCGAATTGAGGAAAGAGTCTAGGGGTTTTTTCAGCGAAATCATGATGGCCGGCGGAAATCACGAAATAGTTTAAATTGACATTTCTCAGCCCTCCAACCCATCACAACCAACCTCAAAACCGAAATTCCTACCGTACCTAACGAAGAAACCAGCAACCGCCCCAAAAGCCTACAGTCGACCATTAGAGACCACCAAATCCGTTCCGAAGTTCGCCCAAGTCGCATCTTCTAGTAAAGAAGCCATCCTCCCACCACCAAGAACGGCAACATGCGACATGGCACCTATCCTACACCTGCCCCTCGACATATGGCACCTCATAACCTGCCAACTCCACCCCTCGACCATCAGTGCCCTAACCTGCACTCATCCTCTCTTACACAACTTCCTCACACCAATCCTCTACCATTCCGTCGACCTCAGTCTCTCGGCCCCATCGACCGAATTCTGGCCCAAAACCAACATATCCATAATGGACCATACCTGGTCCCGCCGTTCTCACATTGCTAAATCCCAGTACCTATTCATTAAGCAGATTCTCGCTCATCCGGATCTGGCTCTGCATGTCAGGACACTTAATTGGACGATCGGATTAGAGAGGATGGGGTTATTGCCTGAGGAAATTCAGGGCGAGAAACCAGTGTGGAAAGATGAGGAGATGTATGCTGTGTTTGAGATGTTGAGGGATGTTGTTAGACTTGATGTTAAGACTGGTACTAGGAGCCATGGACACTTGCCTTTGGATATGGTTGGGAGGGGATTGTTTCCGAATGCGAGATATGTTAAATTGAGTGGGATTATGAGGAGAGAGTTTGTTGATGCTGTTCTTTCGGCAGACATGCAAACCCAGAGTAGCGACGATGCCAGAGGAAAAGGAAAGGAGAAGGAGATGGTAGGCTTGGAGAACCTGAGCCTGGATAAAGTACCCTTGAAGACTTTGAATCTGGATGATTTGCAAGAGGAGGGCACATTCCAAAATCAAGCCACGCCATACGCATTCCGTCGAATGAGTGCCAAAAAACGGTTATTAGGAACAGAAGTACCACAGGAAGTTCCGAGACTGGGACCTTGTCAGCCGATGCAACACATCCTGACGCCAGCTTTGTACGACAGATGCAGAACGCTCCAGCGGTTGTCGATTCGGGTCTATGGAATGTCTGAGAGGGGGAGTTCGGACGATGAGTTATGGATGGACTGGGCTGTCTTCATCGAGGAAGTGAAGCCTCAAGAAGTGGTCTTCGACTGTGATAGGCTGCCGAGAAGCCATGGACGAGGTGGTGGGTCGGCTTTGAGGTTTGCGAGGTTGCGAGAGGCGCGTGGGAGGGCGGCAGTGGCGAATGATAGAAGGTTTGGGGAGACTTTGCTCCCGGTCTTGAGAGGTGGCTGGGAGGGACTGAAGCTTGTTGAGATTCGTGGTGTTGGCGAGAGTGTGGTCAAAGAGCTTCGAGTACTCGAAGAGAAGGGGGTTAAGGTAGTTTTTGATGTGGATAATGAGGAAAGCTACAAATGGTTGCGTACGAACGAGGGAAATTAGCAGAGTCTGATGAGCTCAAATAACTTCTAATAAAAGTGTAGGCTTGAGATAGAGAGGAGGCCTGAGAACATGCATTTGTTCAACTGAGCTCTAGTCTATAATTATATATGTCCATTAGTCTTGATATGCTTCAAGCTCTTTCTCATTCCAGCTGCGTACAGATCAGTATAATTTGCAGAAAACACAAATGCAACAATAAACTTACTTGACAAACTTTCCACTTAATTCTTTGTCTGCATTCAGAGCCAGTCTTGCCATCACATTCCCTGGCTGCTCTGGCTTTAGCAGTTTACCTTCGGTATGCAGGCTCCCAAATTTCTCTGCGTCCTTCGCATCCATGACGTCCTTATTCTTACGGATCTCGGCTTGCATTTCGGTATCCACTGTTCCTGGTCGGATCGCGATAGTCGTAATATCAGGTTCTTCATTCTTCAGAGTCGCTGCAAGGTGATTGAACGCCGCTTTCGAAGAACCGTACGCTCCCCAAGTGGAGTAGCTGTTTAATGCAGCGCCAGAGGAAGTCAGAATGATTCTGCCATGACTTTGACGAAGATAAGGCATTGCTGGTTGGATCTAAACGACATTAAAATGTTGGTATTCATGGAATGGTCTGGACAGGAACTCACGAATGCGATGGCGCTGAAGAGATTAATGTTGTAGGCAGATTGCCATTCTGCTGCAGTGGTATCTGCTACCCTCTTCACAGGACTGAGCGTTCCATGATTTATGATGAGGCCATCGATGCGGGAAAAAGATTTTATGGCTTGTGAAATGACTTTGGGTCCGACCTAGAAATGAAGAAAAGGTAGGTGAGCTTCGAAAATCTTGATCTACGAATCGACTGATGATTTAAATGTTAAATGAGAAATGAAATGCAGCCTCTTGAGTTTGACATGCTTCAATGAATGATCATATAGCAGACATAGGCTCGCAATCATTATTCGGGAGAGTCTACATACGAAAGCAGTACAACAAATATTGAAATCTCATCTCAGACTTTGAAGTACTTTCCAAAACTCCACGAGTCAAGAACAGGGTCTGAATCTCAAGCCAGGATAGCAATGAACGAATGAAATAGCCACGCACCTCAAAATCTGCAAGATCAGCAGCCAGAAAATCAACTTGTCCTGGAAACTCTTTCTTCAACTCCTCCATGGGAGCTTTAGTTCTCGCCACGAGAAAAACATTATGCTTTTGGGTAAGCAAATATCTTGCAATAGCAAGACCAATGCCTCGACTTGCACCCGTCAGAATGATCGACTTCGTTTCTGACATCTCGCTGGATATGTAGATTTTGAATGCGATATCGACAATGTGGAGAGAGCTTTTGAAATTGAGAAGAACTTTGAGAGAATCAGCCCCGCCTCACCCCTGTAACCCCCACTTCCCCGTTTTGGAAGCTTCAAAGAACGTCATATCTAATCTTACAATAATTCCACATCACTCTCTCCTGCTCCTCTCACAATGTAACCACAAACAGCAATTCGATATGGCTACATCAAAAACTGTCATTCTCGGCACAGGCATCATCGGTCTTTCTACAGCATATTACCTCTCCGATTCCATTTCTCCCTCGAGCATCCATCTCGTCGACCCCTCACCCGAACTTTTCGCGTCTGCCTCCGGACGCGCAGCTGGCTTCTTAGCAAAGGACTGGTTCTCATCACCGCTGGCTGCACTAGGAGCGCTGAGTTTCGAGGAGCATAAGCGTCTGGCAGAGAAAGAGAATGGGAGGGAGAATTGGGGATACATGCGAAGCACCGGAGTATCGTATACACCAGGCTTGACTGGTGGTAGGAGAACTAAGAGGGAGAGAGGAGAGGATTGGCTACGGCAAGATGCGAGCAGAGCAGATGCAGCGAACGAAAGCGTCAGTGAGCTCCTTGCTGGGAATGAAGAGGAAGCCGGTCCAAGGTGGCTGAGTCGAAGTGAGGGGGATGCGATGGAACTTATTGGGGAACAGGGAACCACAGCACAAGTGTGGGTCTGAGTATACCATCTTTCCTTGGACTTATAGTCCAATTACGAAGATCAATTAGCTGATTGTTTCGAAAATAGAGATCCATTACGTCTATGTCAATTCCTACTCAAATCCTGCCTCGATCGTGGGGTACAACTCCATCATCCGGCCCGCGCAATCTCAGTAGGGAAAGACATGCGGGATGAGTTATCTAGTATTCGAATACTGAATACTGATACCCAAGCAGTAACAGATATACCATGCACTAAGATTCTCATCTCGGCAGGTGCTTGGTCACCGCAAGTCTTCAGCGCCCTATTTCCGGACTCAAGAACAGGACTGCCCATTTCGAGTCTAGCAGGACATTCTATTGTCGTCCGGTCTCAGAAATGGAGCAAAGAACATGAAGAGCAAGGTTGTCATGCTGTGTTTACCACAGACTCGTCAGGATACTCTCCAGAAATATTTTCGAGGATGGGAGAAGAAATTTATATCGCAGGTCTCAACTCTTCCGTTATTCCTCTTCCAAAGCTCGCTACGGAATCCGAACTGAACCAAAGGTCGATTGATACGTTGAAGAAAACTGCAGAAAGGTTGCTAGGTGCAGATGGATTTGAAGTGGTGAGAGAAGGATTATGCTTTAGGCCTGTGACAAACCGAGGGACACCAGTCCTGAGCCGAATCGAAGATGCGAAGTTGGGGAATATTAGTACGAGAGGTAACGAAGGGGGTGGGGTCTGGCTAGCTGCTGGACATGGACCTTGGGGTATCACAAATTCATTGGGAACTGGGAAAGTCATGAGCGAGATGATAATGAGAAAGAAGACCAGTGTCGATATCTCTGGGCTGGGCTTGTAATCGAAATTTGGCTTGCATCATGAAACACAGTTTAGAAATTCTCCCTAGACCATTGTCTGATTTGGAGTTGTGGTGATTCAAGCACTTGAAAGTCTGGAATTGGGTCGAGTATTGTAAGAACAAGTGGGTCACAGAAACGAGCACACTATGAGCACTCAAGATCTATGTCTCGAAACTTCTTAGTTCAGAACTTAAAAGTCCAACATAGATTTAACGCCTCTGCAAATCATATTGTCTGGAAATATCCAAGTATACTATTCTCGTTTTTTTTAATCAGATAAACTTTTTCAAGTTTATAATAGAGAAATAGAGATTACTTTCCATCAATGTGTGAAAAGACGTAGCAATTTATGAAAATGATAATTCTCGAGTCGTCGAAGGACTTTGAAGGTGCTTGCGCAATTCGCACGTGCTGCGCGGATGGCGCGAATAGCGCGATATGCAATGAGATCTCAGGTGAGGAGAAGCAGGATTAGTACTTGATAACAAACATTATCGATTTTGGATAGGTATATAATGCTTAGATGGACGAGAGACACCTCACTTTTTGTCAATGTCTAGTTACAAGCCGGTACATGAGAACGTTGACAATTGTTATTCTTGATATTGCTTTAGATTGCGGGCGAGATGTACGATACTTTTGCAGACGACACACTCTTCAGTTTTCGCCGATGTCTACCGGCAAGCTAGAACATAAATCCTCGACAACGGCCAACATCTATTCACAAATCCTCCCAGACAAAGTACCCCTCACTTTTCGTTGTCTGTGGTCGCCATATTGTTTGACCGCGAGCCTAGCATTTGCCAAGTTCCGACAATTTCCCAGCGAAAAGGTTACGGCATATGGCAAAGCTGAATCCGTAAAGGGAGAATCATGTGCACAAATGCGGGACGTCGGTGGAGGACGTGCATTGGGTCTAGATGACCAAATGTTGCTTGGGATTTTGCTTCCTCTCGATCACTCAAGTCTCATTAGCGGCCGTGCAAACAGGGCTTAACCTGTACTTTTCAAATCTGTGAACGAGTTCAGCTGATACCCAAGAACACTATATCAGATACAACAGATTGAAAATGAATTTCCACAACTTCATACCTTCTCAACCTCAACATCCCCTAGCGAAACCTTGCTTGCATCATCCTTCTTCCTCCTACCATGGATTTTGATCTCACGCTCAGCAAATTTGAACTCGCCATCTTGCTCCTCGCACTCTTTCGCAATATCATCGAACGTCTTCCCTTCTGACTTCGCGTGCGCACGAATCTTACGAGTTCGGAACATCCAGATTAGATGGCACACGAAGATGCCCGCTTCGAGAATGACACAGATGATGTAGAGGACACCTCCTAGAACGTCAAAAGTGTTTTGAGCCACTTTCGATCGTTAGTGTCTGATCAAGGGGTGAGTGAATAAAGGAGGTGGCACGGACCTAGAGCCATGAGAGAGAAGAATGCACCTGACCAGTCGATGGTGAGGAAGATCTTAACTTATTAGCTTTAATAGCATTGGATGGAGTGTAGTCGATTATACCCAGTTGATGCCAATGACTCTTCCGCGACGTTTCCAGATTTCTAGGTAAGGTGGAAGTAGGCCCAAGGCGAGGAGTATACTCGCTATGACACCTAGGATGATCATTGGAAAGTCTATCCCCCTGTCGTACAGTGGCTGCAACTTTGAGTCAATTGATCGACATTGCAAACTTGTAGTAGTGACCTTACCCTCAAGGTTAAAATTAGAGCAGCCTCAGCCCCACCAAAAAGGGCCCAGACAACGAACCCCAATGTGGACGCCTTCCAAACGGGCCATTTACTAGACAATGTCAGCAATAATATGGGACAACCAAGAGTGTTCTAACTCATGATAGATCAAAGTCTGCGCCCAACTGATGAGGCAGAAGGTGCCAAAACATTGAGGCTGAACTTGAATCGGGATGTTGAAATTCTGCAAGGTGTAAGCAGAAGTTTCTTGGTAAGAGAGGGGCTTTAACTTGAGTGATTGAGTATGCTCCAAATGGTACAGCACCTGTAGGTGTCAAAGAATGAAGCAGATTGGTATCAAGTAGACTTACATATTGCCCACAAGAACATCATAATGCCTGGAAGACCCTCGGTATTCTTCGTCCTGTAGTTTGTCCATATTCTGAGATTGGTTGTCAAGTGGGGCCCATAAGAAGATGATCGCTGCTTACTGTGGAATCAACTGCGGTGGTTAGTCTGAGTATGTTGGTAGATGGGGTGAAATGAATGCATTTCCCAGCACTCACTTGAGCTGGAAGTGAGAAACAAAACAGGAAGCATGATGTCTAATTCCATGGGATGTCATAAACGAAGGGGAAAGCTTACTTGCACACACCAACAACTCGATCAAGGTTAGTTTGCGCCACTTCCTTTGAAGAAGGGACGTACACTATGACATCCAATCAGCTCTGAAATGCCACGGAAAGAAAAAGGAATTCCTACCTGTCCCTATTGTCTAACATGCCATATGAGAAACAAGCCTCGAAGTTAAACATGTGGTGGTGTACTCACACCAAGAACATTCGCTGCCTACAAAGCCAATTAAAGTCAACATATCAAGACAGCATTAGTGGGGAAGCTCACCACCGGAATACTAGTCTGCGGGGCCATAATATCGATAAGGTTAAATTAAATCTAACAATTTGAAATGCAAAAAGATAGCAAAGGAAACAATGAATGAAGCAAGACAAACATGGAGAAAAATTGTAACTGGAATGCGCTAACGAAAAGATGGAGAAAAGGTTGACGAACGGGTATTACTTCATGATGTGCTAACACGCTAGTTGGAAAGGGGAAGCGAGAACCGATGAGCTATTGTTGATACTTGACCTTTCTAGGTTCCAAAGATTCTTGGATGTCGGGAAGAATATGAATTCCTCTCTTCTTGTCAAGGTAATAGATAAATGGTTGCGAAACTACCGGGATATATCTCAAGGTAGAAAAAAAGAGTTTGTGCTGCAGTGGAGTGGTACTTGCACTAAGCGAGTGTGAGTCCCACTAATTCTGGCGGGACTGACCGTTGCCCACACATTCGGTGGGAAATGCTAAAAACAAGAATGTCCATGAAGTGAAGGGTAAGAAGGATGCAACAATTACCAACACAACTAATGGAAGAAGCGTACAAATGTAAAAGTGCAAAAGAGAGGATTTGCAACCGCCGTGAATCGAACACGAACCTCCACCTAACATCGCATGGAAGGGTGGAATCCTAACCATTGGACCACGGAAGCAGAGATGGTTTCTTGTCCAAATCTGCTTATACAAGACTATAGTCTACTTACTAGAACCCAAGCTCAGTAGACCAAAGCGTAGCTCTAAGCGAGCCCTATGAAATGACAAGTCTTCGATGCTTTGGATTATATCATTGGCGTACGTTCCAATGCCCGTCTCTTGAATAGATTACAGGACAGTTATCTCTAGGTTTCACAGTAGTCCGTTAGATTCCACTTCTACAGAAGATCCCATTTATTCAGGGAGTTTTTAAGACCATCCAGGACACGGAATTTGTGATCTGCGAAGACAATCTGGGTTTAATATGCGCAGATGTCGGGTTCTCTATGAAGCACTTCACAAGATTGCGAGATGTAGACCCGGTGGAGACTACTATGAAGTCTGAAAAAGGACTTTACATCAACTGCGCATATCTCGCAAGCTCCGAGCACACCTGCACCTCGAGGAGAGCAGGCCTCACGTGACCGTACAGACATGCGAGCAATCTCGATTCCACGAGTGTTGGACAGCAGATGCCGGCAATCATTCATGCCTTCGCTATCCAACACGCCACTCCCACAACATTGGGTACCTATCTTCTCAAAAGAAGCCAGAAAGAGGCTCAAAACTCCCCACCACATGACCCCCACCAAACCCGAAAATCTACCCCCCAAAAGACGCACCACCACCCGTAAGCACTAGTCCTCACACCGTTTCATGTGGCATTCAGAGTCGAAAAGAAAAATCCCCGTCCGACGCACCCTCATCATACTTTTCGCGGCTATGTGCCTCGCGACCCGGGCTGCATCTCCCCCGCCAGATTGGTCAATGAGTCTGAAAACAGCCACCACTTTCTTGGAAAAGGTGTGTGGCCAGCGCACCCATTTTATTACCGGTTGAAGGTATATCGTGTGGAACAGGAAAAGATGGCGACTGTACAGCCTTGTGTGAGAAGGAGATATGTTTCTACCCGTCTCCGATCGATGAGATCTCCTCAGACCTGGTTGATGGGGAGAAGTGATAAGTTTCACTTTTTTTCCCGTTGTACTGTACAATACTTTGCTTTTGAGCTGGATCTTGCCGTATCATCTGACCGGGTCGGAACATAGCTCTGCGCAAAAGAGAAGCAAGGCTTGGGGAATAAATCGAGGTACTGTACAGTATTGTCCCGTACCAGATTCTCGAGAACAATGGATACTGGAGAAATGGCCCTATCGTCTCTTCGCACCGCGCAGACAGACATCCAGAAGAGGTGCTGCAGCAGAGGAGTGTGTGCAGACGCACAGGAGAATCCCTTCCCATGCAGGGAATCGTGCCATCGCGAATGGCTGACGATTGCGAGAAAGCAAACATCCCCTCCTATCCGTAGTGGACCGTCCTTGGTGACGTCTTGGAAATGCAATCAATAATCCGACTTTTCGACTCCACCCCTCAGAGCAGAGAGATACGAAGTTACCAGAATACGGATGGAAGGCCTGGATTCTGGAAGCCCTCTTGGATCGGAAAAACTATGCCGCTTTCAGTGGCTGTGAAGTGCCGATCCTTTACCTGTTCGTGGGCGCACGAGGTGGGAGAGGGCAATACGTACCCGACAAAGCTGTGGGATCAGCCCCTCATCCACGCCCACACACCCTCAGACGGGACCCAAAAAGCCAGCCCTGGTTTAGCAGCTCTGCGGTGTTAGAGTTAGCTCGAGGGGGAAGAAAAGACAAATGTGCAGCGGCGTGCACGGATCCGGCCTATGAAATGACCTTCCGCTGCCACACCCCAGAACCCTGATAGTCCGTACAGTACTGCAAGCCTGGAGGGGAGAAAAAGGCGAGTAGCGCTCCGTGCACTGTAACTCCCCGAGCTCCCCTCGCCCCAGAGTCAATGGGGGGTCTTGGGAAGAGGAGCGAATTGTGAGGGTTGCGGAGAACTGCTCCAACACCACTGCTCACAAACACTTGAGCTCGCGTGGCCAAGCTGTGTCCCTCGAGTGGTAATGAGCAACAACAACAACATTCCATACTGACGAGGCCGTGCGATGAAGCTCCAACAGTATCACCCCAGGCCAAACAAGGTCAAGCCAACCCCCATCCCATCCCATCCCATCTATCCCGAGAATGGAAGAGGAGAGCACGGATTTTTCAGCACGCCTCAGAGTTGCAGTCGGCATCGAGGCCGTTTTGCTGGGAACGAGTCGTCACTTTCCCATTATTCACAACGCATGGCAGATCTGCCATGTGCTCGCTCCCCAAGTACCGTCGCCAAGAACGGAGACAGGACAGACAATCGTGACGACGGCGGATGCGTACGGGACTTTCTTCCTCTGTCTCTCTCTCTCTCGACCTTAATCTGAGACACAAACTCTCGAGTCCTGCATCAGATCCCAAATGGGCATAGGGTTTAGCCGTCCTATCACCAGCTACCAATAATATAAATCCTGGAGGACCCCTTGAGGGAGGTCGCATTTCATGTGTGCAGCGTCTACTAATGAGTTTGTGTGACATGGGAAAGTCAAAAAAAGAAAGGAAAGTAAGAGAGGAAACCTGTCACAGCCGATGACCGAGATCCTCCTGCATCCCCTTTCCCGTCCTCACAAACGGAGGGTCGTCGTCTTGCAGCCGTTGCCACTCGGTCTGCGAGCATCCCTACCGCCCAGGACGGGAGACGATAGAGTATAATTACTTGATAGAGCTTCGGAGCGGCAGCTATCAACATCCTCGAAAGCAACCCCTTGTCCTCGTGTGATGGGTCGCCAGATCTCTTGCAAATCCAAAAGGGCAGCATCTTACCAATCAATGTTGTGCACGGAGAGGGCAGGATGGGTGCCCAGAGTCCAAACGAAGATGAGACAAGAATCCATCATCGGAAGGTTCTCAGCGCATCGCAAATCGTAGTGTACCACTGGATACACTCACCTCACCCCACCTCAACCGACCGTTATTTATTATTTTCCCCCTCGTCCACTTGGAAGAGAGCCTTTTTGTCAGCGGCCGCGGGTATTTCCCATGATCCAAGCACCACAAGCAAGAAATAAGAATGGACGAATTTCTTGTAGCGCGAGCATCAGCGAACCAACGAGAGGAGGTTCTCGATGGGTATTCGCATATATTTTTGCCCCAACGAATGAGATAGGTGAGTGTGCTATCAAAGGAGAGTGCCCGGTTCCCGAGAGCCGAATGGGACTCAGATTAAAGGAATCAATCAGATGTGGTTGCTTGCGATAACTGAAGACGGCTTTGGGGCCTTTGTTTGACTTGTGTGGTGCAGTGCGGTGCATATTTCTCTCGCTTTCTTGCTTCCGGGTAAGGAGGTATATCGTCTCGACTGAAAATAAAAATATCGACATCGCTTCCCTACGGTTCCTGGAGTTGAAATTGAGTTCCTGGAGCGAGCGTCAAGATCATCGCGGTGATCCGGAGACCATCAAAAGAGGCTCTCAGCGCTGCACGTTGGGGGTTGAGCCAGTGCTTCACACTTCGCCGTTCCAGGGTTCAACCATCCAGACCGTGTGCGTGCACGCACGCCCTGGGTTATCTGTATCGTGGTGTCTCCACCTGCAGCGGCCATCAATCAGCACTGTGTGTGCCATCATCCTCCATCATCAACCAGCATTTCCCATCTCCACCCGCCAGCATTAGGGCTGCGACTACAGTACTGGGCCACCAGAGGCAGACCACCTGCAGAATTAGTGGAACCTTCGAGCTCTCTCTCTCGCGCTCGCACTTCTGCTGCTGCTGGTGGTTGTGGTGCTGGTCTGCGCCTTAGGAACTCGGGCCAAGTGGCAGGCATTGCACGCAGGGTTCCATCATCAAGGATTGCCAAGCAGGGGGGACAAGGGAGAAGAGACAAGGACCAGGGAGAGCAAGAGCAAGAGCAGGAGCAGGAGCAGGAGCAGCGGCAGCGGAGAGTAGTGCAGTGCAGTGCAGTGCAGAAGAAGCGTTAGTGAGGAGGCGTCCTGTAACAAAGTGGCCTTAAACCCTCCCTGGCGACCCCTGTCATCTATCTGCTCTCTCGTCTTGCATCCTCAGGACAGGACAGACAGACTTTCATCTGTTTCCACTGCTGCTCCTGCTGCTCCTGCTTGCGCTGCTGCAGACCAGCTCCAACTCCAAGATACGGCACTATCCCTCTTCCAGCCTAGCGGAAATTCTCTCGATAAGGATACAGCCAATGAACCCGCTATCCACACTACACCAGATTCTCCTTCCCCCCCCCCCCAATTTCACCCACAGAAAACACTCCGAACCGAGAACAGCCCAAGTCTGCCCCCTTCCTACCTGAGCACCTGAGACAACGTTCACGACATTCCTTCAAAAATTATATCCTCAACTTACACACACCACCACCACCACAACCGCGCATACCACTTACTCTTCCAATTCGACACCTCTCACTCACTGTTCGACCCGTCGAGTCCGTCGAGGCAGACGCTTTCTGCACGTCGACCCAAACCCTGCCTCCCATCGCTGCTCATCCTCCCGAATACCGTGCCCGAACCTCCAATATCTCGTCGAACCAACTGACGCGGGTCGCACGGCCATTCAGCGTACCTGAATTCTGGATTGCTTGCAACCCTCCCCGAACTGACAACTCGAGTCTGACGAACAATTGAACCTCCTCCCGTCCGCAATCTCCCATCCAGTCTCTTCAGCGAAATCCCTCGTTCACGCGAATTCTTATCGTCCCGGCCCGCATTAATTACATCGTCTGCTTCGAATCTGGAGACTTGCGACATTCCTCTGCAGCATCCACCACCCATCACCGTGGTCGTCACCGAGTCCCTCGAGAGCGCGTTCCCCCAAAAGTCTCGAACCACTGACGCCACCGCTGCCGACATCGCGACACTCCCTTTGTGCGACAGAGAGGAGGCATGAACGTGGTCCAAACACCCTCGAGCGCAAGCACAACGTCGCCCATCTCTCAACACCAGCGTATCTCTGCGTCGGATCGCGCAACGTCTTTTACACCGCAGCATGCCATGAACGCTTCTGCTTTCTCCCAGTCCGGCCAGGTCTTCCGTCCATCAAATGCTGTTCAACCGACATATCAGTCGCTCTCCATGACGACCATGAACGCTTTCGCCGTCGAAGCGCCTGCCAACAGTTCGCAGACATCGGGCGCATTCACGTCAGGTCCCTGCTCGGTCATGATACGAAGACTACCGCTCGATACCAACGAAGCGAAGTTGAAATACATGGTGGTTTGGTCAAAGGAGTGCACTGATGTGGAGGTATTGTCGCCTGAGCAGTCGGAAGATCCTGGATATCGATCGGCAATACTACGCTTTAAGTCGCATGCGGGTGCCCTGGAGGCGAAAAATATGCTAGATGGGAAAGCTGCAGATAATGTGCAGATGATCGTCGAGGTTCTTTACGGCAGTCCTACATCGTCGCGACGATATACCATCGACGAGACCACGAATACTGGACCCAGCTCAACGACTTCATCAGCCTCATCAGTTGGACCGACGCCACGTCAATCTTCGAGGTATAACGGCACTTTCCAGTCTTCGCAGCAAAGAGTGTCTCCAACGAATGGAGGCGCTTATGCAAGCAACGAGCTCCCAACTCCTGAGAACAGCGCCCATTATCAAAGCTTGTTCTCTCCTCAGTCCCCCATCGGAAACCATCTGAATGGTCCGTCACGAATTACTGGAAAATCTTTAATCAACAACGACTCTGTTGACGATGACGAGACTGGAGAACTCCTGAAGGACCCGGTTGCTTACGCAGAAAATGGCGCCTCGGTTCAAGGACGTCGACCAACAAATCCTCAGATCCCCATCTCCCGGATGGCCGGCTTGTCTCTGAATACGAATAATGCTGCAGGTCCGGCATCGCTCTCCTCATCTTTCGTGGCGTCTACCCCTCATACACTAGGTTCTCACGCAAATCCCATGTCTCCCACTCTGACCAATGGTGGACCACCTGTCAACTATCAGCTCGGGAGTCAGCATTACCAGCGTCACAACTTCCCACCCGTCAATCCTGCTGACCAGAATCCACCTTGCAATACTCTTTACGTCGGAAACCTTCCGATTGACACATCTGAAGATGAGCTAAAGGCAATGTTCTCAAAGCAGCGAGGCTATAAGCGCTTGTGCTTCAGGACCAAGCAGAACGGACCGATGTGTTTCGTTGAGTTCGAGGATGTCTCGTTTGCAACCAAGGCTCTTCATGAACTCTATGGACACCCTCTTCATAATAGCATCAAAGGCGGCATTCGATTGAGCTTTTCCAAGAATCCTCTCGGCGTGCGTTCCGGTCAGGGTATGACCTCTCCAGGACCATCGAATGTTCCAGGTGTTATGCAGGGCATGAATGGGGCATTAGTTGGTGGACCTGGTGGATCGTTCAGTACGGCAAGTGGACCTCCCCCAGGTCTCTCAGCCCCTCCAGGACTCGCTCCCAACAGGATGGGCTATTCCAGTGCGATGAGTCCGATGACAACAGCTGGTGGACACTACACCACTACTGCTTTTGCTGGAAATAATAACGGTTGGAATACGCCTGTTTTTGCGGGTATGGCTGCTGGAGGACCTTCTGCAATGCTTAACGGTGCCAACAATGGGTTCCAACCTCCCGCCTACATGATGGGCAGGTAGACATGTCAAACTTTCGACTCGAGAAAATGGCGTTCAGGGTTACAACGGGCAGATTTGACTTCTTCATCATTCTTTAAGGGTTGCCGAAACATGGCTTCTACTCTCTTTACTTTACTTGCTTCTGTTTTCATAGGTTCATTGCGAGGAGTACCTGGGGAATTGCTCGCATGGGTTCGCATTTCGCATTACATTGTTGTAGCGTGGTGTTCATGATCATGAGATTCCCCCTGCGCGTTGTAGCAATTGGTGGAGTTGAAGCAGGATCTGGGAAAGGAGGGATGGCATGCTCTGGTGTTTTTCGTGTTGCTGTCTGGTCTCATTTTCGTCGTCATCATTCGGTGTGTGTTCTGCTGTCATTTCCGTCTGGCGTCCAATATCTAAAGAATAGTGAAGAGCGCAAGCTGGCAGGCTTGAGACAAAAAATGCAACACCGCGCGGTCGATTGTACGATTGCTTTGCAGCGGGCACTCTGGGGCATGGAATTGGAATACAGGGGCATTTTAACTACATGAAAGAAGGGGGTGGAAAAGGCGTCTCTCATCATCGATGATTCTTCTTCTTCGTCGATCTATGTCTGTCTTTTGTTCGGCATCGGGCATCTATCGGGGTAGCGCTCTTGCAATCAAATGGGGGGTACGCATAATGAAAGGGTTCTTTGGCGGATTGTATTTTGCTTGGCATATGAACAACGTTGGGGTGTTCCTAGCATCTACGGATCGGATTAGTTGCTACAAGTATCTCTAGATGAATCCAAAGATTTCCTTTCCTCTGTATGAAATGAGATGAATCGATTTCGCTAGTGATGTGCTTGGTAGACTGGACACTGTATTAAAGCAGGACGATGCTGACACTTGTGTTTTTGATCAAATAACGTATACGATATTTGTCTAAATATTGTACCCCCACTAATTACTTACCACAAATGTTAAGTACCATGAATCACTTGAACGATACTCCATACCGATAACTCTGGATCCCATCCTGAGCAGAAGGTGATACTCACTCCGCCTTTCCCCGTCCGTCAAAGCCTCTTTGAATCCACTCCACTCACTCATCTCCAACACCCCGCTCAACCGTTTCCACAGGTACCTGCCCTAATCACTACCTACATCAATGGTGCTCTGCTTACCTCACATAGACTACCTATCTACATACAGACACTCCAAAAGACCTCCTTCTAGCAGCGACCCGTTAAAAGAAAAGCTGTAACAACACGACACTCTAGGTAGTTTCGAGCATCGCTAAGCCGAGAGTACAGTAGGATTCACCACCACACGGTTCCCGTACCTGTCGCCAGCAGACGACGCGGTGAGGAGAGGGGAGAAGATAGATAAGTCAGAGTGTGCTATTGAGTGGGTGGGCGAGTACAGCTAGTCTCGTGAGTTGGAGATGTTGAGATAGGGTGTTCATGGCTAGGTAGCAAGGTAGCTAGCAAGCAAGCAAGCAAACACTAGGGAGTGTTCGTCTCGGATCGAGATATGAGGACTGATTGTGGGAGGGAGCTCTGGGTTGTGATGTATGAGCAGTTAGTAGCTGGTGTGGTACTGATGTTGGTATTCTGGGACTTGAGCGATGCAAGGAGGAAGGAGGAAGCCGTTCGTACACATTTGGGGAGGGAGATATTGGTAGATGTTTGGATCAGAGCTGAGCTGGTTGTTTACGGACTTGCGTCGAGCCGGGGCCGAGCTGAGTTGTTCGGATTGCTGCTGTTGTTAAGAAAAGCAAGGAAAAGTAGGCTTGAGAGAGTGCTGTTTGCGGTGGTGCTAGACGTACGTAGCTTTGAATGAGGGAGATATTTTCGGGAGGGAGAGAGGGAGGCAGAGAGGGTGGCAGAGAGGGAGGGAGGGGAGGGGATACATGCTTCGTCTGGGGGTATAGAGGCTTCTAGCCATTGATGGTGATGGTGACGGCTGCCTTTTGATGTTTGAGTGCAGAGTCCGTGTCGTTGATTGTAGGAGCGATGTCAGCCATTGGGTCATGTTTAAGTGTTGGACGAAGGCGCAATCGATGGCTGACTACAAGAAGTTACTCACAAGTGAGAGTAAGTTAGTTGTTGCGCTGATCTGCGAAAGTGTCCAGTCTGTTTGAAGTTGCTAATGTGACTAGGTTTACTCGCGTGTGCGAGATCATTAAGAAGAGGATGATGATGATTCTGACGAAGAACAAAATACTCCCACCAGCAGCTCTGAAGCCGAAGACCGATGCCACTGGTGTCGAAGGAAAGCCCATGCTCTTGGGAAGAAGAGCAGATCTCGGACCATCAATGTTTGTCTGAATATCAGTGCCAATAGCCATCGAGTTAGCCTTGCGGTGCCCTCAGCGGATTGGGCCTGCAGATGGCGGGAGAGATGTAATTGGCAAAAGACGCACCGAACCTAAACGACCCTTGAGTTCCGATCGATGAGCCACTGGTATAGAAAGAGCTCAACGTCGTATTGAAAATCCGAACACCGGATATCGAGACTGCAATGTATTTGCATTCGCTTAACACTCTCTTGACCCGGTACCAATCTTCTCCTGGACAGACAAAAATGTCTCAAAGGTGCCTAAAAGATAGCAAGTGAGCGTGGTCTGGTTGACGATAGAATAGCCATCTCCCAGCAAGATTGAATTGGGAAGCGTCAAAGATGCATTGGTGTTCATAAAGCGACGGCCTCTACGCAAAATCACCCCAAGCTCCTTAGCGTCGGCCAAACCTTTTTCCTTTCCTTTCCTATTCCAAGCAGCTCAGAGAACTCCTCAACAACAACCCCATACAAAATAAATTCTGCAATATGATTGGCCCAAGAGCTCTTAGCGCCGAATTTGCTCTCTGCTCAACTTTTAAAGATTTTAGAAAAGGGCATCGTTGAGTTTTGAGAAACATGATATTTTGCGATGTGCAACAAATCTTTTTAGCTTTAGAGCTAAAAATAACCTTAAAACCTTAAATTGTAGATTTGAAAGTGAGGTGCTTGAGACGTACTTTGTGCCTCCATTGGCATCTCTCCAACTAGATTCAGTTGAATGCCCCTTTGGCGGTGATGCTAGTGGATGTGCCCATGAGTTATTTAGTCATAACTTTGGACAGTCTGTTTATTCTGTGTCAGAGGCAGATCAAGTTGTCGATGCAGTACTCTGGCTTCAGCAAATATTTGATTATCATCAAATATCTCATTGGTGTAAGCCTCAGTATACAAGCTATGCAAGAAATAGGGAAAGAGATCATCATACTACTACCCATTCAATTCCTCCTCGTTCGATGCGTGCATCAGATTCAAGTGTGTATTGTAATCTTCTAAGAATGCTCCTTTGGCACCCCGATCTCATGCCTCGAATGAAAGCTTCTGTTTGATTCATCTGCCGTATGTCGTGCTGGCTACCCTGCCCCAAGCATGCCATATTAGCCGCTCTCGCAACCACTTTCCAGATATCATTGAGTTCGTCATTGTCGGTATTAAAAAGCCCAGGAAAGTCGACCAATATCGACTACAGGAATGGTTGCCCCGATTCCTACAGATGAGAATTGGATGCTACCAGGAGTTAGAACGTGTATGTATTGCCATCTTTGCCCTCCCCGTAGGACGCAAGCTTCGTATGTGCCAGAAGTGGTCACTTCAAATGTCTCCACGTGATATGTGTTCGATACTCCCAGTGCAAAAGGCTAAGGAGCATCAGAGAAGTTGCTGGTGAGTGCCTAGAATGCTTCTGCATATAGATATCAAGAATCGGATAGGCAGCGACTTCTGTCCCAAAGTCTAATGTCGCCGAGGGTGTTGAGGAAACCAATTGGAATGGTTAGAACCTGCCTGTAGAAGATAACGACGTTTGCACTGTGGCCATGCCTACAGGAAGAAAATTCAACTTGCTAGCCACCGTCTCAGCATAATTTTTGATTCCTTTCGACTGTTCAGAATACCTCTGTGAGCCATTTCGATCGACGTTCCTCCAACTTGCCACAGTGGGATGAGAGACAACATGAAAAGCTAGGCTTGAAGAAATGATATTCGCATTCTGGGCTTGTTTGATAAGCAGGCGGCGTTACTGGCAATACTGATGATGATCATGACTTCTCCTGCAGGCACCGACGAATTTTATTTGACATTGCTCAGTGGAGCAGCCAAAAGCCTCGGGTTCACTTCGACTGGATCAGGGTCATACGCTTATTTATCTCGCATTCAACCGTAATCAGTCGTATTTGTTCGTATCCATATGTCTTCAAATCAGGGATAGCACCACCAATCATCGACTCGCTTAAGACTGCTGGGAATTAGGGGCATGGCATGGCGCAGGTTTATTAAGCGAGCCGACGACCTCTGGGGTACATCCCAATGGTAGATTGTGACGACGGGTTCGATCTTCTGGGAGTGAATTCGATTGATCAGATCGCTTTAAAAAGAAATGCCTTTCCCATTGATCGGGTCATTGCGTCCTCCAAGTGGGATGATACGAGACCAGGACATTGAGAATCTATAAACATCGACGTCGAGGGATGACATCAACTCCACATCGTCCTCTACGAGATTGCAGTGATTGCATGCAACATCTGCGTTCTCGCCGTTCGTGCGCGAGGGTTCGAGGTGAGAAAAGGTATCCCATATCGATGGACCTTTGCCATCTTGTGAGGCACCGCCTTCGACTTGATATGCTGCCGTGGCCGTACCCCAGGCAAAGTCTTGTGGAAGTGGAAGTTCTTCAAGCACCAAGTCATGCCCGCTTGCTGAACCATGGCTCAGGACAACGTCGTCAGCTGAAAACATGCCTGCCTCCTGAGACATGCCGGGCTAGGAATTACGAGACGTAAGAATCTGAAGTTGGTTGTGGGATTGCTCATAGATAATGAACATTGATCTTTGGATTTCTCGAGGTCGTGCCAAACATGGTGTGTTGAAGTGCAGTTGGCTAGGAAAGTGTCACAGGTGTACCTAGGTACTCTGAGGCATTCTCCCCGGTCGAACACAATGGCCAAGAAAGATCTAGCGAGAGGTAGGAAGCGAGATCTCCCTCCTATTTTTCCACGCGTGAATGGTGCAGTGCAACCATAAGCGAAGTCGCCCATACTCGGCACCATAGCTAACTGTAATCCATGTTCGCAGCTGCTCACAGTAATTGCAGCCGAACCTCTATACGATACGACGTATTCGTACCCGATGCCTGGTCTTGCAGCAACCCCGCGTTCGTCTACCGGTTTCCACTTCAGTGGGGCAAATTCATGGGGAATCGGGTCATAAGCTTAAGATTGAAAATTTACAGACCCAAATAAAGATAGAAACCGGAAAAAATACGACGATACGATGAAAATCCCTGTGAAAACATCAAATCGAACAACAGTACGAAAGGGCCTCGCACGAAATGAAATATATAAAGCTTCAGCTTGACTCTCCCTGCTTGTGATAAGTGAAAGCCTTTTTCTGATAAGTTACCATCATTTCGAGGCTCACATATACCAAGATGCGCTTCGCATCTTTCAACATAGCGTTCTTACTTGCTGTGCTGGCCCTGACCGCCGCATCACTTGATAGCCATATGCTCATCTATCGACGATCAAACACATCAGCACTGCCATTACCGCCCAAACCTGAACCAATTGTTGTGGTCGAGTTACCGATACCTCCAGTAACTGCTGATGAGACGGAAGGTGGTTGTACTTCTGAAGTGAATCCTTATGGAACTGGGTGCATAGGCGCAACTTCATCCGGTCTGTTGGGCGGCAATTTTCTTCCAGATGGAAAACACGTTACGGCATCCTTAACGTACGCAGGGGCACCCGCCGCTCCAGATCCGGCTAGCATATATACAGGGCTCCAGTTGATAACCGTTAAAGTGGACGGGACAGTTTTCCCCAATGGCGATCCGTGGAAATGCATTACTTGCGGAGTCCCAGCAGACCAACAAGTTTCCTTCAACGGCTCAACCACCGACTACCAGTATCCTCAAGCGTTTACTGATGGCGTACGTGTCCTTGCTGGCGAGTGGATCATCGATTGCGGCTCCGAGCAGCTTGCCAGTCCAGAGTGCACCCCGGATAAGGTGCATATCTATCCCATTCGATGGAATGTCACACCTGATGGCTCTGGGGCTGGTGGCAGCATACGAGAGCTGCGCAAACACCCTGATGATGTACACATTAGCTTCAATGCCTTGACTTATTCTGGTGTTTCTACGTCCCAATTTGGATACTTCGCCCGACTACAGTTCAACCCATCACCCACAACAGGGACGCCGCTTACTCCCCGGTACGATCTTGTCAATGTCACTATGTTGTATGATCTAGATGGCCTGCCCACGATCTCTGTTGATGGCAACAACTTGACCATCAATTCCCAAGCAATCGTGGTAGGCGAGGTACGTGGTTTGAGTGGACTTGGACACCAGGTGCACTATATTGAATTTCCTGCGGAATCATGCAACATCGATATATTTAGAGTGAGCCTTGTGACTGGTGAGGTGACAAGAGTTACCAGCGACCCAGAGTACGTGGACCCGATTGATACATCCTCCGATGGCAACTGGATCGTGATCATGGATACTACCACAACGAATCGAATGATGTTTCTAGCCGGCATGCGCGGTATTCCTCCTCTCATCGACACACTTATTACTGGCGCAGTCTCGTCCGTTCGGAACAATGGGATACGACGGTTCTTCCAGCCCTGGATCGTCGACCGCTATGGCGACCGTTATTACGACGATGGCGAGTACTATCAAGGCCAACAGCTGAATGGTGCCGGCGACGGTAGCCCCGGTAGTGTGAATGACGACAACTGGAATGGCATGGCTGATCCGAGATGGTCCTTGGATGGAACCCGTATCACATACTTTCAAACTCTTGTTCAAGCCCCGAATTGTGGTGGTGTGAATCCGCTGCCATGTCCCAACTCTACCGAACCAGGTGGACGAACAGTGAGGTTGATGATGGCAACACTCACGAGTCGCCAGCCACTGAAATGGGAGCCAGTACCGCTAGTGTCGGATGTCATCCCATGGGGAAGAGAGTACGTACCGGGCAGCGCAAACCCAGTGGCAACGACCGTGCCTGCGGGCAATTATACTCTGTCAGGCAACGTCAGTGGTTACGCTGAGGTTGGTTTCATAATGAACAGTGCCAATACTTCCATCGGGACCGTGGCAGCTACTTACTATAACTACTCCGACAATGGCGAGAACTACATCTCTGGCACTGAGCAGGTTGCCGCCAGCTCTCCGAGCGCCACGTTGATCCATGTAGACTGGTATTCTGACCTCCATTCCACCGGTATCAGCAACAGCTCCAAGATAACTGGACCAGGCGGGTTCCATTTCGAGATTGACCTCGAAGAAAACAAGTTTTATGCAAATGGCTCTTTGACGACGATCGTAGATGGAGTGGTCTACACACAACCTGCGAATGGGAGTTGAAAATTGGTGACATTGTGATGCCGAGTGTGTTCGAGTAGTTTAAGAACGTATGTAATTGTAATAAACAAAAGATTTCCTTCGATAATATTAACGTAATCACTATTTATACTCCGAATGCAAGAAACTTAATGGGAGGGCCACCTGGGCAATCTGGAGCAAAACTAGAATGGAAGCAAAGCAAATGCACGTGCTTCACAGACTCCGCCGAAGAATAGCCGGCACTAGTCTTCTATGACATGAAATTTTTTGGAGCACGATCTTTTCCAGCTCTTCATACAAATAACAACAATAACAAAATTCCTCCATATATGCAATCGATCTGCGCACTACCTCTATACTTCTCGTTCTAATCCTCATCTATCATGTTGCTACCCTGCGCCACCTGCGCATCGTGCTATAATCACTAACCTTACTTTCTGCTACAGCAAGAAAAATCTCTGGTAAGCTTCCACTGTTCTCCTCTGTCCACACACACAAACACCCATTTCAATGATGAACATTCGTGTCGCCCCTATCATACTCGCCTCTAACCCAGGCACGCATGGTGATTTACCTGTCCCGCCAAAGGACCTATCTGATCTCTCCCCATCCTTTCCCTCATCCTTCCTGTCGCATTCATGCTGCACAAAGCTAATTCGCTTTAAAGACAGGAATTATTATTGTTTGTGAGTACATGATTTTGTTTAAGGGAGGGGAAGACCATGGATATACGATGATGAACAAAACATGTACTATCAAATACCGACCTTTTCATGGGGAATAAACTGGTTCGATTACCTGATGGTTTATCCGTGGTCTTGTCTCTTCTTCGATGCCTTCGATATTTTTTGGGAGGCTACATTTGCTGACTGGGCAGGGATAGGATATGACATCACTTTACACTATGGGAATGCTAATGGTAAGAGGATACAATTTTCTTTTGGTTCGAGGAGGAGCTTATGATGTTAACTTTCCATGCTAATGCTGAGGACACTTGGTGTCTGATGCTGAAACAACTTTAGACTTTTCATCTTTCAACTGAAGAAGCTGTTTGTTACTTATTGTCTTGTTTGAGGAATTTTTGAGGGCCATTGGCTAACTGTTTCGTAAGTCTAGGATCGATCCATGTACGAGATATCTTGGTTTGGGAGCGGATTACCAGAGGACGATGGATGGGTAGTGGAACACACAAGATTTTTGGTCACGATGCGGAGGTGGAGTATATAAAGTGCATATTTAATCATATATTACTTTGTGGCCCCTCAATGTCAGGAAATTGTGCCAAGGAGAGACCTTATGCCTCTTCAAAGTGTCCAATTGCTGACGGACTTTTACGAATCCTGTTTATGCACTCTCTCATCTCAAAGTCATTGCTGTTCAAAGTTGACCCTTACTTCTTTATACTCTTTGCTGATGTCTACCTGCTATAAGTCACTTTTCACCGATGCCTAACTATTCCATTTCATTTTCCGCTGATATTTCTCTACAGAATCCAAAACATACACCGTTAACAACAATTAACATCGACTCACGCATCTTCCCGTCCTGAATAGAGGAGAGACTCCTCGCTTTTCGCCGATGTCTACCTTTAATTCGACAAAGAAACCCGTGGCAACGGCAGACATCTACTCACAGCTCTAGAGCCCGGTGTCATTGAGGATACTTGCGCAAGTAAAGAAAAAAGAGATGGCACCGGCGACAGGTCGGCTCCACACACTCTGGGGCTTCACTAGGACTTCCTCAATTTGGAAATAATGTGGTTTTGGATTGGGAGCTGGGTTTGTTTATATACTTCGTTGCTTGCCGCTAGTTAATACCCATCGTACGATTTCTGATATTCACGCTTAGAAATGACGTGTGGAGAGAGCGCATAGATAGATTTGTAAAAGTCCATTAGCAATTGGATACTTTAAAGCGGCATAAGTTCTCTCGTTTTTACAGTACTAGATCTTTGGGCATTGTATGATGTGACTGATGCAATTTGCAAGCACGCCGGCAGCCACAACACCCCATTGAGCACTCCGCGCGGATTGCGTAGATTTGAGCAAAGAAGAAACACCTCTTCTCTCCACAACGACCACTTAAACAGTCAAAGTAGCCGATGCCCTCAAATCCCTACTACTCGCCCCAACATAGAAAACGTACTCCCCACTCTCAATCTTCCAGGCCTGCGCACCCACATCCCAAACACTCAAATCCCTCCTCTTCAACTCGAAACTCACGGCCTCACTCTCCCCTGGTTGGATCATCACCTTATCAAACCCACGCAACTGCCTCACTGGCTCATCAGCCGCATCAGGGAACGCCACATACAGCTGAGCTACCTCGGCACCCGCAACATCCCCCGTGTTCGAAATACTACTCGACACCGTAGCCACCACATCCCACAGATCCTCTCGTTCCCCAACAGCGAGGGCGCCCGTAGCATACGCCTGCGCCAATGCGGTCGCGTTAGACGTCACCGTCACCTGCTCCGAGTAGTTGAAGGTCGTATAACTCAACCCGTACCCGAACTCGAACCGCGGCGTCACGTTGTATTTGTCGAAATACTTATAATCGATGTAATTCCCCTCCGAGAAATCGATTTCTAGCGACTCGGTGATCTGCGTGTTGGCGTCGTAGTCGGATTCGTTTTTGGCGATCGTGTGGGCTAGTTTTCCTGAGGGGTTCACGGCGCCGAAGAGGATGTCGTCGATGGCGTTGCCGGATTCTTGGCCGAGGGGGCCGCCGTAGAGGACGCCGGTTCTATTAACAAATGAGTTTACTTTCTTTGACAAAGATTCTAGGAGCCGAGGAGCTCAGCCGAGGAGTTGAGAAAAATCTTCTCTGACGAGTAGCTCTCGGAGAGCATCCCGAAATCCTCGGCTCCTAGAATGAAAACAGATCAAGGGCAGATTTTGACGTACACGTTGGAGTGGGTTATCCATTGGTCGACTAGACGGGGTCCTGGAGGGTTTGAGTTAGTGTGTTATCTTTTATCCTAGGGTAAAAGTTAACGTACCAGTAGTGTTGATGACCACAATCGTGTTGTTGCAGTTGTCTGCTACGGTGTTGACGAGTGTGTCTTGGGTGGCGTTGTATAGCTCGGAGCGGTCGCCACCTTCACCTGACCATGCATTCAGGAAACAGAGTCCATACCAGCATTGGCCGAGTTGATACCAGTGTGCTGACCACCAACGTCTGCGTGCACAAGACCAGGCATACCAAGCTCAACCTTGAGATATTTTCCGAGAAGGTCTTGACTCTCGCAAGAATATGAGCCGTTGACCCTATCTATTGTTCGGCGTTTCGTAGTTAGTATACTTGTTCCGTACATTTTGGAAGCAGATATAAATGTCTTGAAGTACGAACTCCAAACGGACATTTAAAACGGGAAAATAATTTAAAAGAGATCAAGACTAACTCATCGCGCACATCGTCCCGCCTACTCCGTTTTTGACTGCATCGTAAAAAGGAGCCAAATAAGTTTCATGGAAAGCTTTGTCACCGATCGCAACATTGTAGGATTCGTCGCTGGAAGTCGAAGTGGAGTTGGTAGCAGAACTACTAGCACTCGCCGAGGAGCTCGTGGTTGTCGAATTGCTGTTTTATCTCACCGCAATAGTAAAGTTGCTAAAGGTGCTTGAAGGAGATCCACCCATTCCCCCGCCTCCGCCGCTGCCCGTTCCGTCACGGTTCGTCTCTTGTTCATTCATGATGAAATGTTTCGAGCTCGGAATGACACCGGCACTGCTGACTCCTTTTACAAAGCTGCCACCCATAGCTCCATTGAGGTAAGAATCTGCTCCGTAAGTTTCCCCGATCCGCCCGCACCAGGCTGAACGACCCAAAGGCTCAAGTGTGGGTGCATAGGCAAGATTGATTCCTTTTCCACGGAATTCAGCACCGAGTGCACTGCCTTGACTTTGAATGGCCGACTTGTCCCAGGTCATTGCCATTGCTCCCCCAGCAGGCCATGTTGTAACGTAGTAGTAAGTGAGAGGGTTAGTTGAAGAGTCCAACATGTCGAGGGCGCTGAAGTTTCCTCCACTCCCTCCAGTGATGATTGACAGCTTCTCGGTTGTGTTCAATGTCTGGACAATGGCATAGGCTTTATCGTAGGCTGCTTGCCAATCGCCAAGCTTGATCGTGCCTGAGCTTAGCAGCTGTGCTGTATAATTGCTTGACGCATCTCCTTGTACGACAACTCCAAAACGAAGCAGCGCCAAAAGAGCGATGACCGCAGGACGCATGGCGATGAAAACAAGTAAAAGAATGTACGGACAGAAAAGAGTGACTCAAACGAACGAAATGCTCCAAAGTGGTGCGGACAATAGAAAATCAAAACCACACGCAAAGCAGCAAGCACTCACTTCTTAAATCCAGAGAATTGTCCACCTGGGCACAGCTGCACAGAGTGACGACGACGATAGTATCCATAAACGAAATTTTTTGCCTTGGTAAAGCCGAATGTCCTGATCTGAGTCCATTCTGAAATACAAGGGCAAACCTGGAAGCCCGAAGACAAGGAGCCGAAACTTTTGGCATTTGCTTTATCAAGCTCGTGAACCGTGCATGAATAGACGATCCGACTGTTCAATTGTCTGAATTTGAATAGTCATGGCGATCGGAAACCGCATTTGAATGCGCTCTAGATGTCTCTTCCCATTTTCCCTAGAATGTTGCGACATCAACCTGGTATCCCCAAGTCCGCAAGCTCTTCTGAATAGGGCCGAAAAATCACCGTTCTACTTCTGAGATATAAGAGAGGCCTTATAGAACTATAGAAGTAAAACGTGGCGCGACGATCTTGTATGATGCGGTGCTGGGAAGTGGGGTATGGGACTGCTGTGCAGACGCGGCCTCATCTCAATAAGCTCCCGCAACTCCACACCAAGAGCACGGCGAAAAGGCCGCAGACTTTGCCCGTCGCATGGTTTAGTCGATTGATTGCTGGAGCACCGTTCCGCAGTAAACTAATGTTCATAAAGACATTGACGACGAGAGAGAAAAAGAGAGATGGAGCATTGAGACGAAGTTGGAGACCGGCCAAGTCAGTCTTAGCGCCGGCATTTCCAAAAGAGGTCTAGTCTAAATGGAGCGAGAAAACTCTCCACTCTTTCACTCATTTAGTTTTGTTTTCATGTTTCTTATCATTTTCGTGGTCTACCAAGTGACAGCAGCATGTGCAAGACGAACGAGTACATCAAAAGGGGATTATTTTCACAATACCAGCAGACTGGTCCATCACAGTGAGCATGCGATGTTCTCTGGATAGCGAGTTGAAGGATGAATGGCTTTTAGTCATCACCTTTTTCCAAAAAAAATTGTTCCTCATTGGTGTTCAACTTTGTTGCATTTTTCTGAAGACGCACACGGTTCCATCATGGAGTTCTTGCGAAAATTGCGTTGATTGTTATTTTCTGTTCCATGAATTGCTGCTCTGCTGAAGCTTTCTATGCTCCTACAAGAAGTACGCATTCGCAACTCGTCACATTTAATTTTCTCGCTTTCAGTCATGCGTCATCAAATAGATCTTGACGGAGGCTCATTGTTTGAATCTGGCGCCGCAGTTGCTTGTATTTGGGCTTTTGAATCGGAGTCGTCCACAACATATCCTCCGCCGTTCACTTCAACATCAACACCAACATCAACCCCTCATATGTTCTGCTATATCGCCTGATGAATTCAGCCATGGGATTTGAAGCGCATTTAGTATGCAGTTCCCGTCTTATGTGACAGGATCCGCCCCATGCCAATCGAGTTGTCAAATCCAGTCTCTAGTCGGGACATGATACAGCACTCCTAGTCTTCGCTCTGGTGTCCGGCGAAGGCTGAGCAAGAGTTCGAAAGCACAGAACCCATACACTATAAAGACACTGCAGTTTTGTCAATAAATCAAGCGTCGCTTACAAGCAGAAAACTCCAGTCCCAATATTGATTTGCTTTGCCAAACCTGAAGTTGGAAGTGCACATCTATGTTGGAATGTTCATAGTAAAGTAAGGTGTAAAGATTCGAGAGAAGATATCGCCAAGAACTTTTGAGGTCTGTCTGAGTTCGCCTTCCTTGCTTGGCAAATCGAGGAGCGCCCGAATGCTTTCCAGTACCTACCCAGGAGACACAGTCATTCAAGATTAATGTCGCCCAAGAGAAATGGAAAGCATCAAGGTCAGAGACGGAGAACGAAACGCGACCATAGATTTGTGACTTCGAAATTTCAACGCTCAGCCTTCCTAAGTGGCATTGTCGCACCTTTGAACCTCCACAGAGTTTAGCTTACAAAGACGCTTGCGAGCCTCACTATTTCAGGACAGAAGGATTTGCCATATGAGGAACCCGAAACTTTGGGGTCCACTCATCGAAAGCCAAGATGAAGAATGGCATGGCATAGCTGAGGTGACGATCGTGGATGGGGTCGGTGAGAATATGAAAGATGTCAAGAACAAAGTTGATTCAATTGGCACTCGTGAAATTTTGGATTTCGTGGATAAGGTTCTCGATGAGTATGCCAAGACATTTCCAAGTAACGCGCAGCCGTAGCCAAGACATATGGGATGAAATGCGAGTACGAAATGGTTGACTGAGCGAACCCGAACCGAATGCGAATCCGATTTATTTACAGAGTCGACAAGACAGAAAACAATGCCAATGTAGATGCATATGCATATATACTTGACTGTCCATTTCCCAATATGAAGAAAAATTCAACACATCTCGCAAAATATCTTGAAGACCCAATTGTTGTGGAGCATTCGCCAGAAATCATCCAAATCACAAGGCTCACACAGAAACAAGTACCAGATATCTTCCCAGTTCAGTCAAGATGGGTTTCTTCAGCAACAGATACATGTTCGCAGTGCACGTGCTCCAGATCATTCTGGTCCTGCTCGCCATCGGTGGTTCAGTTGTCCGTCTCCTTATCGTGAAAGTACCTGCAGGTGCTCCACGAAGCAGGGCAAACACCATGGCACTAGGCATGGTGAGTATCTCTCTTCTTGCCTTCCCCATTAGAGAATTTTCGACTGACCCTATAAAAACTGTAGGGTGCCAAATCGCTCATAGTCATCTTGTACCAAGTCTTGTCCGAACACACCGCGATGTTCCGAAAATGGGCTAGCCTGAAAGCGAACATGATCTTGAATTGCATGGAGATCGTATTCTGGGCTGCGGTAGTTTTTCTGATGATCCAAGCGAACCTGAAGTTCTGCGTCGGCACCAATTGTATACTGAGTTGGGTTGTGACTGGAGTTGCTGGTACACTGAGGTATGTCTTGCTCTTCTGGAAGATAGAAGATCACCTAGACGTCAGACTTTGTTCGAAGGATGCCATGACTGACTCTTTCGAATAGTACTGTTGCTGCATACACAGCTATTGTTTCCATTATGGATTTCCGTTGTTTCAAGTCAACAGGCATGCACCGTGGTAGCGAAGTCGAACTCAAAAACGAGCAAGTTGAAGATGGACGATCGATGGACGAAGTGCGCCGGAATTACTAAAGGGAGAAATCGCATGCAAAATTCGATACTGCACGTTGAGAAAGGCATACAGGAGAGAATTTCGTTTTCGCGACTTCTTTCATGAAGGGTTGCATCAGACCAGGAGCTTGGAGGCTCTCAATCTGTTCCTTCGAGTTGAGAGAGAGGAGCTTGAAACCGAATTTGACGATAGAGTGCATTTTTTGCACAGTAGACGAAAGAGTAAATATAGAGCTCATTCTTCCTTGCGTTGATTGTATCATAGGAGGGCAGACGATCTTCCTGGGTTGAATTTCTGGATCTAGATAAAAGTCCAAGAAATTTATCTTGGCAGCGAGTTATCGTACGTTCGATTATCCATTATCATTCTTCAGCTCAGCCATGCTTACCTATCTACTTTGATGGCGCAAGTTCTCGATCGTGACTTAGTACATTCCTCGACCCGCCATTCCTCGCCACCTCTAATTTAATCTCAGACTCAGCTCTTCATATATCCCTCGTCGCAATCAACTGAAATATTATCGTCCTTTGTTATCTGATTGTGGGCAAAGATCACGATTCATTTATTACTACACACTCATTATGCATTACTTTCAAGTCATTCTCTACGCTTCTGCAGTCAATGCTTTCGCATTTCCCAACATTTTTCGTCAGAACAAACCAGAGCCAACATGTCAAAATCCAATTATTTACACTGTCGTCGAGTACCCATGTGCCGTTGAGACATTTGTTGCCTCGAACACTCTACTCACGGTTTCCATGTGTAATACGTTGATCAGCATCACAAATGCGCCAACCTATGTGTCGACGATTGTCACTTCTGCGAAAACACTACCATTCACTTCCACTACAACTTCTACGATAACTGAAACCGTATCTGTGGGGAAGACTCTCTCAACTACAGCCACTCTACTGGGACCGGGTCCTCCTGCCTCTACAGCTGCATTTGCTTCGACAAGCCAGGTACTCTCAACGAGCACCACGAGCAGCACGAGCTTCGCGACCGAAGTAACTACAATTCCATATGTCCCAATGACTTCAACTCCTGTTGTTCCTGCAGTGTCACCGACCCCAACAACGCAATCGTCTGCGGACTTGCCGATTGTAACTTCATCCCCTTCAACAAGTGTTACCTCCCCGATAATTCCGGATATCTCTACATCAACAAGTCAGCTTGTACCAGCAGCTGTGTCCTCAACAGTCACGGTCCCTACTCCAAACTGTCTCCCTTCAACATCAGATTACCCCGAGTAAGTTCTCCACCTAGGGGGACAAAGAATCAGTCACTGATGATTTAGTGCTAACAACGTACCTGCAAATACCACATGGCTGCTTCAGCTGTATTATATATCAAACGGTAACCCTATAAGCACTGGCGCTTACCTCACCAATACATCCTCCTATACATATACCGCTGGTGATGCAGTCCCTGTATTCTTCAGTGATGGTGTATTGTTTGCCTTGGATCCAACATATGGAATTGGCTGGTATGCGACAACATCTCCAGCAGTAGACGCACCGTTCGCACTATCGGAGTACCTTCCCAACTCTGGGTTGACGGCAAAAACTTTCAGTATGGGGGCAAATTACCCGTATGCGTTGAGTTGGGACAACTGCGGATTTTCAGACAGCCCTGCTACCTTTGTATGGGATGAAGATGTCGGGGAAATCTTCGTAGTATTCGATGGGAATGAAAATCAGGGAGTCAATCATGAGAATATGAGTAAGTCAAACCCTATCCACGTTTCAGAAAGAACCCTGGAAGCCAGGCTCTGGGAATATTTGTTTTTGGAAAGATAAAAGATTTCTCTCTTCAATCCTCTGTCAAGAAACATACTGACCTTCGAATAGTCCTAGGTCTGGTGCCGGTACCGACTTAAAGCCCTTTATTCCTTAACAATTTTTATTGGTCCGAAGGCGAGAAAGAGAGACCGAAGAGCTGGAAAGCACGTCCGAAAATAGTAGAATGTGCATTGTCTGCTCTTTGTTGCTCTCATATTATGCACAGGTTGCGTTGAACTACAATTGAGGATTGGAGAAAGCTTGAACTTTTGCTTGACGCCGAGTTTGCCTGTTGTGTACTTTGAATAATCTTGAATCATTTTGCAAGCGAGCCCTTATGGCGTTAGCGAGCTATGGTAAAGAAGCTCTAAATGTTTAGTTTTCCTGTTCGCAATGTCCCACAACTTGTATGCCCATTTTTGATCTCCTATTTAATCTCTTTGAAAGAACATTCCGGATCTGTGGCTAGGTGGCACATGAGAGTGAAGCTATCTACTTCGCTCGTAAAAAGTTGGCGATTCGCATTCAGACCCCAACCCCTTTACCGAGTGGTCCGAGGCACAGCTGCCTTACGAACATGGGGACAAAAGTCCGTGCGTTCAGGCTGTAGAACCTCGAAATTAAAACTCTTCACATTAGGACTAAACTATCAACAACTCCACCATTATGGATCCTTTTACCACTCCACCTATGTCTCCACGTCTCCCAGGTGCAGAGATCAGAAC